AATCCGCATGGGTGAGGGTATCTCAGATCGGAGATTGACATTGTTGGTGGTCAGGAGAAGGGTGTTGCTGGAGATGCCAGGATCGGAGCAAGGTTTTGTGGCTTCTCCCTTGGCAGTACTTGCGTGGTGAGAAGGCCCAGGACAGGTGTTGCCCAGCTGCTCAGCCTTTACTGCAGCTGGACTTGGGCAAAATCCTGGATGGGTGCAGGTTCCTTAACCGCGACATTCGCCGTGCGTATCTTGTTCGGGCAGAGTTTGGCTATGTGGCCGGGTTTACCACAGTAGAGGCAAAGTTTGTTTGTGATGCGGTGTTGGCGTTCTAGCGGTGTGAGGGGTCCTCGCGGACGAGCTGCGTCAATGACCATAGGGTCGTCTGGGCGGTTGTCGGGGCTCATGAGGGTGGGGCTAGTGGTAACTGGCACATATGGCTGTCGGTTCCTGCTTCGCTCTAGACGGCGCTCAAACAATCGGTTGTCACATTGGATGGCCTGTTCCATCACGGTGTCGATTGAGGCGGTAGGGGGCATCGTGAGCATTAAGTCCTTGACGTCTTCTTTGAGGCCGCGACGGAAGGTGGCAATCAATGCCTGGTCATTCCACGACACATCGCATTGCAGCTGTCGGAATTCAGCTACATACTCTGTTGCTGCACGGGTTTGTCGAAGGTTCTGGAGCTTGTTTTCGGACGTGCGGATCCTGTCGCTGTCTCCAAAGACTGCTTGCATTTGCTGGATGAAATCATCCAGGTTCGTAAGGGAATGATGGTCTTGTTCGACAAGGGGCGCCAGCCAGGCCTGGGCGGTGCCAGTGAGGTAGGTGCCAATAGTTCGTATCTTGGTCTGATCGTTGGGGTAGCGCCTGGGTTGGAGGGCGAACATGAGCCGGATCTGGTTGAGGAACCCACGGAACTTGCTTCGGGTGCCATCAAATTTGTCTGGGAGACTGATTTTGGGTTCGGGGGCGTGAGTGGCAGGGGCAGTGGTCTGGGTTTGCGCTAGTTCGGCTTGTAGGGTGGTATTCTGCGCTCGAAGTTTGTCAATCGCATTGCACATGGCTTGCCAGGCTTCGGCCGTGAGGGGAAGGGCGTCGGACATGGTGATTTGGCGTGGAGGTACAGCGGCTGGGGGTTGTTGAGCAGATCAAACTGTTATGAATGGGCGGAGCCGATGGAAATAGAGGCGACTTGTGGTGCAGGTTGTTGACAGGTAATGGTATTCAGACCGAAACAAGAACTAGAACAAGACTAGGAAGAACTGGTGTTGATCTGCTTGGGGATCAGGAAGTGGGGAGCTCAGGGGAGGCGGCTATTTATGTTTTTCTGGGAAGGCTGGGGAAGCGTGGGGAAGCAGAAGGGTACGGAATGAGAGGGAAGCCAAGAGAAGCGCCAAGGGTGGGGAAGCATAGAAACAGAAGACTGGGGATGGGGTGGCTACGCTGAGGCTGTGGGCGGGTACGTGGGGAAGTATGGAGAAGGGTTTGTGAGCGCCGAGTGTTGGGAGGTGTGGCTACGTGCGGCTGCGTGGAGAAATGAAGGCAGTGGCAGGTGTGGGGTAGCGCGGCTGCGTGCGGCTGCGAGGTTTGGCAGATGTCAGGTTTTGACAGGGAATTGACATTGACTGACTGTTGGGATGCTGTCATGAGGTAAGCGCATGGTATGGACGCGTCGTCCATAACACAGACAACCCGAGGGACCTACCGGTCCCCGACTGCAGGACACCATTCCGGAATACCGCCCCGGGCCCGTCATCGACCAGCACACGTTCATGGTCCATGGACATGTCGGCGGCATCTTCTGCCGCATCCTCATAGACACTGGTTGCAATACCATGCTCATCAGCAACTCATTCGCCCAACGCCATGATCTTAACACGTACGACTGTCCCACGCCCCTCGAGGTGCGCTGGGGTGACAAAGCCGGATCATACGGCGCCACGCGGATGATTTGTGCCGACCTCTCCGTCTTCACGGAGGAACGAATACCTCATAAGACCCCTCGGGTCCCGTTCGTCGTGGCCCCGATCCGCGCGGATGTTATCCTAGGGCTACCCTACATCCTGGACCTTGACCTCATACGCTTATGGCGCGACAATGGGTTCCCGGCGCTTCAATTCGAGGCTACCGCAACCGTACTAACTTTCCGCGCTAAACCTACCACCCATCGATGGCAACAACCCAGCGCTTGCGCGGCCCGGTTACTCGAACCTCATACGGGCCCTCGCCCCCGCCGTTTCTACCCAAAGCGCGCGGCCTTAAATGAGGAGGGCTTCCTCACGGCCAAAACAATTCAAGCGAGCGATCAAGCGGGATAAGACCACCGAGGTCTATACCGCATGGGTCTCACGCACGGACACGGAGGTGGACCTGGCCACAGATGACGCCCTTGCGGACGTTGCCGAAGCCGAGGCTAACTTCGTTCGCACGGTCGAGGCGAAGAAACGTGCGATCCTGGCGGACCGAAAGGCAACGGCCACCCCTCCGGATACCACCCCAGAGGATCCACTCGCGTCGGTCGCCGCCGACCACCCTCTTCGCCCGACGTTGGAACAGTTTACAGATACCCTCTTCACCGAACAGACCGGCCTCCTGCCGGACCGCGGCGACGACAACTTCAGCATCAATCTGAAGCCTGGCTCCAAGCCTGTCATGCTCCCACTCCGCCACTTGGCCCCCGATGAACTCGACGAGCTATGGCAGCAACTCGAGCGCCTATCATCCCGCGGGTGGATCTCCCACTCTAAGAGCCCCTGGGGGGCACCCGTGCTGTTTGCCCCAAGGAAGGACGGTGGCCTCCGCTGCTGCATCGACTACCGGGCCCTCAACAAGATGACCCATAAGGACGCCACGCCCCTCCCGAACCTCAACGAGCTTTGGGACCGCCTTGTCGGCATGAAGTTCTTCACCGCTATCAACATCCGCGATGCCTACCACTGCATCCTCATTCGGGAGGAAGACCGTGAGAAGACTGCCTTCCGGACGCGCTTCGGCCACTTCCAGTACAACGTATTACCCTTCGGGCTGACGAACGCGCCCGCGACGTTCCAACGCCTCACGAACAAACTCCTGGGCGACAAGTACAATTCATACCTCATCTCTTACCTCGATGACATCCTTATTTTCAGCCCCGACATGGATTCACACATCGGGCATGTCACCAAAGTGCTCAAGACCCTTTCGGCTCACCGCCTCCACGTGAAACCGTCCAAATGTCAGTGGGCAGTGGACCAGGTCGAGTTCTGCGGGCATATGGTCGGTAAGGATGGCCTTTCCATCGCCCCGTCCAAGGTCGAGGCTGTCCGCGCTCGACCCGAACCCACCAGCGCCCTCGAGCTCCTCTCCTTCATGGGGCTAGTCAACTATGTCAAGGAATACATTCCGCATTATGCTGACACAGCCCTCCCACTGACCAACCTTCAATCTGGCACCCGCCCGTGGCAGTGGGGCGCCGAGGAACAAGCAGCAATCGACACCATCAAGGCGCGCGTCGCCGACGCCCCTTGCCTGGCGTTCTTTGACCCCGATAAGTTCCCCTACGTCTTCTCTGACGCGTCGGGCTTCGCCGTAGGGGGCTGGATCGGTCAGGGCACAGATGGGGACTTTCCCATGCCAAATCCACTGCCCACCACAAAAAAGGGCCTCAATAACCTTCCGCGCCTCCGCGTCATCTCATATTACTCACGCAAGATGGCTCCGGCCGAAACCCGATACCCCGTGCACGAACAGGAGCTCCTCGCATTGGTCAAAGTGATCCGCGCTAACCGCCACTACCTCATCGGTCGCCAATTCCGTGCATTCATTGACCACGAATCCCTCATATACCTCCAGAATCAGCCTCATCTCTCCCGGCGCCCGGCCGGATGGGTGGAGTTCCTTCAGGACTACGACTTCACTATCAAATACCTCCCCGGCGAGTTCAATCACATCGCCGACATACTCAGCTGCACCCCACTATACGCCCCAAAGTGCGCCAGGTGTCAGATGAAGGTCGAAGTGTTCTCCATTGTCACCGGGACACCTCTACCGGACATCACCGGCCGCCTCCCTACCGACGCCGAGTGGCTCACTGCGCTCGACGATGACAAGTTCTGCCAGGACACCCTCGCCCACCTGCAGACCACCGCAACGAACCCCGACGACCCCTCTACCCTCTCGGGTTTTGCCCGACGCCTCACGCGCGACGACCGCGGCTTCCTTTTGTACCATGGCCGCCGCTATGTCCCCGAGGGCCTTCGGGGCCCCCTCCTCAGGTTCTATCACGACTCCCTGGCCAACGGCGGCCACTCGGGTGTCCAGCGCACCGTCGCCAAACTCCTCGCGCTCTACTACTGGCCCCGCCTCGAGCGCGAGGTCCACCAGTACGTCCGGACTTGTCCCGACTGCCAACGCAACAAGCAGGCTTCCAACTTCGGGCTCCTACGCAGCATTCCGGTCCCCGACAAGCGCTGGCGTCGCGTCAGCTTGGACATCTACTTCCCCACGACGAACTCTAAGGGGGGGGAAGCGGGAGACGAGTCCGTCATGGACAAGGGAGCCGTCCTCATCCTGGTGGACTACTTATCCAGCCGCGTAATCCTCCTTGAGACCCACGCCAAGGCGACGGCAAAGGAACTCGCCCAGCTGTTCTTCGACCAGGCCTTCCGCATCACGGGCATTCCCCACACGATCATCAGCGATCGGGACACCAAATGGACCGGCGCCTTTTGGAAGCACCTCCTGAAGTGCGCCGGCGTAGAGCAGGAACTCTCGTCACCTCTCAAGAGCATCGCCAGTAGTAAAGCAGGATGGCTCCTAACGTATCGATGCTTCCGATTCCCAGCGCCCTAATAACTGTATCCGCTAAATGCTCGATATCCAACGCAGTATTGGTGAAGAAGAGAAGGAACGGTGTATGTACAGTATCTAAGTATGGGTTCGAGCGAGACGGGTCGCGACGACATTACAGCTAAGACACTCGAACGGTTTTTGTGTGAGCGCGCCAGCATTTGGTAATCTCCTTGGTGTTTCATGACACGGCAAACTTGGCATTGGTCCTATCTCGTCGCTATATAGACGACATTGGAATTTGGGACACACCCGCAAGGAAAGGAAAAATCTCTCAAGATAGATACATCAGGAATTAGTAGGCATGTTATATCATTGCCTGGAAAAGGAAAAGATGGATTCCCTGAAAAGATGGATTCTATAAATGAAGGTAATGCTTTGGAGCCGGACTTTGCTTCCACACAGATAGTGGACAAGCTCTCAGTACAAGAACATCTATCTTTTCAGCACCATGACGAATTCGCCTACCATCCGGTCGAGCCTGGACATCACCGAGGCGTCTCCCGCATACGACACGAAGGTCCCAACATTGGAGATACGACAACCTTTTTACCACGAGTCCAGTATTGAACTTGTGGAAAGAGCCGCCGAAACTTTCCCTGCTCCCGCTGGCACCCGGACCGCAATATTCAGCATCGCCGATATCGCCGCGGGATTGAAAACCAAAATCCACGCAGCACTCCTAGCCAAACACATCATCCACCTCGTTCTGCGAGTGGAGAATGTGACATACGTTGTGATCCAGTACCAAGATCAGGCTCAGATAGCGGTCACTGCAGATTTGGTGCGGACCCTCGCCGGTTGCGGTCCTGACAAGTACCGGCTTTTCACCCCTGAAGAGAATGACAACCTCTTGGACGGCCGAACCCTGCCGAGGCGCCTCCCGTTCGCGTGCGCTGTAATCCCCACGGCCCCCCGTTCCCGCTCTCTCCGCACCGAAAGCAGTGGTGCATGCGATTTAGATCTTATAATACCAGAGGAGATAGACCGTCACCTCAACCTGAATGTTCGCCGCCGCCAAGCCGGTACCATGGCCAGGACTGCCGGTAAAGCAATCGCACAAACATCGTCCATCGAAAAACTCCTGGAAGCCGGCCTGACGTTCGCCGGTTACCACCATCCGACAGCGGGGGCAGGTGCCGGCAAGATTGGCGCTGCGTTGGGAAACGCCGCTGATAAACTCCTCGCTGAAGTGCCTTCGTCGTCGCGGGCCGCTACCCCCACCATTGCGTCTACAAGCGCAGTGCCTCCCCCGGGTCTCACTGCGGACCAGTTTCTGAAATGGCGAGAGGTGGAGGCGGGTATCGCGAAGGAAGTCACAAAGCAGATGGAGGAAGTCACAAAGCAGATGGAGGAAGTCACGAAGCAGTTGCAGCTGGCGAAAGGAATTGAGAAAGCTTGATTATAAATATTACAGTTTAAATTCATAAATAACATTGTCGGGCAACAAACGGTCGTTCCATCCATGCGTTCGTAGTAACTTCGTACAGCTCTTCTCCGTCCTCGACCTCCTTTGGCGAACTAACCGGACCACCCAAACAACCGGCGCAGGCACTCCGATCTGGAACTCCTTTACAAGTAGCCACTTGCCTGTTGCACGAGGTGCAAGATCTTTGGATTCCGCGCGAACTCGTCGTTTGCCCGGAGGGAGACATCAGCGCACCTCGACAATGGGGCGCATGTCAAACGGTCTAACGGTGGACTGCCCTTTTCCGTTCACCGAGCTCAGGGAGGACTAAACCCGGTTACGTGGGCCTTCGATAAGTCATCACCGTCACATCCCGAAGCAATCCTTCCGGGCAAAACCCCCCATCCAAATGTTTGCGAGGTCAGTGTTCACTCTCGCCCAGCTTGCGTTTCCCTTCGGATTGCTCATCGTCGGGAAGCGAACAAAGCACAGCGGAGTCCTCTCGGGCAGGAGTCCGCACGGTGGGGATAGAGACTGGCACGTCAACATCGGCAGCAATGTGAGTTTGCGCAAACCACCGATGATAGTTTTACTTTCTGCATGCTTATACCGTCTCTTCACAGATGCGGGCCCCCGCCGCCCACCCCCCGACGCGCTGGCGGTATCGGCAGAACCCGGGCAGACTGGATACTAGCAGCAGCAACCACCCACGTCCGCCAGCTTCACCCTCCGCCGAATATGGCGGTCGTCAAGAAGGCCGTTTGGAGGGCGAGAAAGGATCTGTACGTTGACCTCGTTAAGTGAGTGATCAGGGCCGCACATGTCTGAGTCCATCCCATCCCTTCTGTCTAACGAGCGGCATAACCCCTTCGATGGCGTAACCCAATCATCAAGACGGTCCTTATATTCCCCATCATGGTCATTGCTCAAGTATCCCTCCCGCCGCAACCGAAAGCAGAGTGGAACCTCCAGAACCCTTTAATGGACTGAATACAAGGAAAAAAATGAAAATTTTCTTGTATTCAGTCCAGTAAGTGATGCAATTCATTCTCACCCGGGTACCTCGATTGCTCGAAATGGCTTTCTCGGAATGGCCCGATCGCTAATCGGATACGCGGTCTTCCTCTGAGCGCGCACCCGGATGATTGCTGTTATCATCGGAACGGGCAACAAACTGGGGTATTTCCCCAGAGAGGTCATGAAAAACGCTGTGGCTTAAGGAAAGGGTGGGTTGGTTTTTGTCTTGATGATGGGATCATATGTCGTGATGGCAGGTCTCCGCTGCTGGGCCTTGTTCAACCCCAACCATGTCGAGTTTGGTGGGATTTTGAATTGGGGGCTGTTGAAAGGAATGAGGGCGATCATGCACTGAGTGCGCGTTTTATATGATCACGAGAAAAGTTGTGATTGGCGTCAAAACAGTGGCTAGATAACCCAACGATTTCGGGTCCAAACTTCGACACTAGGGTAGATTCAGGAAGGTACAGTCAAGGATGTACTTTGGCTGTGCGGATGCAGAAAGAGAGGGTGGCGGGGTAGCGTCAAGAGATGGGCATGTAAGGCTCATGACAAAATCTTTCCATCGCTCAAAGCCTGGATCGGACGAGCTCTCCCTACAAAGTGTGTCAAAAAAAACATAGTCAGTGGTCCATTCCCAGAAAGATATACAAACACCACCACTCAGTCACATACCCTGTTATCAGTCTTATTATATTCCTCCCAATCATTCGCAATGGGCGCAAACACCATCCACGGTTTGACACCCAAGCCTTCGACGATGTTCATCGCCTCGGGTGCGAGTTCCTTGACCCACTTGCGCTGCAGCTCCTGGAGATCGCGGGCGCCGGCGGGGGAGATCAGTTGCGCGGTGAGGAAGAAGGTGAGGTTGTCGGTGACGAGGGTTGTGGCAAAGAGTTTGGCGATTTGGCCGAGGATTTTCCTGTTGAAGGAAACGTTCGAAGAGGTCAGGCCACCACAACTAAAGGACTGGTCAATCAATGTGCGGAAGGTGAGTTTGACTTACTTGACACCGGTGTCGGTCTCCTTATGAATGACAATCAAGAACTGCTCCAACGAGATCCTCTCTCCATACGCCCGTGCAAGATCCTGGATCAGATCGCTCTCCTCCTTCATCCACACATCGAAGATCTTTGCGCCATGGCCAAGCTTAGTCTTCATCGTCTTGCTGAGGTGGTCCAGGTTGATGATCTCGCGAAGCTGCACGAGTTTGGTCAACGTGTCAATGTGGGAGAGGTCCCAGTTGATGCTGCCGGTGCGGTCGATGGTGGGGTATTTGACTTGTCCGGCGTCGTAAGCGGCTAGGAGCTCTTTGGCGGTCTTTTGAGTGAGGACGGAGTTGTCGCCCTCGGCGGTCATGGCGGCGTGGGAGAATCCTGAGAAATAAAACTTGCGTGAGATACTTGCGAGAGCTCCGTCGAAAGGATTCTCTGCTCCTTACCGAGATAGTCTCCGAATTCATTGCAGGCGAGGTACCCTTGACCTCCGCAACGTTCTCGAGAAATCGTCGCAGCGCGTTCGAAGTTCCATGCGAGAAGAGGCTGGACGAAGTAAAAGACTTCATCAGTATTGCGGAAGAGTGTAAGTGCCATTGTCCTCGTCACCAACCTTGATAACACAGCACAATCGAACAATCTCAGCATGCTCAGCATCCGAGTGGTTAGCCCACCGCTGCTTGATGTAGTTCAGCCCAAAGTTCAGACCGATGGTACGGGCGAGGAGCGGGATCAGAGCGTTTTGCTGCAGCTGGTAATCCAGGATCGGCGTGTCGGACTTGCCGGTTGGGCCGACGGTCAAGCGGGAGTGGGCGTACCGGAAGGCCACTGTGAGCACCTTCTTGGCACCACCGACAGACATGGACGCGATGCAGAGGCTATTTTGCGACAGAGTGTCTCAATGAGTATGCGTGGACTTGTCAACCATTCCAGCGCAGCATAATTTACCGTCCAGCAAGCAGTTGGTCGGCGACAACGAGGAAACGAGCACGACGTGCGCTGATGGAACACGTGTAATCGCCCGCGGGAGTTACATCAGCGTATCTAAGAAAAAGGTGCCGGAAAGTCAGGATCCACCGTCCGCTTCTCAGAATCTGGTGATACGCGCGAATCCAACGCCATACTTGTTCAAGATGTTCTCCGACGGAATCCGCACATTGTCGAACCACAGCTTCGCATTGTCAACACCATTGCATCCCATCTTGAACCCCATATCCTCAACACGGACTCCCGGGGCAACCGAGAGATCCTCGTTACGGATACGGACGAGGAACACGTTGATGCCCTCGTGCTTTCCCTTGACGAATGTCTGAGCGAATACGACACACCATTTGGCGTGAACGGCACCGTTTGTGATCCAGTACTTTTGAGCGAGCGTGCTGGGGGTGTTGATGATCCATTCCTTGGTGGCCGCGTCCTTCATGATTCAAAGACACGGTCTGAGCATATTGCACCATTGTTTTGCAAATGTTGACCAAGGCGAAGGGCAAAACTCACAAAGACAGCAGTGGTTTCCATCTCAACGGCATTGTTGCCGTACCCCAACTCCGTCAACCCAAAGCATCCAACCGCATCCAACGAGTCAATTCCAGGAAGGTATTTGCGATGACGCTCGGTTCCAAGCTTGATGACCGTTCCGCCAAACAAGTTGAACTGCACAGTCATCTTCGTAGTGAAACTGCCTTCGATCATTCCACTGATTTCGTGCGCCGCGAATACATTGAGAGGGTTCTATATTTAACAGAGAGAGGTTGTTGGTTGATGGATGGTTGGCTGATGGTTGAACATAGAGCGGATGGCTGAACGATACCCCGCTCGCTCCGCTCGCTCCGAGAAGGTTGAGCTGGTGTGTGATCCGTGCCTCCGGCCCAGTAGGCTCAGCCTCGCTTCGCTCGGCCTCGCCGCCCATAAGCATCCCTGCGCCTCCGGCGCGTTTGCTCGCCTTCTCCTCGCTGCGCTCGGAACCCTCAAGCATTCCTCGCTACGCTCCGTCCCTGTGCCTACGGCTCAGTTCGCAAGCCTTCTTGCGCCTCGCTGTCCCTCGCGTTCTCCTCGCTATAGCTCGGACGCATACCTTCTCAAAATCCAGCACAGAAATAAACCCGGCCTCCGTAACCTTCTTCAGCCTCTCCAGCGCAATCTCCCTCTGGTACCTCAACGACACATCATATCGTGGAGTGAACGTCTGGAGGTTCTGACGGATATAGTCCTTGAACCGCGCGCGCTTTTCCTGGTTGTCTGCTTCGAGGACGTAGGTGAAGCGTTCGGTGTTGAACGGCATGTTGGTGGAGGGGGTTGGTCGGGAGAAGAACGAAAGCCGTGGGAAAATGGTGATCTCCTGGTGGGTTTAAACTTTATAGGGATGGTGCAGGGTGGTGGGTGAACAACTCAAATTCAATGCATTAAAAGACCGGCAAGAATCGGGGACTAAATACAGTAATTTGGGGACGCGTCTGTTTGGCAGTTTGCCCCAGAGGAGACTCCGAGGAGAGTCGCAGGAGGGATTTGGAGAGTCACTGTCAATGGAGACTGACTTTGTTGTCTGTCACATGGCGCGCGCGATCAGACTGTGGGCCATCAATCACGCTCATTGGTCCACGCACTCACTTATTACGGTAGATGACCGCCGCGGTCTCCGTGCGCTTTTGCTTTCACATGTCACCCAGAAAATAGCGAGCGAGCCTCGGTTTCCTTTTCTGGTAGGAACAGTTAGCACCTGTTACACACGGCTTCGCATCAAAACATCCCAATACATTCCCCACGAAACAGCCAGATATAGGAGCACACAAGAGGGATTATCGCATCTTCCCTACAACACCGTATCTTTTCCCCCTCTTTCTCTCGCCCCATCTCATGAATCCTTGGAACCCCCGTCCCCTCCTCCCCCACCGCCTAGCCCCGCATACACCTCCTTCTCCCATTTCGCGAGGTCTTCTGGCGACATGACTTTTTGCAGATCTTCCGCTGTTACGGGCGGGTATGTCGGTGGTTGCGTTGATGCTGAGTGCGATGAGGGTTGTGGTGGTGGTGGTTGTGTGCCTGTTGGGACGGGTGTCGGTACGGGTGTCGGTGCCGCCCCGGCTGACACCAATGCCGTCCCAGGTGATACAGTCGCAGCATGCAGACTCGGTATCGTCACCGTAGCCAACAGCGCCTCAGGCTCCCCATCCGAAATATCCTCCATATCATCCTCCGGCGGCAAATCCGTCGCCGACGCCGCGTCATTACCACCCTCATTCCCATCATCAAGATCCATCCCCACCGCTCCATTGCCCAGTTCATTCTCAGTCCCCTCCTCATCTTCCACTTCATCATCCTCAAACACCCGTTCCTCATCCTCGCCATCATCCTCATCTTCATCCTGCAAATCTTCGCTGCCCTGCCTGCTATCCATCATCATCGCCGCCAACTCCGCGTTGGTTGGAGCGCTCGCGGGACGTTGCTTGACCGACGGGGGGGCAGTGCCCGGTTTCGAAGACGTGACGAGCGGCGCGAACCCGCCCATGATCAGTGAATGGCGGCGGAGAGGGGCCGATGACGGCGCGCTTTTGGAGTTCACAGGTGTCAGACCGAACGATAATGGCGCCGTGAATGTTTGTTGCAATGATCCGACTCCTGAGATGGGTGTCATGGTTTGCTTGTGCGGCGGCAAATCATCGATGTCCATCGCGTCCAGATCGTCTTCCTCCGCGTCGGGTTCCGCATCCGCCATGTTCGCGTCGTCGTCATCTCCTTCATCTGCAGCTTCCGGTGTGCCCACATCCAGATCATTCATGGCGCGGCGTAACGAAGGGTTAATGGACGAGCCGCCATCCAAGCCATCTTCTTTCGTCGGCACCCTGCGCGGCGGTCTCGACGACGGCTCACGAGGCGACAACCGCGTGTTTCCATCCTCCAGAGAAAGTTTCGACCTCCCGTTGCTGGGGCCACTGCCGTTGTTGAGATTGTTGGCTGCCTCGATGGCCTCGGCGCGTTTCGGGGCCAGATTTTCGCGGAGGGTGCGGCGGAGTAAAGGTGATGCGGTGGGTTGGACGCCGGGAGTTGCGGAGGCACTATCGCGCTCGCGGAGCTCTTTTGCGCGTGCGTTGTTGCGATAGGATTGTCGGTCGCGACGGCCGCCGGTTTCGTCCTCGGAATCTGATAGGGCGTTGTCTGGGACGCGGTACTTGTCTGACATGGATTCTGGAATAGTTGTTCGATCGTCAGCACTCTCATCGCCAAGCCCAACGTCATCGAGTATACATAAACTCACGTGTAATACGATCGTCCTTGTTCTCCTGCTCGTCATCCGATGACCACTGATCATACGGAACATCTACGATACCCCACGGTGAGTATCCTATGCAACTATCCTTGACGTAGTCCCCACAACTTACTATGCATCTGGACACTCGGAGCATGGGCCACATGCCGCAAATTCTCAATAACAGCGATGCTACGAAGTTAGAAGCGTGGTCAGATTCTCAATCACCAACTCGATAGCGACCTCAATATGAAAAACAGGGCCATACTTGATCTTCTCCAAATACTCCCTCGTATTCAAATTCTCCATATTACTAGCGGGAATATCCAGCCGGTATTCTGGGGTGTAGTATTCATAATACTCGTGATATGGCAAATCTAATAAAAACCAGACAATGTCAATGTCACAATCTGGGAACCCCCGGTTGTGTCCGTGCGCAACATCCACCCATCGCATACCTTCCGAGACCTCAGTCCCAACCGCCAAACTAGTCTCATAACACCACGCCCTCGCAACGTTCCTGACAGTGTATCCACCACCACCGAGTAGTATCAGCGGGACGTTGAAGGTCTTCATGAATTCAACGGATTGTGCATGCCCTATGGGGAAGATCGCAAATGAGGTGGTGCGTCCAGCGTACAGTGTACAAGAGAGGCTTACCCTGCATGGATAAGTTGAAAGCCCCCAATCTGTCTCCGACGAGGGAATCGGCACCGAGCTGGAGTACGACCGCTCCTGGGCGGTACCATTGCATTACATGTGATATGACCTATCCAGACGGGGAGACTTTAGCGCCAGTTCGAGATTGCATTGCGGACGCGTATGAACTCTCATACCGAGCGGAAAAGTGTCTCATATGACTTGTCGTCAATTCCTGCGAGAACATGAGTATCCACAAGAGTCAAAGTGCCAGACTCAACACAGATGTGTCCTTACCATCATTCAACGGCACATTAATCGAATAATGCCTCCCCTTCCCAATCCCCACATCCTACCATCAAAACTCACAATCAAAAAAAATCGCCCGTCTTAAATCGAATGATCAACAGGGCCTCCCTACATTCAGAGCCCCAGTCCCAGGAAAAAACTCTCCGAATTTGTGGAAGGAAACAGCCATGACCCGATCGCTGGTATAGAACGCCTCTTCCACGCCGTCGCCGTGGTGGACGTCTGTATCTATGTAGAGTACCCGCTGATGATACCTGCGAGAAAGATTGACATGACGGTGAGCTTCGATACACGCATGCTTCGGCCTTACTCGAAAAAGAGTCTTTACTTCAGAAGTTCCAAAATAGCCAAAACGATATCATTCACATAACAAAAACCCGACGCCTCCCCACGCTTAGCGTGATGAAGCCCGCCTCCCCAATTGATCCCAATGTCCGCGTGGCCCTGGTTGAGCTTCTTCGCCGCAGCTACAGCCGGCGCAATTCCGTCATAAGTTATCACATCACCATGTCATAATATCCTCACGAATACGAAAACGTACCTATCGACCCTCCAGCTGATATAGAGCAGAAATCATACAGTCCCTCGAAGATGGGGCAATCTGGGCAGTATTCGCCGACGTTGAACCTCGCTTGCGATTTCTGGATCTCTTCGGCGTCTTCCGGGGTTACTGTGAGGTGTGGACGCTCAGTGGATCTTTCCCAAAGGGCCTCCCATTTGCTGAAGGGGGACCGGACGAACCTCGGCGCAGGAAATCCAGGTAGTCGTCAGAGTGAAACTTTGCCATCTCTTTGAAGGTTGCCTCGCTTGGCGTCTGGAATCAAAATATGCAGTTTGCATATCATGAACTCCGTGCTCTTCTCTCCTGGCTAACTCGTCATTGACCAAACTCTCTCCATACCGAGACTTCCATCTTCTTCTGCAACCCATATCCCGTCACCAGACTATGCGCCATCTTCACGCGTGCGGGCTGTGATATCGTCGGGGAAAGTTTCGGTCAGGACTACATTTGAGTGTGGGTACAATAGTGCAATAGAAGTGAGAAGCCAAAGCATACCTTCATGTAATGCTTCTCCCCATAGTGGTAGTGACCGATATCCGCTGTAAACCGTCGTCAGGTCAGCGTTCGGAGGGAAACGTGAGACGGTCGACCACTTCGGCCCGACCGTAATCCCCAACCCTTCGCCAACTTACGATGATACTGGTAAGTAACCTTGCTCTTCCGCTCAGCGGTCGGGCGCTTGTTTCCAAAGTCCATTGTTGCCGAAAAGGGGGTTGTTAAATGGTCGAGAGATCCAACCCCTCCGCTTCTCGGTTATAAACCGACCGAAGTCACTTAGGATCCAATCTATGAGAACAGTTGAACTTCCGCCTATGACCTGCTGATGGCGCTGGCGGGATGCTGGTGGATTTCCTAAGGACGATCTTTGCGGATGGCGGTTAGGAAAAGGGGGCGAAGGAGCCTGGGAGGTTCAACCGAGGAATGCTGTGAGGCAACCAGCACGTTTTAGGGCGATTTAATTTGCATGGCACGTGAAGCGCATATCACATCTATTCAGGTCCTTTTCCTATGGTTCAATAATGAAAAAAACATTGTCGGAACACAACAACTATGCTATAAATCACACTCTATGATGATAGCTTCGAAAAGGGGACGACGTCTCGTCCCATCTCACCCACAGCCAGTGACGCCGCTGGGCTCACAACTCATACCCCACCGTCGGGAACCGTTTCGCAAACTCCACAACCTCCTTCTTCAACTGCTGCAGTTCCGGCACCTTCTCGCCCTCCCCAAGCTCTTTCTTAAAGTCCACCAGCTTCTTGCTGTTGACCGATTGCGCTACCTTCCGAGTGATTTCCACACCCCGGTGGATGAACTGCGCGATGGCAGCAAAGTCTGGCTCGGTGAGGTTGCGGGAGGTCATGGCTGGTGAACCGATGCGGAGTCCGAAGGGGATGAGGGCGGATTTGTCGCCGGGGACGGTGTTCTTGTTGGAGGCGATGTTGGCGAGTTCCAAGACGCGTTCGACGCGGGCGCCGTCGATGTTCTGTGGTATACGTAGGTTTTAGTTCAGACGGCTGCCGCTGCGTTCTGCAGTAGGTCCTATCGCGGCACACGTACCTTGCTCCTCAAGTCCAACAATAACAAATGAGTATCCGTGCCTCCAGAGACCATATCGTATCCCAATTCCCGGAAGCTGTTCTCAAACTGCTTCGCGTTCTTGAGCACCTGGTTTTGGTACTCCTTGAACTCCGGCTGTTGAGCATGTTTGAGGGCGACAGCAAGTCCCGTGATGGTGTGGTTGTGTGGCCCGCCTTGGTGTCCGGGGAAGACGGAGAAGTTGATGGGGCTTTCGAGATCGTACAGAATCTCTGAAGACACCGGATGTGTAAGATGAACCCTCATATTTGGAGGATCAACAGAGCAGCCAATTACCTGCACCCTTCTTGTTGACCTTCCGCACACCCTTGCGGTAAAAGATCATAGCTCCACGGGGTCCTCGTAGGGATTTGTGAGTGGTGGTCGTGACGATGTCCGAGTGCTCGAATGGTGATGGGAGGACGCCAGCGGCGACAAGACCCGACACGTGTGCCATATCCGCCAGCAGGTACGCATTGACACTGTCCGCAATCTGTAGATCCGGTACACTCAGCTTTCTGCTCCACTGCTTCCAAAATGCAAAACCTCGGTCGTACCTTGCGCATCCGCTCGTAGTCCCAGTTCCTGGCGTACGCACTGGCACCAGCCACCAGGATCTTCGGCCTGTACAGCGTTGCCGTCTTCTGCAGCATATCGTAATCGACCAGTCCCGTGTTCTCGTCAACACGGTACGGCATCGTCTCGAAATACGTCGAAACAGCGGAAATTTTCTTCGTGTCAGTTTGGTAACCATGCGACAAACTGAATATTGTGCAATCAGCGAGCTGTTCTCCAATCCGTGATCCCCCAATCATAGTCAACCTACTGTCCACCGTGAGGTAGGTCCAACCCCATCAACCGTTCGTGAGGTTTCATCAACGCCGAGTAGACGTAAAGGTTGGCGGGTGCCCCAGACAACGCTTGCACATTGACACCCCACTTTTCCGGGTCGAGGCCGAACACCTCGAGCGCTCGTTTTTGACAGAGCGTTTCGGCCATGTCAATGAACTCGTTGCCTCCGTAGTAGCGAGCCCCTGGGTATCCTTCTGAGTATTTGTTTTGCATCACGGAACCGACCGCCTGCATCACCGAGCGGGATGTGAAGTTCTGAGAGTGATGTTGAGCGAAAGTGAGTCGTAGCCCGGTTTCATATCCGATAGACCTTAAATCCGAGTCCCAACCTCCGATGGAATGAGCACGATACTCTCCGTCTGCCGTTTCATCTCCTTCTTCAGAATGCTAAAGACTTCAGGGTCTGTTTTCTCCAATGGCTCGTTAAGCACCTGCGGAAGCAGTCGATAAAGGTATAAGATCGTCTTCAACACCGCGTCTTTCAGAGAATAGGCCTGATCCATCGGCATACCGGCTGTGCTTTCGTTGCGCACGTCACAGTGAACTCGCGTCTTCCCACACTCCTCACCATGGGCGCCTGCTCAAGTGTCAAGGAAAAAGTCAGCTTTCTATATTGGCCGAGAGCTAACCACTTCGGCACACCTACCGTGGTCTGAACAACTGCTACCTTCGACTTTGCGAGCTGCAGCAGACACGCCGAAGCGTTCCGTACGCGCGCACGTTGGAATGATCTGGCGAGCATCTTTGGAGGACTATGAAGTTGCAACTTTTAGACACTTTGGTAGAACCAATTGCGAAGTAGCCCCACAGGGACTTTGACCATATAAGGCTCCGTATATCATCCGTATCACCAACCTGGACTCCTATCAAAGATCAAAACAGTGCAAAGTTGAAAGCGGTTGAGTGTGGAAAAAGAGCAAACAAGCTTTGGGGAAGCCAAGCCGGGTGAGGTGAAGAGAGCGAACGCGCATATGAGCGATCTCGTGAGGGTGACTCACACAACCATCACTGCGCACGGTTCGCGAATCGGGCGTGGAGCGCACGGGAATCCTCACTCATCACATTGCTCCTTCCGAATCTGTCTCTGCGACGCAAAAGCAGAACATGGCAAACCAAAGTGGCAGCCGTTTTCAGAACCACCACAGACGATACGTCAGTCATACCGGCAGTGACAGCAGCCAAAATATGTCGGGTAGTGATCTGTACGGACGTCATGGCGGCTTCATCCACATCACGCACAGCACGGCGGTCTTCACAAAGGCCACAGCTTGGGCGGTTACGTGGAGACCGCAGAAGTCACCAAGACGATCCCTATGGAGGCGGAGACCACAGCGACCTTCAAGTCGGCTATCATAAAAAAGGCCCATGGCGCATCCCTTGCCCCTGCCAGACAACATTTCCAGATGTCCATTGCACCTGGCAAGCTCACTCTCGCCAGACCTGCCCAAGCTCCATCAGTAACGGCTTATCTCCAAAACCGGCAGACGCGGCCGCTGTCTACTCGCCATCGCTCGCCGAGTGATCGCGGTTCGCCATTGTGCGCATTTTGGGGGCGTACTTCATTATTTAGTCCTTATTGATATCCTTCCTGGTCGGTGTGTTTCCTGTCGAGCTTGTGCAGCGCCTGGCTAGCAGTCCGAAGAAGTATAAATCAAAACGGAAGATTTCATTTCTTGACAAGCCGTTTCCCGTGAATTCTCGTCAACTGTCAATGATACCGTCAATCCTGATATGTACTCGGCTCAACTCATCAAATCCATAAATTACGCATTACGTAATTCGATGACGCATGCCTCCCGTGGGTGACACAGAGAACGAAAAGACTTAAATTTGAGGCATCCATACGACCAACCCTAACCGCTTGGTTGTTGCCCCAAAGCTGTTGAAATCAGCCGGTCTTTCAACAGGAACCCCATCTCGCCGGCTGATTCCGGCTGAAGACCCTCCCAGAGAGGCACAACTTGGGAACTCTGGACATCTTGGGAGAGAGGCTCGCATCGAAGGACCCAAGGACAACTTCCTTCGGAAAGCTCATCTTCGAAGTTCCGCGATCTTTCCCAGTTGTAGTTGTGGCCTCGATTTGGCGAGAGCGGCATTGACCACCGCGGTGAGGCTCGTAAAGTATTTAGGCCGCAAATGTCACAAACTCTCAGCCTAGGAGGTCTCTCAACGTGCACCAGAGGCTAAGGGAGGGTCTTATGTCAACGGTGACATCACTATACCCTGGACCCATTCCAAGTCCGCACATCAAGTTTCTCGCCCTTGCACGACGCAACTGCTTGCACGAGTCCCAACGTCCCAACGTGGCACTGCTGCTATTTATTGAACCCTCAGCGACGATCAATCACACTGATGACCGCCATCTATGTATTCAGACTCCTCGGCCAAGCTCAAAGCCAAACTTGAAACCCGTCGTCCTCTCCGACTCCCGGGTCTCTCTTCATGGTAGCAAGTTGACACATGGATGGACACAGGCAAGGCATAATCGAAGCAGCCCGCCACCCGCCGGAGAGCGAAAAAATGATTTAGATAAGCCTGGCAAATTTACCCTCGTACGAGAACACGCTTGTGATTCCGAAATTGGGGTGTGAGAGAAGTTGATGAAAACGGTGACAAGGGAAAGCGACGCGCACAGGTTGTGCCCATCGTGCGTCGTCGCCAGCCACAAGAATGAAAGCGTGCCTTGCCCGTGTGAACCCCTCTTCAAATGCAAATCGTCCAAGTGTGACATCTCCGAAATTGCGACCCGTTGAACCCGTCGGCTGGCCGTCGGGTTCTAACGAGATGAGGGCGTTTCTGTATTAGGATCTTCCTCAAGTGATCGGAGAAGTCCTTTTGGGTTTGCCGTCATGTTGTGACCGACTGATGAATTTCCCACTCGGCGCATATAAAAGCGGAGGGGTGGAGGCAACCCGCCAAGTCCCGCCGTTTCCAGATCCAGTCCAGTCTTTTCCACCACTTTTCCCTCCACCTTTTTTTTTTTACATATCTCAACTCAAATCCCAATGCATCTCAAAGCCAAGTTCATCGCCGTCGTCTCCGTCCTTGCCGCCTCTGGCGTGCTCGCGCAAGACCTGCCCACCAACAACGTCCTCGAGAACGTGAAGGCATTCAACCAGGAGCAGGATGAAGGACACAACACCTACCACATTTCCACCGTCAACAAATACGTACAGTACATCGAGAGCATCCTCGCGGGACCCGGCCCGATCACGTTCTTTGCGCCTTCCGACCACTCCTTCATTCGGTTGCAGCAGAGCAACCCGGATTACCTTAAGGAGTTTTTGGCGTCGCCCAACCTGATCAATGCCACCCTTCACTGTGAGTTTTGGGAATTCTTCTACGTCTGCCGGAATCGGTGTGGCTTTTCTGTTGACATCATTACTGACTTGGCATGTTTATGGATTTTTCAGACCACATCACACACCAGATCTACGACATCGCCACCGCCGGTTTGGGACACACCACTATCCCCACCGATCTTTACCCGGGCACCATTGACGCCAACATCATCCCCAACGACCCCGCCAAGAACCCCCCAGGATGGGTCCCTGCCATCTTGCAGGGCAGCGAGAACATCTCGGCCACCATTGTGCACACCATGAAGTCCTCCAACGGAATCCTTTACGTCATTGTAAGCATGGCGAAGCGTTTTGCTATTGATTGATTGCCGTTGTTTGCATCGAGCATCCGTCTGACCCTATTTTCTTCTCATTTCAGGACACAATGCTGCGACCGGCGCAGGCGCTGCTGGACAACCCCAGGCCGTTTCCCACTTCCGCCATCGTCACTTCCACTAGTACCAGAGCTGCTACCACTTCGCCCACCGTCGTATCAACCACCCGTACAGCCACAGTTAGTGGAACCGCAGCTTCCTCAACCTCGAACAGCACCTCGGTAGACCCGGCAAAGCCCACTACCGCCACTGGTGCTAGCACCGGCGGCTCCAAGAACGGCGCGTCCTCTAGCACTCTTTCCGTGATTGCCGCCGCTGGTGCCATCCTTGCTGCGATCTCGGTCGTTGCTCTGTAGACGGCTTACATATACCCACGCTCCTCTCTCCATAGCCTAATGCGGTTTGCCTTCGTCGCTTAATCACCTTCATGGAATCTGGCATTTCATCCCCTCATTACATAACACTAGTAGATAGAGATATCACCTAACTACCTTGTGATCTAGTCGTCTTCTATGTTAGTACGATATAGGTCATCCTTAGTAATGTTTACAGTCATCAAAGCAACTGAAAAGAAAGATATTGGTTTCGGAACACATTGCTGGGAACTTCATGGGCACTCTGCGTGTGCATAAAATCAATGATCTAGGGGAGCGGGAGCGTGCCTGGGGAATGTTGGATGCTGGCGTTTGGATGGTCATGGTCGCCCCAGACTCGACAATACTATGACACTGGTTTGCCCAAGTTCGCAGCGTATCTGCGGCTATAACGCACCAGACATCTTCGCTCCCCCTTGATGTGCCGCGAAGGACAACCGCGCACATGCTGTCGACGCAAAATAATCGCAGCGACTACATCTTACCTCTAGACTACCTTGTATCTTTGAAGCCCTTCCTCGGTTTGCCCTGGACGCAGACGGCAGAGAGGAGGCTGTCGAAAACCAAGGAGTGACAGTGACGAGCCAAAGCAGAAAGGAAGAATAAACGCGTCACGTGAACGATTCCAGGAAACCTGATGTCCACCGTCCAGGTCCTTCTTGCTTCCTCCACCACAACCGTCGCTCACGACGACGACAAAGAGAACAACGAGAGATGCCCTGGTTCGCAGAGACATCAGTCGCTCTCGGCGAGGACGAGCAATGGCACTCGCCCCTGTTCCATGCCTTCCTGGACGACGCACCGCACTCCACAACCGGTCATATCTCAATAAGCGAGAGATCACTCAGCGACAATCTCCCCCCGATCGGAGGCGTCGTGCATCTGCCCGAAGTACAACCCCGGTCTGCGATCGTATGGAGACTGCTGGATGATAGGAAGGTTTTGGAGATACGACGAATATTCTTGGCGTCTGCGGCAACGAGAGATCAGAATGCGATGGAGGAGGGCACAGTGGGGGACGTGGATGGGCAGGACGGGACGATCGCGAACGCGCGAAACTCGAATCGGCCGGTATACCTCGAAGCACCGGCGTCGCTGTTAAAGACGCCTAGTATAACTTTGGTTCCATCGGAAAGCTCCGCGAAATACTCGTTGCACATTGTTCTCGTGACGGAGACCGGCCGATTTTACCGCGCGATATTCCAGGGACCGGATTTCTTCTACGAGAATGGATGGAGGAGACGGGAGATCAAGCGTTATCAGATTGTTGCGCTCTCGACACATCGTGGGGACGCTGCAGCGCGTCAAGTGAAGAAGCCACTGATGATGCAGTGCCCCAGTTTAGAAACTGTCGTTATTGGGTGCGCGAACGGCACGTTGATCAAAGTTACTACACCAGGCGAGCTTGGGGATAGCGATGATGATACTTACATGGCGGACGAACCTAGACGGAATGTCTCTGGCTACGAGGAAAGAGAGCTCTTTGAAGCGGGGTATCTCGATAAATTCAAGTCGGCGTTCACACCGAAACGGTGGGGATTCTCGCCTTTCAAGGCCTCTCAAACCCCGAGCGCGGCGCCAGAAGTAGATAACCCCCGGCAGCCGATCGCTCTGAACTCGATCGGAAAGTGGAGCTTTGTCTTATCCCGCGACCGTCAACTCCGCATTTGGAACCTTGAGAAGGGTACGAAATGGAAGACTATCAACCTCGCCGCCGAATGTGCAACCATCAAGCCAAAAGTGCTGCGGGTTCCCCGAACGGCGAGCCAGAGCACCACTCTACCCCTTGCCGACTCCACGTCAGGGCACTACATCCAAGTCTTCGACGAGCAGACGTACGACGTACTACAGGATTTCGAGAGTTCGGGCACCGAATTTAAGCTCGCAATCTACCTGCCGCGCGCCGAAGAATCCGAGGGCTGTTTTGCGCTCTACGAAGGGAGGATGGATAATTTTGGTGAGCTGCAAGAGCTGGGGTTGTTGGGCATCGAGGATTTGCCTGGAAAGCCGGAACCCAAACAGCCTGAGAGGAACGAGCCGTTAGACGACGAAGCATCAAAGGATATTACTACCACAGAAGCACTCGTATCTGCAGGGTTGTTGGGTAACGAGCATTTGCACGATCCCAAACACCCCGAGCCATTGGACGACGAATCATTGGTCGATTTCATCATTAAGGAAGAGGTGACAGCTGCGGAGGAGACTAGATGGTCGCTTTGGGCCTTGTGGAACGCGGCGCCGGGGCCTATAGCTCGATATGCTGAGATACGTCAGACAGGGTCTGCTGTTTATACGTACGCTGGGCCTACGCACTGGAATAATATTACGAACGCGGATGGACCAAATCTCATTGGGCCGGTCTTCTATGAGGAGGTGCCTGCCTCGTTTGCAGAAGTCTCGGAAGCGTATCTGGACTTCATCTTCCACTCGAGATTTGTGACTGAAAAGGCGAAGCGGCGCGCGTTGGAGCAGTATCGAGAGTCTACGGGTGGAGTTTTCCTCGACAGTTCTCTGAACCAGAGCGGCTCGTCGTTGATCACATTGGAGGACGCAGTCTTATTTGCGGTGAAGCGGGCCTACGAACGTACAATCAAGCCAGCGAGGGGGGCCGAAAAACATGAGGGCCGAACCGAGTGGCACAACTACTACAGGATGTGCCTGGAGATGTACGCCCAAGAAAACGCACCAACGGCAATCGACTGCGAAGCGTCCTACGGCTCGCTGATCATAACCAAACGTGAGTCACTCTCAGTGGTCCGCGAGTACGACATGTCTCAGATCCTGGTACACTGGCTCGTCAGCCCCCTTGCCACCTCTATAACAATGGTCAGAACGGAAGATGAGGCGGATTTCTACCAGGAGTTCCGCGGTACGGGCATAGGAGACCACTTTTCGTCGACGTTCCAATCGATCATAGCGCTACTTAAGGACGAGATACCCGCATCGAGACTTCTTGAGCTAGACGCTGCTATCCAGGAGATCATGCCTGATATCGGTCCGCATATTTTCGACAAGGACCAGGCGGTTCCGAAAATGATTGAAAAACTTTTCGAGTTTCCTCTGACGGCTGAGGGGCCTGAAGTGCCCGAAGACTTTGGCGACCGCGGGATGCCTGAGCAGAAACCCGAGGAGAAGAAGAAGAGATCCGAGAAACAGATCTTCGATGAGTTTGTGAGGTGGTTCAACTTCCTTCCCTCCGACTTCTTGGGCAAACTCCTTGATCTACTCCATGGCGTTGATGGAGATCCGGCCGCGTCGAGCACGCTTTCTCAAGTCCCCAACACCAGCGCCTTCACCAACCGATTGCTCGCAAAATCATTCGCCGATGCAGTCAACTACAAGAAGGAATTGACGCGCGGCGTTTTGCTTGTATCGCTCCTCTCTAAGCATGTAGCGAAGAAAAACCCGGGGTTGCAACGCCATGAGATTTCGGACCAGATGGTGTCTCGCAGCATACATGCCATGTGTGCGGCGATTGTCGCCAACTGGATCGGCGAAACCACCGTCACGGTCGGCAACACGAGTCCGCCGGAGCCGCAAACCGATTCGCATAGCATGGATTTCGATCTCGGCCGCTCTCACTTTGGCCAAAGTAGTCAGCGCCATGCTTCCCCCAAGGCCATCACAGGCAAGATGCGGAATCTCACTCTCAGCAGGGCGTCAGACGCGCATGAACTCGTTGAGAAGCCTACGATGGTGGAGCCATTAGCCTTCCATTTGATTCAACAGCACTATATGCTTGACGTCGATTTCAATGTAGGAGACTACGGCCAACTGCTTCGCGACGCAGTCCCGCGGTTCCTTTCCCGCCTCGGCCTGCTCTCCAAAGATTTCACGTTCGCAACAAGCTCGGAACCCATGCTCAAGTTGGTGACCAAGCTGGTCGCGTTCAGACACGCGGAAGCGGCCCGGCAGCTTGTTAATATGCTGCCGGGAACTCCCGCTGTGAATTATCTGAAAGGCCGCGTATCGGCGGAATTGGGGGATTGGGAAGAGGCAGACACTTGTTTTGCGAAAGCAGTGTTCGGCAGTTTCGGTATGTCGGACTATGTAAATGGAAACTTTTGTGCCATTGAGGCGCACTAGCTCACTCTGCGGTTGTTCCCAGACAGGACGGAGAACTGGAGAAAAGATGCGGCCCTAAAGGAAGTCCTGCCTGCGGGAGCGGTTGAAGAAGGCATTGTGGGGGTGTACAAACATTTCATGCATTTATGCCGACGAGGCCACCACCGGGGCGTCGTCAAGTACGCGAAGGAGGCGTTGCTGTGTATGAGCGATTTTCCAGAGGTAAGCCTGCAAAATATATTCTCTTGCATCTTGCATTGTCCGAAAGGTCACTGACGAAAGTGCATTCTCATCCTTCTCCTCAAAGGACCAAACCGAGCAGGTTACTCAGATCTGGAAGGAAATCTTCCGGTCCAGCCTAGAGATCCCGGATTATGGGGAAGCACTCGCTGCGGCAGTCAGGAACCCCGACGAGCAGATGTAGGTCAATTGGACAAACCGCTGACGTCTTGATCAGAAGTCAGACAGCCTCTGACACTTTTGTTTCCGCAGCAAAATCACATGCGTTCGTCGCCTGATCGGCCGCATGTGCGAGACGGGAGACATCAAAGCTCTATGCGGATTCAATGTCGGCCGTTTGCAGGACGAGGTCGAGATCGAATTGGCTAACAAAGCTCGCACGACGCCGGTTGAGCAGTGCCTTTCGGGCGGACCGAACTACTATCAGATTTTCTATAGCTACTGTGTGACTCATGGGGACTTCCGAACAGGTGAGTGTCGGAACGTGATCGTTTTCAGCGCTGCGGACTCCGTGCTTAATTCAACATGATGTAGCCGCGAGTGCTATGTACAGCTACGCGCAAGCGATCAACGCATTGACAAGCCGAATCACCGGAGGAGGAACCGGCGTGAGCTTGTTGACCGCACTTCAACAACAGTGCGGGGCTTATTTGGCTGTCCTCAACGCTTTATCGTCTGTTGCGACCGAATATGCCTGGATTGTTGTCCCTGTGAAAGATGACAAAAGCAAAGTCGTAAGTGCTGAAATTGACTTGGTGACCACTTCCGACATACTTTGACACCAGATTATACAGAGCAAGCGCAGAAAACTGGATATCCCAGGCGACGGTAAACAACCCATCAAGCAGCAAAGGATTACAACAAAGGTTCTGCAACCCGACGATGTCCGCAAAGAGTATCTGCTCTGCTTGACCAGGTTGAACCTGTACAACTCGTCCGCCGCCCTCCATCAGAGAACCATTGTCGGCCTGCCGAGTCCCGAAGATGCCCTCGCGCTCTATGTCGATGCAGGACGCCACGATGATGCACTTAGCCTTGGACGTATATTCGAACTCGATCTGACGAAGGTCTTCGAAGCAATGGCCGAAAAGTGTGCGTTCCTCAGCACCCAGCCCCCTGATTTCAACACGAACGACAGCATTGGGGAGAGTCTTACGGATGACCCGCGTGTGGATTGGGAAGGCACTTCTGCCGACAGAGCTTGGCGGACGTTGAATGAGTACCTGTTGGAGCACGACACTCCTCGCACGGGCTATGCTTACAGGTCTGCAGTGATCGACCGCGTGCTGCAAGTTCATCGCTCGTTCCGCATTCCCAAAGCGTGGATTACCTCGTTTTACGATACACGGAATCCGGATGATCTGATTCGCGTGTACCTGAAGCATGATTTACTCGAGGAAGCTGCTTATTTCGTCTCCGACTATGTCAAATGTCAAGAAAAACTCCTGAGGGCACGGAAGACCGCGGGACGACCCTTGGATACTGCAAGCCGGCCGAAGTGGTTGCCTTACTTGCTGATTGATCAAACGATATACGAGCTGAAGAAACGTGGCTTAACGGAAGTCGCCGAAAACCTCGCAAACGCGGTAGCGAGCTATCTGAGACTGATTACGGGCGAAAGCGAGGAGGCTCTCGGTACAAAGTCGGCGGCTAAGCGCACAACAAACCTGACTGGCAAGAACGTCAGGTTTGAGCCCGATGTTTCTGAGAGAGTTCCGACCAAGTCCCAGCTACCGCAAAAGGTATTTCCAACGCAACCGAAGCACCCCCTGACGCAGACGCCGTCACAGCTGTTCTTCGAACAGCCGACGGAAGCAGCAAAGCCTTCGGCACAGCAAACTGCTACTCAACCGAAAAAGGCACCTTTGGCCTTTGGAAGCCCACCGACTTCAATCGATGACCTCGATACGACGACGGTGCCAATGGACACATCGGAAGCAGCCGACTCATCGCCACCCGCGGCGCCTAGATTCTCGTTCGGCCCGCAGGCATCAAAGGCAACGCCCGCCTTCCCAACGACAAAACCCGCGCCGTTTGCATTTGGGTCAGGCCCGAGTGCCTCCGCACCATTCGCACCAACGAGCAGCTTCGCCCCATCTTCCCAAGCCCCACCTGCGCCATCAGCTCTGATGCCAGCCGCACCTTCATTCGGCTCAGCATTTGGATTAACTGCCGCCCCTGGCCAAGAGACTCGGAAAGCTCCCCCACCATCACAGATTACGGATGTTGAGACAGGCGAACAGCTACCCCAATCGCCCGTGCCGGCGAAGAGACAGAAGAAAGTCGGCGTGCCCACCTTTGGATCAGCCTCATCCCTCGCAACGGACAGTGGCTTCACCCGTGCACCAACTTCGTCGCAAACCCCGGCGTCGTTTCCAACCAGTACTTTCGGTTCGAGCCCGGCCCCTTTGTTCGGTAGTAGTGCCAGTGTGTCAGCACAGCAATCAATAGCACCTGCAATCGGTACACCACAACCCTTCGCATTTAGCACCGGCGTTCCTTCGGTGACCGCTGTCCCTGACAAGCCGAAAGCACCTGCAGCATTTTCCCTGGCTAATTTCGGAGCCAGTCAACCGCCTTCCGCGTTCGGCGCCTCGAAGAGTGCTGACCCACCAAAACTTACACAGCCACCCATCTTCGGGGGCGTCTCTAGCTCGGAGCCCGCCGTTACCAAAACAGCTACTGCCCCGCCACCCACTTTCGGAGCTGCGTTTGGATCCAACTCCGCCTCGAGTGGAGGTTTCAGTTTTACACCTGCTGCTTCGCAACCGGCCAAGGCCTCTGCGTCGACGTCAACCGCTGGGTTTGGTTCATCGCCGGCACTGTTCGGTGCTTCCGCTGCGGCACCGGCATCTCCGTTCGGCGCGGCTCAGTTCGGCGTATTCAAGCCCGCTGACGACACTGCCAGACCGGCCGTCTCGGCGGCTCCTGTAGCGTTTAGTTCATCGCCAGCAGTGTTCGGCGGTGGGAAGCTCGCGGAGACCGCAAATGGGTCCATCAAGACTTCACCTGCGGCGTTTACATCTACGTTTGGCACGGCTCAATTCGGCGGAATCAAGCTGGCAGACAATACGGTAAACACTTCCGTCTCGGCGCCTCTTGGGTTTGGTTCGACGCCTGCACTATTTGGTGCTGCGACGCCCGCAGCGACGGCGCAAGATCCTTTTATGACTTCACGTGCGGCATCTACGTCGACGTTGGGTACGCCTCAGGTCGGTGGATTCAGACCTGCAGAGCCAACTTTCGGGGCAGTTCAGGGTTTCGGTGGATTCAACCTCCCAGGGCCAGCACGTCAAACTGCTTTTGGGGTTCAGGCCTCCGGTGCGTTCACACCCGCAGAACCAGTGGATGAATCTTCCAAGAATCCCGGGTCAGCAGATGAATCGGCGTCGGCGCCTTCATTGTTCGGATCGGCTCAACCTTTCCGCGGTTTCAAAATACCTCAATCAATAGATCAGTCGGCCAACACCCCGACGTCAGCGCTTTCATTGTTTGGTTCTCCTCAGACTCTCGGCAGTCTCAAGCCTCCGCAGTCAGCAGATGCGCCGGCCAAGAGCTTGAACCCGGCGCCGCCATTGTTTGGGACTGACCAGACTTCCGGCGGTTTCAAACCTCCACAGACAACGGAAGAACCACCCAAAGCTTTGGTTTCAACGCTCGGAACGACTCAGGCTTCCGGCGGTTTCAAGCCTCTGCAGGCAGCTGAAGAAGCAATCAAACCGTTCATTCCAGCGTCCGCAGCGGCTCAGATATTCGGGTTCAAGCCACCGCAAGCAGCAGAGGATCCAGCCAAACCGTCCCTTCCAGCGTTTGGCGCCGGCCAAACTTCTGAAGCCTTCAAGCCCGCAGAAGCAGGAGAAGAGCGACCCAAAACCTCTATTCCAGCGTTCGGTCCCTTTGGGGGGTCCAAGCCGGCAACGTCGGTAGAGGAGCTGTCCGAAAGCTCTACTTCGACCTTCGGCTCTTTTGGAGGGTCCAAGCCGGCAGCGTCGGCAGGGGACTTTTCCAAAACCGCTGCTTCAACCTTCGGCTCGTTTGGAGGATATACGCCTGCAGCGTCAGGAGAAGGGCAGCCCAAACCCTCTCTTCCAGCCTTTGGATCTCAAGGATCTAAACCGGCAGCGGTTGAGGAGCAGTCCAAAATCCCTGCCCCAGCGTCTGGCACGTCTCAGGTTTTCGGTGGATTCAAGCCCATCCCGGACTTCTCGGCGAGAATTGTTCCAACATCCAGTTTTGGCGGCGTCCAGGTCGGTTCCACCGACTCCGCCGTGCCGAGTTCCCCACCAACAGAGACGAGGGCTGAGATGCATGACGATGAGGGGGATTCGGAGACCGCCACATCTGACCCAGTAGCAAGGTCCACCCCCTTCGGCGCTGGTAACTCTGGCCTTGCACAGCCTTCCGGAATGTTTTTCGAGCCCCAGTCGGAAGAGCAAAGCGTCCCTGAACCAGCAGCGCCCAACTCAGCTCCACCGCCTAGGTTTGGGACCTCCACTGGTGCACCTTCCACATCAGCGCAATCTTTCGGAGCTGAGAATTCTGCGTCGAAAAATGATGTTTCTGAATCATTAAGGACCGTTATGACGCCTGCAGGCGTTTCGGAAAAGGCTTTAGCAGAGGAAGCTCCTGGTAGCGATATCTCCGCGCCTGCGAGCTTCACTGCTCCACTGGAGACGATGGCTCCACCTACCGGTTTCCAATTCAAGGTCCCGCATCCTGCGTCGCGCCCCTCTGGCATCGCATCAGCCGCGCCCATATCCGTTGCATTTGCTGGATTTGGGAACCAAACGGTCACACCAGCAACGTCGCAGACCGCGGCTTCAAATGCCCCCGGTGCATTCAGTGGGTTCGGGAGTGGATCAACGGTTGCCCCGGCTTCCACGGGGCAGGTGTCGTATTCGCCAAAGTTTCCAGCGGCAACTCCGAGCTCCACAGGCTCAGGGGTTGGCTTTGGTGTTTCTAGCCAAACGCAGCCGTCGAGCTCAGCGCCGATTGCTATCTCCAGCTCGTTCAAACCAGCAGAGACAATTTCCGGATTTGAAGCAGCCGCGCCCTCCACGTCCAAGAGTGAAGAGTCACTAGAAGACGAGGACGAATACGAAGACCCCCCAATCCCGGTCTCGTCCGCATCACCCACGAAAGGTAATGCTTTGCTCTTTACGAAGCCATTAGGGTTTGGCACGGGGTTCACGTTCGCTCCAGCGCCCATCCCCTCACCTCCGAACCCATGCTCATCCGCCGCCTCATACTTAGCCACGCCGGCGTCGTCTTCTACCCCAAGAACATCAACCACATCGGTTTCGGGCGTAACGACGAGCACTCCGCTTGCAGAGGCGGGGACACACCCGGCTTCGATGGGATTCGCGCCGCTGTCGCATGCGTCGACGGTTTCGGCTTTTGCGAGTGCGTCGGACCCGGAGCTGAACAGAAACTCTCCCAGGCCCATCAAGGTTACGAAGGGATTCCAGGCGGCTGCGTTGCCGGGGACGGCGAGTCCGCTGGCTTCACGTGATGGGTTTGGAGATGCGTCGGAGGCGCCTGTCGAACCTACCCCTTCTGCGACGGCACCTGCGTTTTCATTCGGGTTTGGGTCCGGAATCGGGGCCGGGCCGGCTGATTCCCAGGCGCATACCGCGCATGCAGCGTCAACCCCTTCATTCGGGTTCGCAGCCCCGCAACCTAAAGCAGCAAGCAGCCCCCCACAGTTCACGTTCGGAATGTCCCCTGCTGCCGCCACGCCGAAGGCGGGAACAAGCTCAGGCTTCAGTTTCGGATCGACACCCCTCGGGTCAACGCCTACCAGCACCACTTCGCAAGAAGCAGCGTTCGGTACCACCGTCCCCCCGCCCAAATTCTCTTTCGCGCCAACGAACAACCCGGCTGCGTCGTCCACTCCGTTCACATTCACGCCCTCGACGAGCGCGGCATCGAGCAGCACGCCGCTCACGTTCAATTTCGCTAAACCGGTCACCGCTACGGAGGAGGATGACAATACCGCGTCGACTTCGGCTTGCCCACCAGCCCCGGTCCCCGCGTCCCCGCCACGGTATGCAGACCATGCGGATGCGGAGAGCGAGGAGGTGTTTGTGCCTGTGACGAGGGGCAAGAGGGGGAAGAGGAAGAGTGCTAGCCCGGTTAAGGAATGAATGTGTGCGTCATTGTATGGGGCAATCTATGCGGGGGATGATGCATGATTTGTATATTTACGAAGGGAATGGTTGGATTGCAAATAAATCTAATGGTGCTCATAATCCTCAATGAAGTGGGATGCCCCACTGTGTATCCTATTCGGCTGTTTGGTACCGCTTCATGGGTTCCAAGAGTGATTGAGAAGGATGCCAGAGCGATGATGCATGATTCTACCATGGCGGGGGCTACCATGTCGTTGAGTGAGAGATGAAGGGCGACCAGGTCCCAAGCAAACAAACTAGCACTGTGGACTTGATGGGTATATGATTGGCGAGACCGATAAAGGATCTGTAGCCGTTGATCTTATCGGTGGGTTTCGTTTCAAACGAATGGTCGATGCACCGTAGGCGAGCACGCGATGAGCCGAATGTGTGGCAACCGTAGGTGGTATCGATGTCCTTTGACATCCCGAAGAGAGAAACGGGAGGGCTGAACAGCCGTTGCCCAGTCCACCATATCGATGTCGAGGCCGGTCCGGTTTGATGACGGCGGATTTCAGAATTGCGATGCAGGGAGGATGCAGGTGAGGTGGCGGTAACCAGGAGCAGCAGAGATGTGGCCAGGTGTTTATCCTTCGCGCCACTGTTCAGCGCAATTGCAGCACTACATGAGGAAGAAAGCAGGATGTTGAGATGACGGCTTCGTGGCTGAAAGGCTCCTTCCACATCCAAAATTTCCCTTGCGACCAGTCTCCCGTTCCATCGAATTTAGCCTCGTTGCCAGCAAATTCCTATTCCTTTCCAATCGAAGCCGCTTAAAAGGTCAGGTGGAGGCCATTACCTTGAAGAAAATGGACATGGGCTCATCGGCAGATCGAATCTGGAGTTGCATGAAGTAGGCGCGGTTGTGGTCGCATTTCGGGCAGCGGGCTGGGCGGAGAAAAAAAAAGACCCCCAAAGTCAACAATCACAACGTTCTCACCACTGCGGGGCTTGATGCTGCTTGGGTGTTGCGGACATAGGTTTCCATAGTCCATCGAAAAGAAATGGTGGCCCTCACCTTCTGTTGCATCGACGTTCTCCCAAGCCGCGGAACCGCCCAGCACGTCGTCCACTTGTTTTCGTTTGTACGTCGTTCGACTTGTAATGGGCTTTATACAAAGTGGTAATACAAAAGTGAGCCAGTGTATCTCAGGGTCCTCCAAAACTTCGCCTTTGGTTATTCCGCTCCCTTGCCTTTCTTATCTTGCAGACGTATGGACATGTTTGGCACACGAATTGGTTATGACCCGACTCGCCCTGGGCGATGAGTAGCATATTTGCACAGCTTGGACAGAAGTACATTGTGGCTTGTTGTGACGAGAGTAAATGAGAGCTGACGGACCGTGGACCTTTCGTGGGGTGAGGCTCAGGCTCCTGTGTATACTTTGCCTTCAAATCTTTCAAATTGCACTGCGAGCCTATACGACGAACCGGTTGTGACGAAAAAAAGAGGACTGCGCTTCGAAACTTTCGAAAAGTCGTCCGGAAGCCACGCGCCAAAAGCATCTACGGGCATCGGCCACCGCCCACAGTGATCTAGGACCTACTGCAGACAAAGACAGCACGTACGCTCCAGGAAGGCGCTGTGTCCCAGATACTTCCTTGCGAGGTCCATTTCACGCTTCCAGGAGAGAACGGCTTCCTGCAATGGGCGCATCACGCGCGAAAGCCGGCAACATTTCTCACGTCAGAACCGTCCAGAAAGGTACCGACACCCCAGCGACGCCCAACCGAGGCTCGAAGCCACGAAAGCGTCAAGTCGTGCGAAAGAAGTCGTTCACACGAGGGGAGGGAGAGGAAGAAGAATCGCTTGTGAAAGTAGCAAAGAAGATGGTGAAAACACTCCACTTCAACGAGTTACTCCCGTGGCAGCAGGTGGGTTGGGTCATATGTACCTCGCCTTTCTGCTAGCCCGCGTCTAAGATACAGACGAAACCAGGACGACTACTACATTCACACAGGCTACCGGCCACTCCAAGATTCCTACATCGGCTGCATCCGCACGCTCTCCTACATCCATAACGAGACCGGCAACATCTTCTCCCACAAACTCGGTGCGTTGCTGTTCGCTGCCGCCTTCTACTTCACCTTCACATACAATATTCTTGGGGAGACGGTGAAAGTCGCTCGGTGGGGCGATTATGCGGCGTTTGGCGTGTTCCTACTGTCGGCCGTGGTGTGTTTCAGTCTGTCGGCCTGGTTTCATACGGTGATTTGCCATAGTCAGAGAGTGTGCATATTGTTCAACAAGATTGATTATTTCGGGATTGTGGTGTTGATCTGGTATGCGTATGCGACCTGCTTGATTGCGCTGCTTGTAAGAAGTCACCCTAATCATAGAGTCGAACCCCTTTCACAGTGGATCAACGTACCCAAGCCTCTACTGGGGGTTCTCCTGCCACCCCCACTTTCGAGTAGTCTACTGCACAATGACGACGATCTTTGGTGGCATGACAGTACGTCAAAGCGCAACAACAAAGTCTCCCTCTCTCGACGCAGTGGGGCTTACAGGCCTCTATCGCACCAGATGTACACGTCGCTGGCATCCCGGTTCAGCACGCCAAATCATCGCGATATTCGGACCGCGAGCTTTGTCGGTCTCGGGCTGTCCGGGCTGATTCCCTTGTTACACGGATTCTATTTGCATGGGGTATGTACGGTGCCCTAGCTCCCATGTGTGTGAATAAAATTCTGAGTTTCAATCTTCCCGTAGATAGCGACATCAATCGAAGCCGTTTCATTCTGGCATCTGATGGGAATGGCAGCATTCTATATCGTCGGGGCTATAGTGTACACGCTTCGAGTACCCGAACGGATATTTCCGGGTCGTTTTGACATTTGGGTTTGTTTGCATCTTTCGCACATAGGTTTCAATTTCACACTCGTGTTCGTTTGACTGACTTGGCTTGGTCTCTACTCAATGAAGGGCCACTCACACCAAATCTTCCACGTCCTTGTTCTCGGAGGGGCGATCACGCACTATCTGGGACTGGTCAAATCGTGTCGATATTGGCGCGAGGGGACACCCCCTTGCCAGCTTTGATGACAGCCGGAGAAACGGCTGCCGCACACAGGCATGCGGCAAAGGCAGCGGTCGGGCAGGCAGGCAGGCAGGAACCTGATGTGCCAACTCATACCATACTTTTGGACTGGTACCTCTATTAGTGAACATGACTAGACTTGAGCTGGTCTTTCGTAGTATTATGCATGACTATAATTGAATCACGCTACACCCTGCGGTAGTTCTACTTCTAAGTTCTAACACAACCGTAACCTATGCATGAATCGAACGCGCTCGCACTCCATCACCTACTCCTCCTCCCCATCCTCTCCCTCCTCCCACTCCTCCACCCCCGTCACAACCCTCCCCAACCTCCCCACCACCCTACCCGCCGCCCAAGCCCCCCCAAAACTCATATCATACCAATAGTTCACCGCAACCACCGCGCGGAACCTGTCGAGCCCTTCCTCCTCTTGCAAAACCTGGTGGTACCACAGTGAGGGGAGGTAGAGGGTTTCGCCGGCGTGAACAGTGACGATTAGGGGGCGGCAGTGCTGGGTGTAGAGGGGGTGGTCGGTGGGGGAGGGGTGCAGGGGGTTGACGGGGATCCAGGGCGTTGATGTTTGGGGGGAGGTGGGAAGGATGGTCCAGGTTGGGGGTTCGGTGAAGGAGGTTCGGGTGGGATGGTATGTGGCAGTTGGGAAGAGGCGTTCTGCGAGGGAGGGAGAGATAATTGAGATGTGCTACCATCACTACTGAGCGATAGATGTGTCGCACTTACCATAGAGACAGAACTGCTCCTGCGGTGGAATACTTGAAAGCAAGTGCAAGATAAGTAAGTTCCGATTCCGCACATCTCATACTCAACGGCAGCCATCCCAGTTCTCACAGTATAAAAGTCTTCGTCCCGGCCACAACGACATAAAGATTCTCATAGTGATCCTTATGCAGCGCCGTAACCGATTTCCTCCCACCCATCCAGAAATTCACGGCATCGGGCGGTTTCCCGAACGCGTCGGACGCCCAGGTGATATCGGGGGGTATATCCTCCAACAGCTCGGTGAATTCGTCGTGCATGTTGTTATTTTGGGATTGGCAGTAGTAGGTTGGGGGGGCGGGGTCACCCGACCGCCATTGGGAGGAGTCCATCTCTTCTTCGGCGGAGAGGGTGGTTGCTGATTTTGGGGGGAAGTGAGAGAGGAGGTCTGCAAAAGAGAGTTTTTGTTCATGGGGGAGGACGAAGTGGCCTTCTACGACTGCATCGGCGAGTCTAGGGTATGCTTTCCGTGAGATAGATTACAATCTGGGGAAGGGAGGGGAACATGGAAAGCTTACCCGTTGGGCGTAACGGCGACCGTCACAGGCTTCGTGACCTTCTGCTCCAGATACATCTTCGATCGCCACCGCTCCATCGCCGGCCAGCTGTCCGCCACATCTACAATATCCTCCAATCAGTTCATCCAGTCCATCTGCCCTTCCGTCCGTGCTCTAACCCCTCTAACCCCTCTTTCAGCACTCACGCTCGATAACGACGGGAAAGTTATCCCTCACCAGCCTGCTGAACTCGAGAGCGGTGGGCGGGGCAGGCAGACGTGATACATGCGAACTGCGGAAGGTTCGGGCTTCGCGGGCCTGGGAAATCAGAACGTCCAGGATGGTTTGGGATGTGACCTCTGGAAGCATTGTGGATGTTTGGCGGAGAGGTTGGGCGGGGCTGCTGAAAAGGTGGAAGGTCAGTTCCCAATGCTGTCCCAATGCCAAACAACTTCCGGACAAAACAACCTGAGGCCCCCATCGCACACTTCGACCTGCAGTCCATTCGCACAACTCAGGAACGGACTCCATCAGCACAGCAGAGGGGCCCACAAACACAGACACTCACCTTCACCAGGAACGCTTCCACCAGAATGTCGGCCTTCCCCACCAACAAACCATCGCCACAACCAGCCTCAACGAGGACGACACCATCCGCTCAACAAACGACGACGCTTCCATCTCTCCGACCTCGCGTACAATAGGTTATAAGCCCTGCTTGCGAAGCCGAATAGATCTAAGGTTTAGTTTCGTACAAAGAAATAGTAGTAGTAGTGGAACCATCGCCACGGGTGCCCCATCGGCGGCCCCGTCGGCACCCGATCTCGCAGATCCCTCACTCGATCCCTCACTCGATCCCGCACAGCAGATCACACTGCAGAAGCGCACACGGCGCGCACGGCACGCAGAGCCGCAGAGGAATACAAGGAGATCAGAAACCGGGGGAGACATCGGAGGGAGCAGAAGAAAGGATGGGGCGGTACGAAGAAAGGCTTGTCACGCTGGAGAAGGCCACTCTCACGCTGGAGAAGGCTAGGGAAGATCACAGAAGGTTCATGGAAGATCAAAAAAGGATGCTGGAAGTCATCATGAGGCAAATTGCACGGCTCCAAACCGCAGAGGAGAAGGAAGCGGACGGAATTCTGGAGAAGGAAATCGTCGTACCGAGAAAGAAATTATGCCCACGCCCATCGCTCCTTGCAGGCTGTGCGGCATCACCGGGCACTGGACCAGAGCCTGTCCTGAACTCGAAGCTGCGAAAACATACTTGAGAAGCGGAACACCAACGAAGAAAAAAGAAGCCGAAGCGAACCTCGTCCTCGGTACCCCCCGCAACGAAGACCATAGTATCGCGCTCAACCCGCGCACCTTCAAAGCCGATGCCGAACGACACTGCGAAACGAAGATCAAAGAACCTCGCTGCGATAACGGAGGAAACGGAATCGCCGAAAGGTTGAACCGCACGATAGCAAATCAAAGCTCGCACCACCATACAGCACACCGGGAACGTACCCAACCTCCGCAACGAAATAGCGTTCACGGACTACCTGCGTCAGCGCACACCGAGTGCTGCTACGAACGAAGCGCCGTACCGAGAATGGCTGCGCAGCGCACACCGAGTGCCGCTCCGAACGAGACGCCTTACCAACGAAAATGCATGGAGGAGAAGCCGATATCTCGAATCAACTGTGGTGCGAAGCCTACCTACAAATCCCGTCATGTTACCTTCAACGAAACGATCGAAATCTTCGAATCCCGCGATATGACCTTCAACGCAGCGCATTATCGAAGCGCAATTACTACCGACGTAGACGTTGAACATATCGAAAAGAAAATCCTGCTTTCGCGCGGCGCTCAAGGCGACCTGCTCGGCGATGGGGTTTTGGGGGAGAACGAGGAAGAAAGAGCGCACGTTCGAAGCGCAACTACCGATGACAAGGACGGCGAAATCGTACTACCGGCTATCAACGCAGACACGTCCGAGATCCTCAACGCAGCGCAAGTTCGAGGCGCACCTACCTACCGGCTATCCAACGAAGAAACGATCGAAATCTTCTCATCTCGCGATGCGGCTATCAACGAAGCGCACGCTAGAAGCGCAGAGAAGAACCACGAACGAAGCTCGGCACCTACCGGCTAGTCAACGAAGCGCTAACAGTAATGTGGTTGAACCACGAGTCGAACACCAGATGCACGTCATGGGGTATGCGAAGACGCTGCATTCGTCCATCAACTATCCTGCGAGAGTGTCTCTGCGCACCAACTACTGAAGACAACGACGCCGACGAAGATGGCGAAATCGTACTACCGGCTATCCACGAAGAAACGTTCGGGACCGACGAAGAAAAAGCGCAGGTTCGAAGCGCACCTACTGACGACAACGAGGGAAGGTAAAGCGCACGTTCGAAGCGCACCTACCGACGACGACGCCGACGACGATGGCGAATACAATATCGAAAAGATCCTTCTCTCGCGCTCGAGACGACTCGCACGGCGACGGGGATCGGGGGAAGAAAAAGGAAGAAAAAGACACGAAAAAGGGTTATCGTCGCCCCCGTACACGACGCAGGAGAGCGTACAACATACGCACGCGAATGGCACGCGAAGCGCGCAAGAAATGAAACACAACATCGGGCACGAAACGGTCGACTCGAAATACGACATCCCGTACCTTCCGAAGCCCGCGCTTGCCCATCTACGGTCGCTACAAGGGATACATCCCCCCGAAAACGAAACTCCGTGAGAGAAACGTTGTATATGCACGAAAGAAGAAGAAGAAGCGCAGATCTGAAGAAAAAAGGAGGAGAAGCGCAAATCTGAAGGAAAAAGGTGGCACGAAGCCGAGCGCCGGAAAAGGGAGCGATGTTGGTCAAGTGAAAAATGTTGACTTCACCCCTACGCTGTCGGAGGTACAGTCAGTTATCAAAAAGCTGTGCACCCCCCTGAAATAAATCAGCGACTGCCGTAACGCCAAATTCACGTGAGGACCGACATTGATTTCAATTAGAGGGGGTGCACAGCTTTTTGCTAACTGACTGTACCATTTCTCACCGCGTTTTACTAGTCAACTACTAGTTCATTTTGAGGAGAAATTCGCCTTCCGATCGCGTCAAACCTATGTCAACCGACTCGAAGTCGAAGAAGAAGAAGAAGAAGGCGTATGGAAGTTGGAGTAGGGGGAGCGCTGTACTGAGATGAAGAAAAAGGAAGCTTGTGTGCTGCATCGCACAACATCCATCCTTCCCCGTACTTCCCACGTCCTCACCGCAAGATGGACTTCCATGTCCCACTCCACCCTATATATCTCCTCTTACCCCTCATCCCCACCCAGAAATCATAATCTAAACAATCCTCTGGACAGTGATCCTCTTCCCCTTCATGTTCGGCCTCGTGGGCCTTTGGGCCTACATCGTCTTCCTACGAAGCAAGTTCGGGATGGTATTACTTTTGGGCTTTGTGGACATCGAGTTGTTTGCAGGGGTGAGCAGTGTGGCCGTTGTTAGTGAGTCTGAAGTCAGATATTGGGAATTTGGGATTTGTGGGGCTCATATGAACTCTCTAGGGATGTTGTTGGCAAGTGTCTATAACGCGGGCCTGTTTGCAATGGCGACGTGGATTCCGTTGGGGTGGGCTTTGGTGCAGATTATCATGGTGCTGATTTTGTCGGATGCAGATATTACGTTGAATAATCTATAGAGATGCATGCGCTCACTTGAGAGGAGGGAGGAGGGGGAGATAGAGGAGCGCTTCTTCGCAAAACACATATTTGGGGAACTTATCCGCTATGTACATATTCTGCAACCAGCACAAACACTATGGCATCTGTACCAAACGCATTGCCTTGCCTTCCTACTCCCGTTTCCTATGAGCAAGCCCACAAATTGCCGCTGTCTCCAATACAATATCCTCAATATCCCCTGTTCCATACCCGCCAAACCAAACGCCCTTCCCCACGCCAACCGTCTTCCTCCACCACTCCCTGTACACGATAATAATCGTATCCGCCGGCGCCGCAACGCGCGTATCCACCGCTCTGGCTCCATACGCCAGATTCTGCTGTAACCCCCTTAGCATGTCATAGTCTTCCTGCAGGACGCGTTTGTTGAAGCGGTGCAACCACCACGCGAAGAACCATTTCAATGGCGGGAGGAAGCGGAAGAGGAGAGATGAGGACGGGTCGGGAATGAATGGCATGCGTTGGAAGTAGATGAAGCGGCAGTGGCCTTTGCGGGTGGGGACGGCGTAGAATGTTTGGTCGAAGGGGCGACGAGGTTTTGTTGGTACTCCTGCTGTTGAGACTTTCTTTGGCACGCGGGTGAACCCGAGCATGATCCCGCACGGCACTCGGAACTCAAAGTCGACTATTGTCAGATCGGGGCGGTCGGCGGTGACTGGCCGGCATCGGACGGAATCGGTGGTGAAGCGGACTTCGGTGATAGTCATTTGTGTGGCGTTGGAGCGTTTCGAGATTGTCGTGTCGTGGGTGAAGGGGAGATGCGCTGGGTCCAGGAAATTCTCAACTAGTAGGGAGCTGCAGAAAGAGGAACGCATTAGCGAATCGCTGGGATTTTGCAGAGATTGGGATACCACGACTCACTGGTCAATATCCAAATCCACATATCCGCTCCACGCCGAAAACTCATCCTCCCTCCCTCCCATAAGCCGCACCCCAGGCTGCCCGCCATCATCAACCTTCTCCGCCTCCCCCGGCCAAATCCACACCCACTCGTTCGCCTCCCTTATCGGATACTTCCGAATCTCCACATTAGGCAGTTTGGCGTTCGCCGCCGTGGACGGCACGACGACACACTCCCCGGCGGAATCGTACTGCCAGCCATGGTATCTGCACTCGAGATTGCCGTTCATGATTCGCCCGGACGACAGCGGCGCGGCGCGATGCGGGCACCGGTCCTCGAAGGCTATGACTTCATGTGTGCTGGGGTCGCGGTAGATGACTACTGGATCACCCTTTTCGCGGCTAGGGTCAGTTACGGGTCAGACGCGGAAGTCGGGGGGATGGGCTTACCCAGATGTGGTGTTTGGCGGGTTGGGAGGATGACACCTCGGAGGACGGGATTAACGGGTACCAGTAGTTGCGGACATTGTGCTGGATGTCAAAGAATGCTGCCCGACCTATGCTTGTGTTGGAGGAGGAGGGGTCGGATGTCGGCGACATGTATGCCGCAGAAGTATCAAGACGATGTCGGTGTATTGAAGGGCAATGTCCTTTCACGGACTTCAGCCGTCTTCCCCCGCGTTCAACCTGAGGCTTGAGCCTCAGAGCCTTCTTCACAATTCGGCCCTCGACGACCTTCTTCACGCGTTCTCTACGTTCGCTCACGACACGAGACATGCCATTATTGCAGATACACATACGATAGATACAACAGCCGTGGGACCCTAGACTCCACTTGTCGTCCATCCTTCCTTCCTCCTCACCCATAATAATCCAAAAACCCCAGAACCCCGCTCGCCATAACCAAAAAAATCAGCACCCACACACGGGCGCCCGCAAACCGCCGCTGAGCGCTCTGCAGCTGCACATTGGCTTTCGTGACCGTCTCGGTGTGTCGCCAGGACTCCTCGTAGAGGGTGTCAATTGTTGTGGCTTGTTGGGTTACTTCGTGCGCGAGGCGCGAGTGGAGGGAGGAGATTTCCATTAAGAGGGTTGTTGTGTGGCTGTGGTGAGAAGAGGGATTAGGCAATGTGCTATGGAGCAGCAAAGCGATGTGATTCCGCGAGAAGTTTGAATTGTCGTCACAGCTGATACTTTACCGAACTTGATCCAAACTACTCTCCAAACTCTCCAACAGCTCCACATTATCATTCTCCAACAACATTCGCTCCTGCGCCGTCAACGATTTCGCGACATCCTCCTCCTCCTGCGGGCGTACATCCTCCTCATCTCCCGGACTAAACGTCGTCGACGCCAGCCGCGACGGTGATAACGATGTCGTCGATGGTCGTGCAGGCGATGTCGTCGACGCTCGACCAGGCGAGGATGTGGTCGACGACCGCGGGAAGGCGGGTGACGGTGCGGTGGTGGATTTGGGCAGTTTGGAGGATGTGGAGGAGAGGGTTGCGGTGACGGCAGAGGTGATGGTTGAGGGGATGGAGAGGGCGAACGGGAGGAAGGTGGAGGAGGTTGAGTGCGGGGATTTGTGGAGGGTTGATGTTGGCGTTGATTTTGATGAGTATAGGAAGCTGATGGAAAGGACCGTGGCATCAGGGTATATGTGGAAGTAAAATGGTCTCGAACGCCGGACTACGAATCGAACATACCTCTCCTGGCTCTGGGTCTTCATCTTCAGTAATCTTTCCTGCATCCGCTTCTGGATCAGCGACACGTCCATCAGACGCTTTTGTAACAGCCACACGATGGCTCGCCGGTGTTCTTGAAGTAACCGGGCGCGGAACGCCTCCTCCTTGTTTGCAAACAGCGTACTTATCACGCCCGATGTGCCCGCCGTCTCCTCTACAGCCATGGGGGACACGTTAATGTTGAATACTGCGAGTCCCCACCGCGAGCCCACTTTTTGCATACCAGCAATCTTCCCCAAAGCAGCCGTCCTATTGAACAATCCCGCAACGACAGTCTGGATCTGGGTATCCAGCGCCTGCCGGTCTCCATCGGTCATATGTTTCAGCTTTGGTAACATTTCCAACAGGGGCAGCTTCCCGTTCGTCCCTGCCCGACCACTAACTCCATCATCCTCATCATCATCATCCAGTAAAGAAGCAGCACTGGCCGTCTTTAGGTAGTATTTCTGCACCCGCGAGAGGAAATAGTGCAGCTGGTGGATGTGTTCTAGCTTGTCGCGCAGTGAGTTATAGACATCACAGACCGAGTGACTACAGCCTACGTACCAGCCTATACCCTTCCTTGAGGAAGGCGTCGTCGAGCGAGTCTATGCTCCGTGTGCGTTTTCGCGAGAGGATGGGATGGGATGTCTTTGCGGTTGTGTGATCGTTTACGCCGTGATGGCCGTGCTGGGAGGCGGATGCTTTCTGGCGAGCGGCGAGGATTGAGCGGAAGTTGGGGGTCAGGTCTGACATTGCCTTTGCCCTTTTCCTTCTTTTATGTGTTGTTGGGTATTATAGGGAAGTGTTAGCCAGAAACAAAGGTGAGGAGGGGTCAAAAAGCACAACGTCACACCTCGCTCCACTCGACATTTCCACCCGCACTTGGTCCCCACGACCCCAAGATTGGAGATCGCGAACGGGGAACAGGCAACGGCGGACTAAGCTTCTTGTTGTACAGTGAACTACATAGCACACACGTTTCAGTCGAGGACCCTCGTCCTGTAATTACGGGCCCACAATTGTACGGTAAACCCATCTTCTCAACTTTCTGACGATAATGTTCGGTTGGGGAGGCAAGAAGAAGGCCGACGGCGGGAACACCCCAAAGCCCAAACAGGCCGCAGCTCCTCTCTCCACCGGTTATGACCCGTCCGACTTCGACGACGACATCGAGGCGCCCGAACTCTCCGAGTCGGACCTCAACGACCCCGCCCTCTTAGCCGAACTCCAGCAACTAGCGGGAGCATCCAAACCGAAAAAGGCAGCCTTACCGCCGCCACCGCCGGCACCTGCGAAGCGGAAACCGGCGCCAGCGCGACCGGCGGCTGAAAATGATGGGGTGGATGTGGAGGCGGTGTTGGCTGGTGTGGATTTTGGAAGCGATGATGTGGAGGTGCAGTTCGATGAGTCGGATATGAGAGATCCGGAACTGCTGGCTGCTTTGCGGGCTATGGGCGGCGCTGACTCCGCTAGTGATGCGGAGGATGAGAGCCCCGTCTCGCCTGGATCAGATGCATCACGTATCAGCGATGGAGACAACTCGCCGGTGTCGGACAAACCTATGCCGAAAGCCCAACCACATGTACCAAAGACTCCCGAGCGCAAGTCATCTTTACATGCCCCACCACCACCACAACATCATGTGGGGCCGGTTGAGACCCAGCTATCCGAGGAAGCACTTGCTTCATCGCAAGAGGAAGAAACACTTCCCTTGGAATACAGACTGAAATCCAAAGACGTTACGGTGTTGGCCAAATACGTGCAATTGGAAAAGATCAAAGCCCTAAACAAGAAGCGGGCTGGAGATCGGGAAGGCGCCGTTCAGTCCTTGAGAGACTCGAAAGCGCTCGAGCAGCGCCTACAGCAGGTCACCGATGCCATCGAGCGAAAGGAGGCACCTCCTTCGTATCAACCACCAACTACGACGGTCAATGAGTTCTCACCTCCACCACAACCCATTGCAGTCACCAAGAGCAACATATCCATCTCCGTCACACCTCAAGCCGTGGAACCAGGGACCACGGCAGAGGCGCCTCCAGAAGTGCAGCTGTCCGTGTCATCGGAAAACGTGGATTTGTCCAATCAGCTCCCAACATCTACTCTGACATTGGAAGCTCTGACGAGGCGACAACTGGATTACAAACGACATGCTTTGGAGGCCAAGAAAGCAAACGATCTCGGACGTGCCCGTGAGTTCCTAACCGTCGCGAAGCTGATGCAGGATCCGATCGACTCGTTGTCCATCGGTGTGGGGTTGCCGGATGGCTATCATCTCCCACCGCCGCCTTCGGAGATGCCTATCACACAACCTGCGGAGGAGGCCAAGCCAGCGGCCGCAAGTACCCCTGTCAAAACGCCACAGAAAGCGGGCATGAAAGCGTCCGCAACAAACCAAACTCCAACGAAGAATAATGGCACGCCGGGCAAAGACGCTCCCCACACACCCCTAGGGGTCGTCGTCCGCGAAACCATCGACCTAGGCAACATCTCCCACCCCACCTCCTCCGCCTCCCCCACCATCAAATCCGGCGCCGACCTCTTCCAACACATCGAAACCGCCCTCGAATCCCAAATCGCAACCTGCACAACCGTTGCGGCACACTACTACAAGCAAACCAAGAAAAACGAAGCGCTAACCTTCCACAAGATGAAAAAGGGCCTCCAAACCGATCTGGATACCCTCCGCGTGCTCAAAGCGACGCCGAACGCCCAGGCGCCCGCGTTCAAGTACACGATTTTGCGGTATGAGATCGAGCAGGCGATACCTGAGATTGCGCCGGATGAGATGGAGATGCAGATTGTGCGGGCGTGGGATTTGGGAAGTAGGGAGGTGAAGAGTGAGGATGTGGAAAGTCTTGTTGCTTTTGATCTGGGGTGGCCGGTTGATGAGGCGACCTCGGAGACGGCGGCGGAGGGGAAGGGAGAGACGGGGACTGTGAAGCGGAATGCTGCGCCGGGTGAGCTTCTTGGTTGGGTTTCATGCGCCCTCTCGGACAATAGGGACTCATGCGGTCTCGGCTTTCTTCTCTGCAGAATATGCCTTCTCCCGAAAAGTAAAGATCGCCCGAACGCGGGGGTTCCAGCGGTATCTTGAACGCAAGAAAGCTACATTCGAGGTATTCCACTACCAGCGGGGGTTCCTGCTCCTCGGGAAACGCGTGTCGCTCGGGCGAATACAGGTGAAGATGGAGCCGCTACTCACAAAGTGCGAGGTTCATGAGATCGCAGAAGTATGATTTTCATATTCCAAGGCAAACTGGGTGAAGAGCTCAATGTCTAAAGCCTTCCAATTCACAGCTGGTCGACGCCGCCAATCCCCGCCGCACAACAGGCGGCAAGATCGAAGTCCGGCTCCGTCTGCGCAGCCCCATCAGCAAACCCGACGTGGTCGTCAAGGAAGAACGATGGCTGACCATCGACTTCAGCGGCGGCGCGGGCACGAATGTCGTCACGACCCCCGTCTCTGCTTCCTCGGACGCCAGCCCGCTCTCAATCACCTCCCCGGAGGGCCTCTCGCCCGCGTCAGCGTCCCCAGCGAAACCCAAACCGGCTCGCGCGCCGTCACCTAACCACCTAACACCCGCCGGGCCACAAGCACCCTCATCGGCTCAACCGCCAAAACGCCAGCCCTCGCCTCAAACCCAACAGCAGACCCAACAACCACCCCGCGCAAACACCCCATCCCCGCAAACCCCCACCCCCACCGCCGGGACCACCGAAGACACCACCGACCTCGAACTCCAATTCGCGTCCCCGGACACCCTCGTCTCCAACGCCGTCCTCGAAAAGGAGCTCGAATCCGTCACCCACCAGATCCTCGCTCTCCAAAAACAGCCCTCCTCCCCGACAACGACGTCCACCCTCGAAGACCTCCAGGACAAGAAGCTCGCGTACGAATTACGCATGAACATGCTTGTGCTCCGTGTGCAGGGCGGGTTGAGTATGGATGGTTATGTGAATGAGGTCAAGAAGGCGATTGGGGAGACGACGAGGATGGCGCAGGCGTTTAAGAGGGCGGGGAAGGTGGAGTTGGCGCGGCAGGCGTTGATGAGGGTTAAGTGGATGAGGGCGGAGGTGGAGGAGGTGGAGGCGGCGTTGGCGGAGGGGTGAGAGGGAGGGTTAGGTGCGTCGGGACGTGACCTGGTCAACTTACAAGTAAGGGGATCGAAACCAACGTCCAAAAGACTCGAATTTGATTTTCATCTCTCGAAAGGGATCAAATTGCTCCTTCGCATTGCTACCGCCGCCAGTCTCACAAGAACGCCGTTGTTCTCCATTTCCAAAAAAAAAAGAGACGTATGTAAATAGATTTAGTGTGTGCAATCTAACTTGACGCCGGTATTCAAACGGCCGCTAGTTTCGCTCGCTCGATCGCATACAGCATCGCCTTGAACATCTACAAAGAAACCACAAACCCGCATCAGTACCCAAACCAATACCGGACCTAAACACGTCTCACCAAAAAAAACCCACCGTCTGAGACTGCCCCCCCTCCTCATCAGCAGCCTCCACAACCGCCCTCGCATTCCGCGCCATCTCATCAAGCGTGGTGATCAACTTCGCGGCCTTGGCGTCGTTGCGGGCCTTTTTGGCGGCCCAGAAGGTGCGGAGGAGTTCGGTCGCTGTTAGATGGTAGGTTTGGAGGGTTGCGGGTGGGGGCGGGATGTCTAGTTTGGCGATGGTGAAGAGGGGGATGTGAATATGCTGTTTGTGGGATGTCGCAGGGGTATGGAACGGGATCAATGGGATGTTTCTTACCGTCGCCACGTTGATGATCCCGTTTTCGCTTCCGTGTCATCTCGTTGAGTTGTTTGAGGACTTTGTCCGCGTTCGAGCGGTACACCGATGTCTGTGGATTGCTGCATGATCAGAAGGGAATGCCACTTGGTCACACGCCCACCAGAGGATTCTCGCACCTTCGCTAATTGTGGCTGCCACCCTAGAATGGTCTGCCGCAAACTCTGCTTGAAAGAAGCAGAATAGACGGCCGTGACATCCTCCTGGCCCGCGGCACTCCCAGCCTGTGCATGGTAGTATTTGCTAACGTCGCCAATCATCAGTGCTTTCGCGGCCTGTTTCTGCTCTACTCGTAGGTCGTCCAATTCGGTCGACTCCTTGTACACCTCATCGGCCGGTTTCGCCGGCTTGGGTAGCGACGCCTGCCCCGCCAAGGTCGATTTTAAAACACCCTCCGAGACGCGGTTGAACTGTCGAATGAGCGGTAGAGAAGCTCTCACTCCGCCGGCTCGCATCGTGCTGTCTGGTCGGTTGCCGGTCTCGGTATGGTCCTCGCTTTGCGCGCCGAGATCCAGAAGGTAGTTCGAACTCTCGTAGCTTGCCGCTTTGGGGTGTTCGGCGTAATCATCGTCATCCTTGGTCTCGTATTTCGCAAAGAACTCGTCGCTGGCTTTGATGGACGCCCCGGCCCGTTTTTGGTAGTACTTGGACTCGAGGAAGCGGCGGAGGAAGTCTTCGGTGGTTATCTTGTTGGTTGTTACGGTATCATCGTAGGCGCGCTTCACTATCGGATACTGCGAGAGTATCGACGTGATCATCTCATTGGTGACCTTGTACGTTGTTTCGGTTCCATCGGACCCATTCCCACTCGGGCGGAGTTCAATAATGACTCCTGTCGGCCCTTTTCGTTGACTCCGCTGCCATTTCTCTTGCGCCAGTAATTCCTGCACGAAAAGCTGTCAGCTTGGGTGAACGAACGCTTGAAGCGGCGCGGCAGCGACGGTCGACTAAACGAGTGGTCGAACGAGAACCCATGTCCAACGCTTTGCTCGCGAAAAATCCAACGCTCGCCGGTGCTTGCTAAAAGCCGTAGTGAGGCGAACATGCGGATTTGGCGCAGTGCGAACTCCCTTCGCTCGCGAAGGCAATCGTCCTGGGACTACGACCTATAGCTCGCCCTCCTCAAGCAACCCCGCGCCTCAGGCTCGCCGCAGTCCGGATCCGCCCCATCACCGTAGCAACATGCTCCATAACACTCGGAGCTCCGTTGTGCGAATCAACCCTCGCCTATGGCTTGCAAACACATACCTGCCTCGCCGCCCAAAAATCGTCCTCGGAGATCAACCTCGACAAAACAAGCGAAGCATGAAGTTGCTTCAGATCCTCGTCCTTCCTCAAGATATCATGCCGGATCTGCAAATCCTCATTCGTCGTCGTAGGCTGCGCGACCGCTTTGATCGTCCTGTTATTCGCCTGAATAACATCTCCAAGGAGTGTGATGACTCTCGCTCTGTTTTCGACCGCGTCGGGTGCGAGGAAAGTGAGGTTGTGGTTGACCTCGGGCTGTTCGGTGTCGTCGGGGGAAGACTGGGTGACTTTGAGGATGGGTTTTGCGGGGTTTTTGTTTTGTGCGATTGCTAAACTCACAGAGGTGGAACTCGATTAGCACCTGGGCACGATGACTCTTGGGAGGGAAAGACTGGGAACGAACATTTGACGGTCGGATAAGGAACTCGCAGTGCGGGAGTGTCAGCGCCTGTCTCTGTCCAGCTGAACTCCCGCTGGCCAAAGGTGAGGGTGCCTATGCTTTTGAGGTAGGAGGCGCTGCATTGTAAGCGTGGGCCTGCCATTGTGCCCTCTGTGCCTTCTGGCCCTGTCGAGCGCCCGTTGGCTTTTGGGGCTTTGGGGAGTTTTGAAATTTGCGCCCTCCTTCCTGTCAGTCGCCCCAGCCGTTCGAGGACTTGCGGGCGCTCGTTTTCCCAACGCTCAACAACTACTCAGTTGACACCACAGCACTGCAACAATGGCTCCCACAACCCCCGCAACAACAGTCTGGGACACGAAAACCCAGCAGTTCCACGGCGGACAAGAATGGCAGTTCATAGACAACTTCGTAGAGGACTTTTCAGTCACCACAAACGGACTCGGGCTACCCAAAAAGGCTCTCCAGGCCGCGAGAGACTCCCTCGATATCTCCCACCACTATCCAGCCGCTGACCAGGAACCTGCAAAGACGAACTTGGCCAAATTCTATGCGCCAGACGGATTCGAGAGTGTTCACGAGCGGCTTTTGTTGGGGAACGGCGCGAGCGAGCTTATTGACTTGGTCACTAGGGCGGCACCTGAGGGGCCTTGGAAGCCGGGTCCTTGGACTGTTCAGGTATGTGGAGGCGAGTCAGCGATAGCGAACGGTCATTTTCATCACTCGCGCGTCGTCGTCAAGAATGGTTAATGGTTGACGTTCGATGGCTGATGATTGATGTTTTTTCATATCCTTTCTCATAGTACAAAGAGTACGAACGCTCAGCGATCGCGCTTGGCCGTAAAGTGCTTGCGCCCAAGGATGCGACGCCCGCCTCGCTTACATGTATCGTCAACCCCAACAACCCGACCGGCGACTACATGAACATCGAGGCGCTCAAGAAGTACATTGAGGAGACGGTTGCTGATAACACTGATGTCATGGTTGGTGAGTAAACATAAGATCAAGGGAATGGGGCGTCTTGGGAGATCCCCATCTCACTCACTCTCCATCCAACCCCCCACAGACGAATCAATGCAACCATGGCACTCCCCCTCCTTCCGCTCCGACTCCCTCATCTCGCAACCCACCTGGATCGCCAACCTCTTCCAAACCCGCGGCATCGCCGTCTATCTCATCCACTCCTGGACAAAACTCTGGTCCTGCACGGGTCTCCGCCTCGGCTCCCTCGTCTGCCCGACCGTCGCCCACTGCACCGCCCTCAAGAAGGTCCAGGTCCCGTGGTCCGTCAACGTCCCTGCCCTCGCTTTCTTGCAGGTTGTGACTTCAAGCGACGAGCAACCGTTTTTGGATGAGACATGGGCGGTTACCACCCCCTGGCGCACGTACACCGTTGACGCTCTCACAACCCTCGGCCAACACGTTAACAGCGGGAAAGGGTGGACGATCACCGGCGAACCCTTCCTCTCGTGGGTGTGGATCGACATGCACGACGCGGAGGTAGCGGCGCAGGCTGTAGAGTTGGCGAAACGCGCCGGTGTGCCGGTGCGGAGCGGCGTGCCGGGGTATGCGTGCCATACGTGTGTTAGGGCGGCGGTGAGGAAGCCGGAGTTGGTGGATAAGCTTGTGAGGGCTTGGCAGCCGCTTGTTAAGGCGTAGACTCGCCTGAATTGGGGTTCTGAATGTGGGTGTCCGCCTCACCGATACTCTTCACGCTCGTGGGTGTCACCTTCCGGCGACCCTCCCTTGTTGAACATACACCCCACCTGGCCCCTATCTATCTATCACCACACCTTGCATAGACAGTATAGACTTATCACCACGGACTTCCATCAGTCGTATCTATCATATGTATTGCAGCATCCATTCTATCACTTATTTCCTGCTTCTTTATACACATCATCATTATGCTATCTTTACCATGTGTCGGACGATGCTATCGGAATAATCAATGGGAGGTCCATTTGTCGTGCGCGAGCTTTACATGCCTCTCTCGTCTTACCGGCCACTGCTGCAAGGCCTCACTTGACCAAGGCGGTGACATCCGAGGAAGACGCGTCCCCTTTTCAGAGACGGAGATGCATTGCATTAACATACCAAAGCACATCACCCATCTAGTTTCCGAACATAGATGACAGGACCAAGTTCGTTCGGCTATTGCCGTGCTTCAAGCGGGATGCAGCATCGTGCTGAGCACATGGGCTCAAAGTATCGGCATCCCGCCGGGGCGGCCCATCCCCGCTCTTTATGGACTGCGGACGGGCATACGACTCGGCCTGGGCAGGCAAGCGGGTCTTCAAACATGGCCCCCGAAACAAGCCGAAGCGTGGCGACTGCAGCGACACGGACGTCCTCGATGCTATGGGCAAGACCCCGGGAGGCAACGAAGGCCGAGGAAGTCGGTTTTATCTTTCTCTCCCAAACGTTCTCGGAATCGAATCCACTTTCGTTTGAGCGGATGTGGCGCAGTCTGAGCAAATGACGCGCACTTTTCGACAGCGCGTTGCAGAGTTTGGATCATTCCGTGGTTGGTTTCAGTGCCCCGCGTTTCAGAAGCCCCCCCCCGCGCCGCACACGCAGAGCTATTAAACACCCCCCTTTGACCTCGATCGCAGAGTCCAATGGAAAACGAGCCCTGTGGGCAGAGGAAACACAGGGGATGCAAAGGTGGGCAAAAATGGGGTCGTTGAGGACAGCGCGGATGCCGGGAGGGGGTGGGGGCGTTTCAGTTCAGAGGGACGAGCGACCAGTCACGGACGAAAAGAAGCTGGGTAATAAGAGGAAAAAAGCCGGCGGTAATTATTACGGGTGGGGAATAATACAGTATGATGAGGAGAGTCCCCCCTTGCGCTTGCTCACAGATCAAACGTGTTGCAGGTTTCCGTGACATATTACTACCGGGATTCCCATTCCATCTGTATTGCATTTGAGGCCGTAACTGTCCCGCCGCCCTGTGCCTCTTTTGCTTATCGCATCGTATATAACCGCCACGGCCCCACGCAACTCCCCACCCCCTCGCCGCCCTCGAACGCCACCCTCCCTCTTCGCATCATTCCCTTTCTTCTTTCTAAAGGAATCTCATTCTCTTTGTAATAAGAGGACCTTCGACCTTTGGTTTCCTTCGCCGACGACGACGACGAACGAACGACGAACGACCGCGCGCATACAAGCGGACACAAACACTACTCTCGCTTTCCTTTCTATAGACTTTAGACAAAAATGGTCAAGCTCGCCCTTATCGTGACCTTCGCTGCGCTGTGCGCTACCGGTGTGTTTGCAGACCCACAGAATGGCCGCCAACGAGGTGGGCTTGCCCGTGGTGGTGCTGCACGACAACAGCAGGCCGCTGCCGCTCGTGGTGGTGCCGCTCGTGGTGGTGCAGCTGCTGCTGGTGGGGGTCAACGTGGCGCCGCCGGTCGTGCTGCCGCCGCCGCTCGGGCGAAAGCAGCAGCAGCTGCCGCAGCCAAGGGCCAGGGCAAGAACAACAACGCCGGCAATGCAGGAGCGGGAGCAGCTGCGCCTGCTGCTGGGGCTGGGGCCGCCGCCCCCCCTGCTGCCAAACCCGAACCCGCGACCCGCATCACCGAAGTCCCCATCACCCAATTCGCCACGGCCCCCTTCTGCGGCGCATCCAACCTGACCCCCTCCGACGGCACACAGATCCGCACGGGCGCCTGCTCCTCCACCGCGCTCGGCGCCATCCCGGACGTTTCAAAGATGGTCAGCACCATCATCACCTCCCCCGCCAACCTGGCCGTCATCGACGCGACAAAGGACACCCTCGTCGCCGTCGACATGCTCAACCTCGACACGGGTTTCTTCGCCGACCCCAACAAGCATTACAACCAGCAGCCGCAGACGCTCAACCGCAACGGGATCACACAAGGTCACCAGCACATCTCCGTGCAGCCCTTGGTCTCGGGCACGGCCGCGCCGGACCCGACCAAGTTCGCGTTCTTCAAGGGCTTGAACGACGAGTCCAAGAACGGAAAGACATTGACGGTCACGATCCCCGCGGGAACGTTCAAGACCAACGGCGTGCATCGGATGTGCTCCATGTCTGGAACAGACGCACACCAGCCGCCCATTATGCCCGTCACCCAGCGTGGCCCGCAGGACGACTGTATCCGTGTCACGGTGCAGAACGCTGGTGGGGCCGCCGCCTAAACATTTCTCTCCCTCTCCTTGTTCATAGTTTCACCCAGGCGTAGCCCCCCCGACCCCCACCCACTTTTGTTCATAGACACTGTATATTTCTCGTCTCCATTCGTTTTTGGCCCATCAGCCCGCCCCCTCCTCTCTTCCGGCGTATTGCAAAAAAACAGAGCCCTCAACCTGTAACATACCTACTCCCTTGGACCGCCATTTTTTTGTACTGTAGATAGAAAGGCTGAACGTTGCGCCGTGTTGTGGGGGACGTTTCGTTGATATAAGATTCTCTCTTCTTGAAATTAAATGGAATTTTTTCGTGAGATATGGGCTGCAACTGCTACTACGTACTGTACGTCCAGGCAGCAAAGCGTTGGCTGGAAACCCTGTGGTCGACACAAACAGACGGCCTCTATGCAGAGGTTGCAACACGATGCAAAAGAGCAGCAGCAGCCAGAGCAGCACCGCGCGAACTTGATGATGGTGCTCCGAACCAGCTGCTTCCAGGACCCTCCTACGTTCGGATAGACTGTACTGTATAAAGGTCCGCACAAGAGATGTGTGGCACTCGTTGGCGGGCGGACCCCCTGTCCCTTCCGCGTACGGGTTTGTTCTTACCGAATCCGAGGGGAGTTGTTCTTACCGAAGGGGAGTGAATCCGAGGGGAGTTGAGCAGAACCGCGCGGGTTCGAATCGCGGGTGGTGCCCCCCGCCGTCAGAGCTCTTTTTGTCGCTTTCTTGCTGAGGGCGGCATGATGCAACCCGCTCTTCTCGCTCTTCCAACGGCCGGCAACAACAACAACCCCACCCCCACACACAACCCGCACTAAACTCAGCCCTTCTATGCACCTTTCAACACCGCCGAATACCCCCCTTTCGGCAAACAAGCACCTCATCCTTCTTTCTGGCACCTCTCCCCACTCGCTACCGCCTCTTACAACCTCTTCAAGATCACTTGTGTGAAAAAGCACGCTAAGCAGACATGGCCATCTTCTTTTGGAGAAAGCAGCAGGTGAGGAAGAACGGGACTGTTGCAGGGGCGGGATGGTGGAGCGTTGTGCTCCGGGTCAGACGTAGAACTGGGCGGGCCCGCCAGCCGGCCCCCGTCTTTTACGAAATGGACGGCCCAAGATGCTGGCGGGTCAAGTCGAGGCGAGACGTAGTGCGAACGAGGGGGACAACCTCCTCCTCCTTCCTGCAAAGTGGTGGTTAGGGAGGCGGACGTACATTAGTGCCTTCGGCGCCACCTTGATGGAGAGCCTCTCAAACGAATCCCCACCATCATCACCCCACTCACACAGCTCTCAACCCACCCCCAACAGCTAGACGACGAACAGATCCTCGCCAGCCTAGACCGCCAAATCCGCCGCACAGAGGTCCGCGTCTCCTCTATCCGTCAACGGCATCAACGGATCAAGCATGCGTGGCTTTATTACTCTGTCTCAATCTATGTGTTTGTGCTCGTGCTGTATTTTACGTATTTGAAGCCACGACGGGATCCGTGGGATATTTGGCTGGTCAAGACGGGGGTTGTGGTCGTGGGGGCGCCGGGGTATGTATTGCGCACCGTAATACCGAGCGTTAAGCGAGGACGAACGCAGCGAAGCGAGCAGAACTGTGAGCGACAGCGAACGATCGTGTATATGACACATCGCTCTTTCATCGTTCATGTCTTGCCTCAACAACCTTATCGCGAGCGGAGCGAGCACGGTGTTGTTTTCATCCCATCATGCACTCTCACCGAGCGATCACTCATCCATCTTTTTCCTCTCATTCGACCGACAGCATCTACTTTGGGAACCGTTTTATCCGGTACTGGTACCAACGGAAAGAAAAGGCTGAACGTTAGTGGATCTCGTGCAGAGAATGGTTTTACGATCACGCGAATCTCACCTCTCCATTTTGATTCCATAGGGGATTTATTGGAAAGTCTGAAAGCGAAACAAAAGGAGAAGGTCGACGCACTGAAAGAGAATGAGGCGTATCGGAAGACACAGCTGTTGTTGCAGCGATATGACACACCGACGAAGGATCGGCCGGCTGGGGTGAGTTACTCTGGACTTTGCATTGTGACGAAACGATGAGTTTTGTTGGCTCACCGCCTTCATCTGAAGGATGAACTTGTGGACGCAAAGGGACATAGCCGCCCGACGACTCCTTTACCGTTCCCGCCGTCTCATATCAAAATGGGGCAGCCGTCCAAACAAATGGGACCACCTAGTCTTGCGCCGCCGGGTACACCAGGTGAGGGAGTTCGTGATCAGCATCTGGTCGATCACGCTGAAAATGTCGTTAATCGCGGACAATAACCCCAGGAATGGCGCCTGTACCAGGAAAACAAATAGACAACCCAACGCAAACCACACGCTCCCCATCCCCGTCCCCAGCCTTCCTCTCCATCCCACCCTTCGACCCCACCCAACTACCAAACCGATGTAAGCCGTCCCAGCCCATCCCAACCTAATCCGCACCCGCATCCATCCCTAAACCATTCCAATATCAGCAGACTCACCCTTACCCCCACCACCAACACCCACGCCCCAACACCCGTACGCCAAAACATGGTTCGACAAAGTAATCGACGTGATGATCGGCGAGACGAACGACACAAACAGCCCGGCGAGCAAGTATGCGTTGATTTGCGAGGAGTGTTTTACGCATAACGGGTTGGTGCCGGCTGAGGCTTATTCTGATGCGCGTACGTATGAGATATCATTTTTTTCGTTCGTCCCGTTTCCTTTTCTTCCGCCTGGGGGTGTGGTCCGTTTCCTTTCCTTCCGCCTGGGCGTGTGTTGGGGTGATGTAAGACCAACGATGACGTTTGTTGAGTTGAATTTATGTTTTCACCGTAGGCTTCCGCTGCATGCGCTGCGACCACCTCACCATCCCCAAACGCTACGCCAGCATGATCTCCCCATCAAACCTCTCCCCGTCCCAGTCCATCCCCAGCGACCTCAACACCGCCAGTCCGCGGCATACACCCCCTCCACCCGGGGGGGACGGCGGCCACGTTGCGTTTGCGGACAGTGCGAACGGGAGTGGAGGGATGATGTATATGAATCCGAAACTGTCGCAGAGCCAGCCCGCGTTCTTTGCGCCCAGGCATAGTGTGAATCCGTTGGAGGGCCCGCCGCCTGCTGCTGGTGCTGCGCGGTCTGCACCCGGACACCGAACGGAGAATACGGGCGTTGGCGAGGAGGAGGAGGAGGACATCGCCCCGCCTGCGTCTGGACCGGAACAACAACTACACCACGAACAGGAAGCGGCTGCTACGCCGACACCCCCGTCTTCCCAGCCCCAACCGCAACAACAGACGGAAGAAGACGGAGGGACGGGAATGAGACGTCGGCCGAACGAGAAAAGGGGCGGCCGCGGGAGGAAGGCGGGCAAGGCGGGGAGGAGGCAGGAGGGAACGGGGACGGGGACGGGGACGGATAGTGAGCGGGAGGGTGCTGTGGAGTGATGTGGGATGAGAGGCGGTAGAAAGCAAAAAAAACGTACGGAGAGACCCCCCCCCCCCCCCCGCACAAAGTAGGCACAACCGCCCATATCACCCAAATGCAGTTGTTAGGAAACCTCTTATCATGTTAGGGCTCTCGTCGTAGTTGGCAGAACGGGAAGGGGAAAGGGAAAGGGTAGATTTGCGATCCCTGATCCTTTGAGGCAATTGTTTACGGTTGCGTTATATACAGTACAGTATCATCCCTCATGGGTATTGATTCCCATCAATGAATGAAGCATCCAGCGTTCTGCGCGAGGTGGTTTGAATAGTTTGTGGAACAACACCGTGGACACGCACGCACCTGTCGCTGTCAGAAACCCTGCAAATCTATCTTCCACATCTCTGAAGCGAATGTTCCCATCGGCGGAAAGTGTGCGGGTGTCCTCCTTTGGATTGTTATATCCTGTATGATGCACAATGAAAGTCTCCACCCGAGCGCCGTCCCGATCGTTTCTTTGGGCTGTCCGTCCCACAGCTTTTCATATCCGACGTCGGTGGTTATGCCCGGTCAACCTGGCCTGGTACGAATAGGGGGTGGGGCTGCATTCTCGTGCGCGTCACCGGCATCGTTGTTGGAGGCTTGTGTCCTCTCCGCGGTCTTCTCGTCGTACCACTCCGTGGTGGTTCTGGTCTGCATCGTCGATGTTCGTAACATGTGTGCCATATGCGCTTGTCGTCTCCGGCAAGCAAATAGCTCGTTGGCGATCTTGTCTCCGGCTGGTTCTTGTAACGGCATTGTCACGGTCGGCGAGTCGACAAGTGACCGTTTTTCGACAGCGCGTATCAGCATAGTTCCGCGCATATGGGTCAAAGGACCTCCTCGGCATGTCTGCGAGCGGAACAGATTGGCGCCTCCAACTCCAACAACAATATACTGCCCGCTGCGGTTTTAGGACTTCTATGACATTCCGAATGAAATAAACCCCTGTGTTCCACCCAACGCACCCCTGACCCTCCCATTGCGGCAGTCTATATGGTCGGGGGTACAGATTCTATGTCGTCTCCATGCCTGCGTCGGCCTCTCCCTCTTCTCCCCCAACCACGCCCTCTCACTTCCACCCCGGAATCCACACCCCCGTCCGCCCCATATACTCCCCATATCGATCCCCAAAAAAGTTCAAGAGCGTGTACTCCTCATACCTAATCCTGCTCCTGAAGAACCTGCTCAGCGTTAATGCGAACGCGAGGGCGGAGAACGGGTTGGAGGCGACGAGTTGGGTGCCGAGGGCCCAGTAGTAGAAGGCTGTGTAGGAGGGGTGGCGGAAGATTCTATAAGGCAGGGGATGTTAGTGTGGAAGTCCTAAGGAGGGACAATAGGGGGAGACGTACGAGTAGACACCGGACGTGACGAGTGTGTGATGTGTCTCCTTTTCGTCGGCGACGAGGTGGGTGAAGTTTGCGCCGGCTGTGCACATTGCTGCTGAGCGGAGGGATTGAGACGCGAGGAGGAGCAGGATTGCTGGTGAAGAAAGTAGTGTCAGTTTTCGACGAGTCGATTGGAGGACCAGGGAAATGTTTACCGAGGTAGTTCCACCACCGGAAGATGTTCATGGGTGGGTATAGCCATCCCCAGACAAAGTACTCGATTACGCCTGCGATCATCGCGAATTGGTATTCACGGCCGTTGTTCAGGAGGAATGCTGTCATCGTAGTACGTAGTGGTCGTAGTCAGTACCAGCGTCTCTAGGCGACGCGCAATTCACATCAATGCCATTCCTTACATGATATCTTAACCTCATTCCCATACATCGCCGTCATCAGATACTCCAGGATATGAAACATCGCCAAAGCGTTCAAGAAGAACCCCAGCCCGCGGTAGTTTTCCGAGTACAATCCTAGAACCAGCCCCACGCCATGCAGCACTCCAATCAGGTACGCGTGGGCAGCAATGTTCTGCGGCGTGTGCTGTCCGTCGAATATGGGCAAGCCGAGCGGGCCTAGGCCGTGATCGGGCTGGGTTTTGGCGGGGACGGAGGAGGACCCTGCGATGCATTGGAGGATGAGGCAGAGCGGGTTGCAGAGAACGAGTTGAGTGCTTAGGCGCCAGAGTGTGAGAGCGTGCCGGGCGATCTTCATTGCTAGTCTGAGGACGCATAGATTTCAGCAATCGAGAATCGGCAATGATGTGGTTCGCAGTGCATACCTGTCCCGGGGCCCAGAACTCAGTCCGATCAAAGTGAACGTTCGGATATTCTGCGTGGCTACCGCAATGATCACGCCTAAATGCGCATCCCATAGTGGTGAGTTTCTCGCCTTCCCCGTTTCCGAAACTATTCCCGCACCAGAACCCTCCAGCGCTCACCGACAGAACTCACTGCTGAGAAGGCCGCAAATTGCGGAAACAGATAACTCCGCACAGCATACTCCAGCAATCCCAGGATCAGATACACGTTCTCCTGTACGCCGCCCCCTATCAAGAAAGCTAGCGATTCCGACGCGTTAGGCACACGCCTGGCCATTTTCCCATGGACAAAAGCACATCTTACATCGTATCCCCTGCTCCTGCCTCGACATAGCTCTCGTGATATACTCCAACCCCATCCCCACAGCGACAAGAGCCACATACGCGCTGGGCGCCAGTGCCCACGCCTCAGTAGACCGCAGCGCGACACCCGCCCCCGTCGCAGACCCGAGGATGAAAGCGTACATTGCGACATTCTGCGGGGTGTGTTCTGTGGTGAAGAGCGGGAACCCGAGAGCGTTTTTCCGGGCGGCGTGCGGCGTTGTGCGGATGACTTTTGTGGCGGAGCTGCTTCGGGGATGTTTTTGGGATGAGCGGCTGCGTGCTGGGGAGGAATTGGTGCTTTGTGGGGAGGAAGTCCTGCCTCGGTTGCGCACGGGGGATGAGTTCGGCGACATTGCTGAATATTCAGGAGTATCAGGAGACTATGTGTGCGTGGCAGTAGGTATCGGTGTCAGGTTCTCTCTATGTGCCAGAAGGACGACGAAATGCCCTGCAGAAGGTCACTTCGAAGTCAAGAAAATGTTCCCACGCCAGTCCCACGCCAGAAGCGCTTGTGGGCGAAAGTCCGACGGAAAGGGCTCGCGGCGATTGCGACTTTCCGACCGGATAACCATCCCCCACCGCACAGAAACACAACTCGTTCAACAAACATGGGCCAAGTCCCTTCAAACCTCGAGCCCATAACCTCCTACTGCAAAGACGAAACAGACGCTGCCCAGAAATGCATGCAGGCTCACAACTTTGACCGGTTGGTGTCCCCCCATTATCCCCTTTCCCCTTTCCCTCCGGGCACCAGCTACACACGTCCCCTAACGATTGTGTTTCGTGTGATAGGGAAGTCTACCGCTCGAAATGCAGACAGATGTTCCAGGACTATCGGGATTGCAAGCAGCGTTGGGTAACTCTCATCTTCATATCTTCCATCCCCGCGGGAAGCCACGATGTTGACGAACACGCGCGACTCTGTAGAACGATATGAAGGCACAGCTTATAAAAGAGCAGAGTAGATGACCCCAGTTCGTCGTGGACGGAAGATGCATCTGAGCTGGCGTACGGAAGGTGGTAGCCCTGCGTGGCCACGCTGGTCGTCTTCGGGAGGGACGGCAGGATGGAGGCGTCGTCTATGCGCACCCAGGACGGCGGGGAAGGCTGAGGTCTTGAAAGTGTTCCACTGGGAAAGTTCGGCGGCCCGCTGATGGAGTCTGTGGGATTGACCACTTAGGCGTAGTTTCCGTCGCCTCGCGTCTTCCGTCGTCTCTTGGGACGGAGAGCAGAACCAAGCTGAAGGAGGCTTTTGGGAGTTGCTCGGTGGGATCAGCTAGTGTGCCCACCTGATGGCTCGGAATTCTTTGCCCTTTATTGAGAGGGATCTTTGGTGGGTTAGGAACTGCTAGGTGGATGGCAGATATGAGCGGCGACACACCCGTGCGCGTTGGGTTTGGGTTGGCTGAGGGCTCGCATAGTTCCCATCGCCAACCTGTTGCTGCAACAACACCCAATATCAATATCGCCTCGCAGCGTCGAGCTTCGATATTATAGATGCTGTAAGAAGTCTATGGAATTTATGTTATTGTATTGTGGTATGTACATCGCACGGCCCTCACGGAAGAAAGGATCAAAACCGCCTACCCATCCAAAACCCCCCTTCCCTCAAACCCCCTACATGAACCCATGCTCAACCCCCAAAGCAAAATCACCCACCTCTCCTCAAAAGCCACCCAACCCCCCACCGGTCCACCAATCGTACACAGCACCACCGCCCACACCACGACCACATACATCTCCGGGTTGGAGGCAAACACGCCCGCGACGTTAGCGAGGGATGCGATCAGGAAGGCGATTTCGCCGCGGGGCTATCATTGCTAGGCCCAGGATCAGGGGTGCGGGTGGGGGTGGTCCGCTCTTTTCCAGCATCCTTGCCGGTTGGGTGGTGTGCCGCAAATGGGAAGAGAGAGGGAAGAGACGTCCGGATGGCTGGACACAGCTCCCCTCTCTACTTTCTCTCGTACGTCAACTGTAAGGCACACATCGAAAGGCGTCCATCTACCCTACCACTAGCCTACTCCTTATCCCCCTCAACCTCTCTACCACTCCCACCCTTCCCAACCCTCCAACCCCCCCTAACCGCCCTCGTCCCCACATCCATCTTCGCACTCCTCGCCCCAAACTGCACCGCCCGCTTCGGTTCCCCCGCGGCCCTCACAAGGCCCAACCTGCGACACAGCTCCCTCAACAGCAGCTTCTCCCCCACCCCGCGCGGGTACCGCGGATCCGTTTTGACGTGCATGGGCAGCGTGCAGAGGTACGCGAGGAGGTGTTCGGAGAGGTAGGGGAACCGCACCTCTTTCCCGTGGTCAGACACAATCCGGTCGTCGCGGCCCATGTTGCGCGTGGAGATGCGGTCGATGTCGGTTTGTACTTCCTCAATGAGACCGGCCCAGCTGCGTTTCTCGAACGCCGTGCGGTGCCGGCTGTACCCGCCCAGCTGCTCGTCGGCACCCAGCCCGCTGAAGAGGACTTTCGCGGCGCTTGTGTACGGTTGTTTCTCCCCCGTGGTGGGGGATCGGATATGACCATTGCCGCGTGCAGCAAACCAGAACGCGATGGCGATGCTGATATCCATCTCGGTGTCAAGCGGGTTCATGAGCGCGTGGATGTGAGAGCGGGCGGCGACGGCGTCGGGGTAGGGGATGTTGATCTCGACGAAGCGCCAGTCACGGGTTGGGTAGCGCGCGCGGAGTTGGGCGACGCCGGAAAGGCCTGTCAGGCGGTCGGGGACGGTGTAAATGCTGTCGTCCCCATCCTTACTGTCATTCGTATTGTCGTTCGTGGCAGTGCCCGCTTCCCCACCGTGTTCCGCACCCTTCCCGCGTTTAGATTTCTGCGGCGTCGGGTTAGCCCTTTTCCTAGCGCTCTCAAACGCGACATTAAGTAGATCGCACGGTTCGCCGGGGGGGAGGAAGCGATCGGCAAGGGCCGCGAGACAAATGCAGTCCAACCCGCCCGAAAACAGTATACCAAGGCGCGCGAATGTCGGTGTGCTGTAAAAGAGCGTCTCAGCGAATTGGAGTCATTGATCGAATGTACGTGTGTGAGGGAACCGACCTTGCAGGAGGAATATTCTCGACCCTGGCCTTCACAGACTCCGCCAATATCTGTTCCAGCTTGTCCAGTGCGGAGACGATCGATGGTAATGTTCGGTGTGGAAACTTCGCTGAATCATCGGGTTCCACTTCCAGGAGGTCAGAAGGGTCTGGGAGTGTGGTCGCTAGCCGTACAAAAGGCGCTGGCTGCATGATAGCGGAGAGGGGGTTTAGTGGTTCTTCGAGAAAGCTTCGTGACCGCTTTTGCTCCTCACGAGAACTCACAATGGATATCTCGGTTGATGTGATATGCGCTTCGTCGGGGGGTTGGTCTGGTTGCCGCCATGGTACGTGTTTCAAATGCCGTCTCGATATCCGCTCCTGCGGTCTATACAAATCAGCGATCCATACCCCAGTGATCCTCAACGTGTAGCAACCACCCTCGCCACTCACCCATTGGCCAACGACAAGCAATACATGCCATCAGCCGGTATCTCCTCCCACCCCTCCTGTAGAGACTCTCCGTCTTCCACAGGCGCGGTCGAGGATTCTAAAGGCGCGACCGACGCGATGTAGAAGGGCCTCTGCGCGTCCTTCGGAAACCGCCACAGCAGAGATCGCCGTCCTAGCACGTCACGGCCGAAATAAATCCTGCCTGCAGCCGGCTAAGAAGGGCGAGATCCCAAAGAGCGAACTCAACTCATCATCCCAATGGGGAAAATGCATTCGTCACCCGCACCTGACAATAAACAAAAGCCCACGGCCCCCTCAACACCTCCACCACCGCCACCAACGCCCTCGTCGTCGCCGCCTCATCACCCGTCTCTACACCTTCCAGCGCCGTCGATATCGCCCCAGAGACCGCGATCGTGTCGTTCGAGGTGACGTCTATCTTTCCTAGCCCATCGGCTGTTAAGTCTCGCACGGTCCTCTCCCTCACACCGTTGCGAATGTGAGCAACACTTTCCACACCTGCAACCCTCCGAATATCTCGCCATTAAAGCAAAGCCAGCTCCCGTGAGCGTCCTGGATCGGTTGCGTGACGGTGTCCTTGCCGCGGAGATGGAGCGTCCAGCCTTCGAGAACGGCGGTGTGCGTGCGGGTTAGGGGGAGGGTGATTGAGGAGTGTCCGTCGGGGCCTGTGTAAGGGGACACGGGTCGATTAGTCTTGGAGGTCGAGCGTGAAGGCCGTGCAAGCAGTACTAGGCATACCTCGCCGGCTGTTAGCATGCTGTAGAGCCCTCCATAGTGGTTTCGACTAAGGTTTGTGGTGTAATTACAGTCAGCATGTGTCGTGTTTGCGCACCCAAGCTTGCCAGAAAGACATACCACTGCGGGAATGGCGTCGGTTGCAGCGGCGGTTGCGGCGGCGGCGCCTTCACGAGCGAAGATGCCGAGGAGGATGCCGCACATGGGAGCGGATAAATGTATCGAGAAGTGGGTGGAGGTCGGTCGGAATTGTGGCGAAGAATTCCCCAAAAAGCTTCTTCCTTGCTCGTTGAGCGGAGCAACAACCGACCTCGATTCCAATTCCCACGACGCATCCCGCAACCCATATCACTTGCAAACAACTGCCGCACCATCCCAGCTCCAGAAGTATGCCATACCCACGCCCGCTCCCCGCCGTCCTCCAAATCTACCGCTCAATCCGCCGTCTCCACAAGGACCTCCCCCCAGGTACCGTCCCCCTTACACTATATTCAAACGCTCTTTATGTTCCCTCACTGACATTGTGATGTACCGGAATATCCTTAGCCCTCCGGCTCGTAGGCAACAACTACATCCGCGACGAATTCCGGCGCCACCGCACCGCCGACGCCGCCTTCGTTTCGCATTTCACGGCTGAATGGGCGCGGTATCGGGATGAACTGGCATCTCAGATCGAGTCACAGAGACGGAGAGACGCGGAGGAGGTGGTGATTGGGAGGAAATTGACGAGGGAGGAACTGGATGCGTTGAGTGATGAGCAGGTTGGGCAGTTGAGTGAGTTGAGGACTGCTGCGAGGGGGGAGGAGCGGGGTAAGGCTGGGGCGAGCGGAATATAGTATCATGCCGGTTGAAGGGCTGAGCGACGACGGGACGGCACGGGATGATCGGAGGAGAAAGACTGAGAGCCGAGTCGACGTGATGAAGAGGAACATATGGGAGGGGCACGGTCTCTCTATTCGACATATCTACAAAGCGGCAGCAGACATTCTGCGGTACTACAACGACGGCTGCGTTTAGGGGGCAGCGAAAACCGAACCACGCGCTAGCGCCCACCCACCCGTATAGATCTAGCAGTAGCTAGGCTAGCTAGCGCTCGCCAAATCCGTCTAGTCTTCTATTCTCCCTCGGCCGACGAGTCGACGGAAGGAAGTCGAGCGCGGATGCCACCAAGTCAACCCACCCAGCATCCCCCCTCATCCCTCTGCGAACACCACCCTACTCATCCCCACCGACCTCACCCTCCCCGTCCACAACATCCACCACCTCCACCACCGCCTTCTTCTCCCCTTGAGGAGGATGCACATACCCGGGCTGCATATACTCGGGCTTCTTCTCCTTCAACACCTTCGCATCCGCCGTCAAAAACCACGCGTAGTCACAGCTGCGGCCATCGACTATACGGATCCAGTCGTCAAACCTACAAAATCACATACCATCACATCAGATCATAGCGTATCATCGTATATCAGCAGAGATAGATAGAGGGAATATAACTCACGCGTTAGTCTCAACCTCCTCCTCCACCAACCGCGAATAGATCCATTTCTCCTTAAACGCGTCAATCTCGCCTTCGTAAGCGTCGAACGAGACGCCGGCGCGGTCGTTGGCTTCTGAGGCCCATTTTTCGTTGTACATCCTGTAGACGGTCTGAATCAAATCGTAAGGGTTTAAATGAATGTTGGGCAGTGATGGGGGAATTGGGGAGGATGGGAAAGGGTTTTGAACGCATACCCGCTCGAGCAACAACCCCAACGCGGGCGCTTTGGGGATATTAAGTTTTTCTTTGAGGAAGGCTTCGTTGATGAGGGTGGCCGGGGTGGAGGTGCGGATCATCAGGATCGCCAGGCCTGAAAAGAAGTTGCGTTCGGTGAGATCGTCAATGGTGTCTCGTAGCGAATTCAGCAATGGGGAAGAGATACGTTACCAATCATCTTGCGGATCTGGTGCAGCATGAACGATTGCCCAAAGATCTTGCATTTGACCCATTCCAAATCGCCGCGGATGATGGGGTCGCTGACCTGTATGTCAAAGAAACGAAGTGACCTGAGCGACCATGTCCCGAAAACGATACGCGTCCACCCCAAAAAAATGCATAAAGGGATAGCCTACCGTCAAATCGATCATGAATCGCATCGCACTACTATCTCCAAACCCCTTCCCCACCGTAAAATTATGGAAATTATGCGTCCCCTCATACCCCTTCAACGCCTCCCTCAGTTTCCCCAGTCGTTCCTCCCCAATCCTAAACGCCCTCCTTGCCGCCAACTGATCCGCCGTCGGCTTCGCCGTAAGATCATCGAAGGATTCATTGGCGTGGGTGGGCAGCTCGGTGGTGGATATCCCATGGGATTTAGCGAGGGCGGAGAAGGGGTAGAGGTAGGGAGCGGCCGGGGCGAGGACAAAGGTGGGGAGAAAGTATTCGTAGATACGGGAGTCGCAGGCGTTTTTGGCGTGGAAGGCGTTGGTGGTGCGGACGTAGCCTGGGGTGTGAGGCAGGGAGGGTGGTTTAAGTTTTAGGGTAGGGGATTGGGGTGCATTGTCAGAGGGATGTTATAACGCACCCCAGACACGTATTTGCTCTGGGAGATGTTGGTTGATTTTTGAGATGATGGTGGGGTCTTCGATGATCATTTTTAGGGAGCAGACTTGGCCGGCTGCGTGCACGCCTTTGTCTGTTCGGGCTGCGCGCATGAATTGGATCTGATAGGAAACATAATTGAGTTCCTGTAAGACGAGTGCGATGCCTTATATACCCCGTATGCATACCTTTGCCGGGTCGTTCGCATTGTCTTTGCTGACGGCGCCTGATTCTGCTAGTGCTTTATGCAGCTCTGCTTCGATCGTTGCGACTCCGGGGTTGCTGTAAGAATCAGGGAAGGGAGATATCAATGATCGTTTTCACTATCCTCCATCATGTAAGGGATCCCGAGCGCCAGCCGAGTGGTCAATGAGCGAAGCAGCTCCCTTCGCTCGCTAACGCTCGGTCTCACCACGCTGCGGGATCCCGGATCGAACCAACCACTCCCTCGCCTACGGCTCGCTCAATACTCACATTTGCATTCCATTGTAACCAGTCCCACAATACCCCATCAAGAGCGCCACCTTCTTCTTTGGCAATCTCGGCCCCGAATCCTCCGCATCCCCTCCCTCTCCTCCTCCCTCACCCTCAGCACCCTCCTTTGTCTCCCTGGGTCCCCAAGCTCTCCCCCGCTTAGCACTCTGCGCCTTCCCACTTGGAGCGGTCCTGCGTTTGTTCTTACTCCTTCCACTTTTCTTGTCGTTGGAGGTGGCTATGACAGAGACGTCGGGTGAGTCGTCGCCATCGGGCGTGTCGAGGCCTATTGAGCCTGTGTTCTCTGTTGTTAGTGGTGCTGTGGGTGCTGAGACACCGACACCTTCGCCTGCGGTTGCTGGGAGGGAGGAGGGGGTTGAGAGGTCTAGTTTTATACGTTTGTCGGCGGGTGCTCCTTGCGAGTCCGCGGCGACCTCTTCTGCGGAGCGTTCCCGTTTGGAGCCTGCAGCGAGAGTGGAGTCTGTTTGGTCCGTCATGACTGGGACTGTTCTACTTGACCCCATGTATGGGAACTTGGCCAAAAGTGAGAGTTACTCGAAGGACTGGCCGACAGAAAACAGACCGTGTTATTAAAGTCGCAAAAGAATGCACGTGACGTGGATGCACAAATGACTTCACGCGTCCGCAATGGCTCCGACGCCAAGTCCATTCCATTCTGTGAGAGGGAACGTGTGGGGGTAATAATACTGTAGGACAATATGCCCACCAGGGCCGAGGACAACGTGTGCTGGGCCCCCCCAATACGAGTATGAGCAAGGGCCGTGTTACGCACGCCTTAATGATTGTATGCGTTCTGTGCGAATCACTCAGGGCATGTCTGCTGATCTGCTATTGTTCATTTTCCTGGGCTCGCGAGTCGCTGGGTGAACCCGCTGGCGGGTATATTGGTGGTGGGTGCAACTTTTCGGGCCTTTCCATCGGTTATCCTCCTCAAAAGACATTCTTCGCTCACTTAAAATCCATCCACCGCCCACGTTCTTCTTTTGTATCTATCGCCATCTATCCATCTGCCGTTTGTCCGTCTGTGTATCTCATTGTAGTTTGTGTGTGTGTGTGTGCACATAGCGATATCCGAACGTGTTCAACACCTGCCTTGGCGAACACGTCCCCCCTGCTGCGGCCCCCGCGCGAAAAGCAAGGCTTACGGCTCGTCCCCAAGCTCCACTTATCACTGTACGCCTAGGGGTGTGTGCACCCATCCACCCCATATCGCACCTATTTATTCCCATCCGCCATGCAAACCCACCGACCCCCACCACCAGCGACCCTCCCCATCACCATCCCCCGCCCACCGCCGAAAATGGAAGAAGTGTCCCCGCTGCTGACCCCCTCGATCGACGCCGAAACGCACCCGTTCAAGTTCTCGGCGCTCAAGCTCGAGAATCCCATCCTGCCCGTGTCCATCCCGTTTGTCGCGGAAAAGTCGCCGAGCCCGCCGACGAGCGATACGACTGTGTCTGATTACGGGGATGGGAATGGGCATGGGAATGGGAATGGGAAGACGGGCGGGACGGCGCCGGCGGCGGACGAACCGGGAACGGCGCGAGAGCAGGGAGAGGAGGTGAAGAAGAAGAAGTGGGGGGATGCGACGAAGGTGAAGCCGGGGGAGTTTGAGCCGGAGAGGCATTTCTATCCAAGGGTTTTGAAGTGAGTAGGGACAGCGACAGGCGGGTCTGGCGAGCGCAGCGGGGCCTGGTGCTCCATGTCCAGCGAAGGAAAAATTGAGCGAGCGAAGCGAGCCTCCTGCGTTCTGCGAGGGGCAGCGAATCCATCTTCTTCATCCGCAGCATCGCTGTTGCGAGCGTCGCCATCATCTCGTTAAACACATATCTCATACGATCCTACTCCTTCCCTCAAACTCCCCTCCAGCGCCAACATCCACCCTCTCGTCGCCTCCTTCTTCTCCCTCGGCAACGAACGCATCATCGCCCGCTACACCCACCTGAACCCGCAGGTCGACATGGAAGCGCTCACAAAACTCCTCGCGTACAAACCCACCTACTTCCAGTGGGCCGGTAATGTCGTTCCGATCCCGTACTTTTTTGCATCATGGAGAAAACATTTGGGGGAAGAATGTAATTGAACGAGAAAAACCCACCCGGGGATTCTAGGATCGGACTTGTTCAATGTGACGACCGCCAGCGGCCAACGCCAGATGATCATCGTCGAGACCAATTCGTGCCCGTCGGGTCAGAAATCGATGCCGTTGTTGTCGGACCCTGAGGAACATGGCGGTTACGGTATGCGCGTCTCCCCCTCTACCCTTTTCCCCCATTCCCATGGCCCCCAATCTCTCACGCCCCCATTCGCCCACCAACAGGTATAGTGATCTCCCGCACCTTCCTCCCCCTCCTGCGCACGCTCCCCCCCACCCTCGGCGGCCTCGCCGTCGTCTACGACAAGAACATGATGGAGGCCTCAGGCTACGCTGCCGTCATGGCCGAGGTGTGTGGCGAGGAGGTTTACCTGGTCGAGTATTACCTGGAGGACCCGGACCCGCCGGTCCAGTGGCGGGACGGGGTGATGTGGGTTCGGGATCGGGTGAAAGGTAAACTGTCCCAAAAACCAAAACCCTCCGTTTCTTTTCCCTATGGTTTTGGGGGGGTGGGGTGGAACTGACGACAGTATTTTCATTCCATTTTTTTTCTTCAAGAATGGCATCCGATCCGCGCCTGTTTCCGCTACGTCACGCAAAAGCCCTGGTCGCGGTTCCCGCTGTCCACACGCACGCTCGTGCTCAACAGCGTGATCTCGTGTCTCGCGGGCGGCCGCAACAAGATGATGGCCGCGCGCGCGTACGATTTCCTCAACGCCGAGCTGGCCGGGACCGGGCTGGGCGTGCGGGTGCCCGAGACCATCCGCAACGTCACGAAGGGGGAGATCCCGCTCTGGCTGGATAGTATGGGCGGGCATGCGGTGGTCAAGGTGCCTTACTCTAACGCTGGTAGCGTATCCGTATCCCTGCCTTTGTCCCATGCCCCACGGTCCTAAACATGTTATGATAACACTCCCCCCGTAAAGGCCAGGGCGTCTACACAATCACGACCGCGACCGAACTCTCCACGTTCATGTCGACCCCGCACCACTACGGCAAATTCATCGTGCAATCCCTCGTCGGCAACGCGTCGTGGTCGTCCATCTCGCGCACGGGCCGCTTCTACCACGTCGGGACCATCCCCAACAAGAAGAACCACACCTTCGTCACCGACCTGCGCTGCATGGTGTGTGCCGACGCCGGCGGGTTTGCCCCCGTCGCGATATACGCGCGGAGGGCCAGACGCCCGCTGCTGAGGAGGCTGGAGGATGACCCCAGTGGTGCGTTTATCCATGTGTGCTTGGTCCTACCCCGTTGGGTCAACTAACCCCTCGGTTTTACTTACGGCCCCTGTAGTAACATCGTGGGAGATGCTGGGCACGAACCTCTCGGTGCGGCTCCCGAGCGGGGACTGGACGACCGAAGCGCAGCGGCTGCTGCTGATGGACCGCAAAGACTTCAACCAACTGGGGCTCGGGATCGACGACCTGATCGACGCGTACATCCAGACGGTGTTGAGTGTGATCGCGATCGATAAGATGGCGGGGCGGTTGATGCGCGTGAGGAAGGGGTTGGGTGAGCGGAACGAGCGAGAGGGGGGCGAGGTGCAGGGGGACGTGGGGGGTGGGGAGGGGGACGGGCAGAAGGCGTGGGAGAGCGAGTATGAGTTTGATTTGGAGTTGTTTGAGGCGTTGAATCCGGATAAGGCGCTTTTGAAGGAGATTTTGGGGTGATGAGCTCGGTCGGTGCTCGGGCTGTGGACTAAGCAGCGGGACTCCCGCGCGCGTGTGTATGTGTGTATGTGTGTGTGTGTGTGTGTGTGGAAGGGGAGGGGGGCAAATGTGCGTGGGTTTTCCTTGGGTTGTGGGTCTTTTTTTGGCGATGGGGTGTGTTATTGCCTCCGTTTGTAGTTTTCCACCTGCGGATTTTTGATTTCATGATTAATTTTCCTTTCGTATGTGATTATGTATCCTGTTCTAAGTGCATCATTACTCTTTCCGCTTCGTGTGGTTTTGGGCGAGGATACTTCCAAACGAAACTGATCGCATTGAGAGCTCCATGGAGTTTCAACGGAATGTCGGGATCTTATATGCAGGCCACGGCTATTTACATTAGCATACGTAACGTAGTACACTACTACATATTCATAGCGTCTCTTGGGCTACAGAAGCTACAGCGAGTCAATGGGGTATACGGAACCGTTGGCGGGTTTACTGTACATTTTTCCGAGTCGGGTGTCGGTTGGCAGTTGCTCGCGCGTCAATCACCACCATGATCCTTCTCCTTACGAGTCTCCACCACCGGCTCGCCGTCCTCCAGCACCGTGCGGTTCACAACGCTCTTCACAGGCGCACCGGTGGTGGTCTCAGACCCCTCCGCACCCTCAATCTTCCCCTCGACCACCTCCGTCTTATCGCCCTTCCTCTTCTCCACCCTGATCTCGGCCCCGTCAACCCCGCTCTCCGCATCCTTGACCTCCTCCGCAACCTCCTCAATAAAATCCTCCACCGTCTCCAAGAGCCCCTCGGCTTCAGCCTCATTCAGCGCATCCGCAGGCGTATAAGTCTCCCCCCTAATCCTATGCGTCAAAAACCGCTGGGTCACCGTAACATCCAGCACAAAGTCCGAATAAAACCCAAAACAGCAGTGCTTGAACGCCGGCCAGCGGTATGTGGGCCCCAGGTCCGGAGAGAGGTTTTCGGTGTAGGAGAAGGCTTTTGTGTGCAGGAGGGCTGCGATGGCCATTTCGATGCAGAGGATGAAGGCGTTGAGGGAGTTGGAGATTTCGAGGGAGGACCAGTGAGGGGTGGAGTGGATGATGTGGGTGTTGGAAAGGATGGAGATTGTGACGCTTTGCCAGAAGGAGAAGAAGATTACGAACTGGGTGGGAGGGATCAAGGGAGGTAATGAGTGGGTGGACCTAAAGGGGTGGCAGAAAGAACCGTTCGTCGGGTCAGGTACTCACCTTGATGGAGACGAATTTCAGGACAGGGTGATATCCCTTCAACTCGCTCTTTATCGTAGTATAAATTTGCACCAACGCGAACATTGCCACCGTAACGCTAATCGAGTTGACAATGATAATCCACAGATGCGCAAACCGCGGACTCATCGAATCCTCACAAAACTTCCCCGTCAACTGTGTCACCACCGCCAGCACAGTCGTCACGGGTCTCAGCACCACATACTGCAGCGTGCCAATCTTGCAATAATGCAAGAAATGCGGGCGCGAGGGGCGGTACGTCCACCGTTGCAGCGGGAATACGAAATTCATAGTGGGTTTCGAAGCGAGCACTTCGGCTTGCGCTTGGATGTCGGCGCCGATGTAGGCGAGGAGGAGCTGGAAGAACTCGTAGATGACGACGGCTTCGTAGCAGTCGCGGAGGACGTCGAGGTAGACCGTCATGCCGCGGAAGGCCAGGCCTAGGCAGGAACACACGCTGTAGACTGGGACCATGAACAATATCCGAACGATGTGTTTCTAGAATGTATGAGGGAAGGAATGAGTGTGTGTGAACCATCGACCATGGACCATCGATCGTCAACCATCGAACGTCAACCATTTAACCACTCATCAACAGGTACGATTATTATGAGGAGAGTCTTGCGCCTTTGGCGCAATATGATCCTCGCTTCGCTCGCACAAGATCTGACGCTCGCTGATGCTCGCACTCACGGCGTTCGTCCTCGCTAGCGCTCGGTATTACAGTGGACTCGTTCACGTACCTGATAAACGGGCGAATGATAATACCCCCAATGCTGCCAAACCAACAAAAAGCTCAAGCACACGGAAAAAACCGTAAACGCGCCACTCAGCGCCCACCCAACCAAAAACAAATGATACCCGTCACTGTCAGGCGGCGGTGGACCGTGGTGTTGCGGGGGCATTGGGCAGTCCCAGTCTGATATGATCGGCTGCGGTGAGTCGTGGGTGGGTGGTGAGCCGGCGAGGAGGGTTTGGAGGAGAAGGGGTGGGAGGGGCGACATGTTGGGGAAACTTGGGAGGTTTGGTGGGGTGCGGGAGACTGGAAGTGTTTTGAGACTCGGCGGCGGTTGATATGAGATAGCGGAATGATATGGGGGGTCTTTTTCGGTCTTATGGATGCATGCCGCAGCTTTGCTGAAGGGGATATCGTTTCGAATCGGTTCGTTCTATGCTTTTGCCCGCGTGGGAATCTCCTTTTCCTTGGCGTAAGTGGCAGCAATTATCAGTGAGCTGCCGTCGGTGGCAAGATGGGATGGAAGATGTAGGGACGAGAAGGCGGATACTATGGATGAGGGCGGCAGCAGAGTGGGCTGCGATCTATGTAGTGGCTGCTTGTTGCGTTTGCGGTGGAGGCGTTGCGAGAAAAGCTGCGAGAAAAGCGGTGAGACCTGTGATGGGAACAGCGAGGGTGCGAACTTCGCGACGTCATTCACGCGGGCTCCTGCGACTCCTCTGGACTCCTGGGACTAACGCGTTCCGCACTGCTTCCACAGTCCAGAGAGAGAGGCTTCTCGGCATCAGAGCTTTCCGCTACAATCAACCTCAAGTCCATATCCGACAGAATTGAACATCCAGAGCCCGATGATGTGAGGAAAGATGTACAAATGCGAGTATTAAAAGTGAGAAAATGTATGTGAAAACTCTACATGCTACGCCGGTGGAACTGTATGCAAATCCCTACTCTACCGGTTCGCTCGTGCCCCATCCGCCCGGACATCCAGTCCAGATCCAGATCTAATCCCCCTTCTTCAACGGGATGATGGAATCCCCATCGCCATACAGCAGCCTCTGCGGCAACTGCTCAAACTCCACAGACCCCCTATCCCCGTTCAACTTGACCACCCACGTCACATCAAACCGCTTCTTATCCCATACCGGCACCAGCTCCTCCTTGACCCCCAATGCTTTCACAATATCGCTCATCATCTGATGACACCACGACACCAGTACCGTCCTGCCCTCATACTCCCCCCCACCGCCGCCCAACAATTTCCCAACCATCTCCTTCACCAGCGCCTTCCGGTACGTCACAAACGGCACCACACCTTTTATTCCCTCACTCTCCGCAAACGGCAGCACAGTCTCCTTCGGCCGCTCCGACTTGCCAAACCCGTCGATATCGTCCACGGCCTGTGCGATGATCCCGCCCCACGGCCGCTCGGCGACCAGAGAGGTGATTTCGGAACGGCGGTGGAAATAGGGCACGAGGGCTTGCGCGCGCTCGTAGCCTTTTGTGGAGAGGATGTGGTTGTCAATGTAGGCGGCTTTGATGTCGGAGGAGGGTTTGAGGCCGGAGTGCCACGGCAGCTTCTCGGCGTGGCGGATGAGGAGGATGGTTGTGTTGGGGAGAGGCATGGCTTTTTGGGACGAGTGGAGGGGGCTGGAAATGCGCTCGATTGGGTGGCTCCTGAGGGAGTTGGTGGCGGACTGTGAGCGTAGTGTGTATAGTATATGCAGCAAGTGCGTGCTAGTTGCTATTCGTTCGTGGGCTGCTGTGTGCGAGGGGGTTCAGCTGGGTCCAGGGGAAGGGAAGGGAACGCCAGAAAGGCCTCCGATGCCCCTCCGATTCCGCCCATATTCCCCCAACGTCCAAAAGCGCATTACGTTCTCCCGCAAGCACATGTCATTCCTGATAGACTGGTCCCTCCTAACCAACGGCGACGGCACAGAAGCCGACAACCTCCTCGCCTTCCTCAACACCCGTTTCCAGCAAATCGACCGCCCGCCCTTCCTCGGCCCACTCGCCGTCACAGACTTTGACTTTGGCGACGTGCCGCCAGAGATCAAGATCACCGATATATGCGACCCTAGCCCCGAGTTTTACTTGCCGGAGGAGGAGGATGAGTGGGGGAGGTTTGTGGCGGGTGCGAATGCGCAGGCCGCCGCGGCTGCGGCTGGGAATGGGAGTGGGGGTGTTAATACCCCGCCGAGACCGTTTTCGCCGGGCGCGGAGTATGGGGAGGGGCATTTTGCGTCGAGGGCTTTTGAGCACGGGATACGGCATCGGGGGACGGGTGGTGGTGGTGGGGCCCATCAGCAGGGAGGGATGTATGCATCCGAGCCGGCACGAACCACAGGAGGAGGATATGTCGGCAACAATCTCGGTCTGATCTCCCCACCCTCCATCGCCCGCACCAACACCTCCCCAATGGGATCAGCTAGAAGCCTCCGCGGCGGTGGCGGAGGAGGCAGCGTCGTCGGCTACGGCACCGGCTGGAGCGGCAGCGTCGGTCTCGGCCTCGGTCTCGGTCTCGGCGCCAGCCCCATGGTCGCCCCACCCGCCCGCACACCCTCCTACCAACGCTCCCCAACCCCGTCCGCGCGCACACATACCACATCACCCTCCCCACGCCCATGGGATCTACCCTACCACGATCCCTACGCCCAACCACCACCACCACCACCGCCACGGTTAACAGACCACGAACTAGCGCTCCAATACGCGCAGACGATGCAACGGCCCTCGGACGCGCAGGTGGAATTGCAGATCGTGTATAAAGGGAACATGAGGTTGGGGATCACGACCGAACTGATTGTGAACCAGCCAACGCCGGCGTTTATGGTTTTGCCACTGAATTTGACGTTGACGGGGTTTCATTTTACCGGTAATCAACATTACACTGCTTTGCAATCATCCCCCATTCGGGCGCCCACTCACTCACTATGTCTTTTTTTGGTGTACACAGCAACGGCACTGATATCCTACCTCGGCGACCGCATCAACTTTTGCTTCAAGGAAGCCGATACCGGCGCTACGTAAGTCCTATCCCAAAACCAAAAGCCGCCTATGGGCCCCTCCGGTATTCACACAACACTCACACACGCCTCCCTAGAATCCTCCAAGACGTCTCCATAGACTCTGAAGTCGGCGACGGGCGAAAACAAGGTAAGAAAAACCTTCCCCCCTTCCTCTCACCATTTCCTTTTTTCCCTCACCAACCCCCGTCCTTCCGATATCCCCTTTAGTCCTGAAAAATGTCGGTAGAATCGAACGCTTCATAATCGACCAGCTCCGTAAAGTCATACAGGACTTCCTCGTCTTTCCCAACCACCAAAGCCTGCATCTCCGCCCGGAGACGGAGGACGATGGATATAGTGAGCGGGATGGTGGGAGTAGTGGGAGTAGTGGGGATAGTGGGAGTTGGACGGGGAGTGAGGAGGGGAGTGAGGAGGGGTGAGGACGGGGGTGGCTGTCGGTCCTCTTTCTTTTCAACGTTTTTGGCTACATGGAGATAGGGCAGAGGTACCCCTCGCCGCTGTGCAGAACTTGTGTATACCGCACACCACACGCCCCCTCCTGAATATACCCTCGCAAGCACATTGACCTCTCGACAAATATTCACTCTTTCATTACAAAACGCATCTGGTATATCTATTCACTCACGCAACCCAAAAAAAAAACAAACAAACAAGGGGGATCAAGAAGAGCATGGGATCTAGTACTGCGACGTCTGACGATCGTAGTTGGCACCCATGGCCTTTTGGAGCAGTTTCTTGATTTCGGTTTCGCGGAGGTCCTGTTTCGTGGAATAAGATAGGGGATTCAGAAACGCGATGAGTGAGCGATGTGGTCTTCTTTCAATGGGGTGTCGCATCAGGGACTCATCCCTCGCAGATGAATTCCGATCATTCAACACCTCGAAGCGACGTGCCAAGCCAAGCGTCCCCGCGCTGATTCCTGCCCCACCCAAAAAAGCACCCACGCCCCGCATCCCCTCCCCCCCCCCCCCCCCCCCCCCCCCTGCCAACCACCCAACTCAAACACCGGAAAACAACACATACCTCCTTTGTAGAAGCAGCAATCTCGACCGCAAACGTCTTGACGATCTGCTTGACGGACGCAATGTGCACCGACAGCTTGGCCTTGCGCATCACCTTCACTTCCTTGCCGCACCAGCTTACGAGCACGAATTTCGCGCGTTGCGACTAGAAAACAAAAAAAGTGAAATACGAAGGACCGGGAGTGTGTTAGTGCTGTGGCGTAGGGATGAGCGAGGCATGGAATGGGCAGCGAACGCAGATGGACCCGCCCCCGGACGACTATCGATTGTCCCGTCTGCGTTCGATTGAATCTTTCATCGCAGGATGCCTCATGGAAGCATGCACCCCCACACACACCCCGCCCCCCCCCCGCTCGCATTCCCCATCCTACATCCCCCCACATCGAAAACACGTACTCAGGGGGTAGGTTTGTCATACTCACCAACTCATCGTTCCCAACAATGATCCTCAGATACCCAAACGCGGCCTGGTCGTCGCGCAGCTTGTCCGTGAACTCGGCCAGCCCGCCCGTCCCGCTGCCGCTGAGGGTGAGGACGTCTTTTGCGTCGTTGGCGTACGATAGTAACAGCCTGTGCGGGTGAGTCGGGTGGGTGGGTGGGTATGCGATGTCCATGGGCTGGCGATGCCCGCCCTCGCGAAAGAACAGTGGAAAGGAAAGTCATGCCCCCTTACCAGTTAGTCGGGGTCTTGTCGTTCCTCACGTCATCGTACGCAGCCTGCACATCGCCGTCGAAAGTCGCCATCGTTTTCAGAAATGGGGCGGTGGGGGATAATGGAAGGGGTCGTGGTCGGGTAGATGGGGAGCAGATTATGATCGTCTTCCTTGTGCAAGTTGGGCGTTTATGGCGGTGGAGAGGGCGACTCCGTCGGGGGCGATTGCTTTTTATAACGGGCGTGCGGTCTTTTGCTTATGGCATCCCGGAAGTGGACAAGGTTTTCCCCAAGGAGGCGTTTTACGCTTAATATTTCCGGGGGGTGTTACTATTTTTTTTTTGAGAGGCGACGGTGGGGGAAACCCTACAGGCAGAGACAGACATTCAGGCGCACCCTTCTACTTTTGAGTACATTCTTGGAGCGGGGTCATGTTTGGCATACGTTTTCTAGATTCCCGCGCGCCTCGCTCTTGCGCCCCAAATCCCGTTTTTGACAGCGCGTGCGGGGAAGGCACGGCAGGAAAAACAACACCGCGCGTTCACGGCGTTTGAACACCGACCAATTCTGTCAACTTCACGCCGGAGTAAGTCTTTGGACTGTCAGACGTCTTGTGACACTGGTCAGAATTTGTTTGAGAACGCTGTCCCTGGCGGCGGTGTAGCCAAGCAGAAGACAATTCTCGGGATAACTGATTGTCAGAGTTTTGCCTCAGTTCTTTGGGGGGTTTGATAGGAGCCCTGCGTTCAGGACCCTAAGGTAAACGTAGGATGGTTTCTTGCTGCAGAGGGGTCATTGTTGATGACGGCAACCTCAAATGTACAAAGAAAGTCAAATTATGTTCCCATGGGGGCGTATCGGTGCCTCCCTATCTATCGCCAACGCTTTTCGGGAGCTTCCAGGCGCCATCAATTTGCGCGCCGCAGTCGTCTATCATCGCTCTGGCGATCATGGAAAGGCTCTACCTCCATGTTGTGCAGTTATTGGGAACGAAACCCTTCACGGTCCCAGAGGGAATCGTGAACCTGATGGGCACCCTATGTGGTCAAACGTTTTCCTGGGTCAGCCGAGCGACGACGGGTGACGGTGAAAGGCAAACGTGGGGAGATGTGGTGGACGGGCCACTCACCATTTGTCAGTTCCCCCGCACCGTCCGTTGAACCCTCCCCTTTGCCACTGACATTGCGCTCCCCAGCAGAGCGAGCATTGGCCCTTCTGGAGGGTGCCGAACAATCTGCCGTTGTCGCTCGGTGAGGCGCGCACTTGAAGCCCGCTGATGTTGGAGCATGCTCTAGTACTGGGTGGGTCCATTGACGAATTACGGGATGGGAGAGAACAAGCCAAGCCGTTAGGCGAACGGCTTTGTCGTTGTGGTGGTTTTGGTGACTAGGAAGACAAACTTACGCAGCCGAGGCGCTGGTCGCCAGACAGACGGCGACAATCAGGGCGGAAACCTTCATGGGTAAGGCGAGCAGCGGGAAGTCTCCTTGGAGTTGGTTTGAGACACTGGACGATGAGACAAGGTGGGGAGAAGCAACTGACTTCCTTGCACTCTTATATACACCCCTTATCAACCCGCAGCTTACTGTACATTACAGTTGCTTGCCGCCGCGAGGGTGGGAGAGCTTGAGGGGGCGGTTCCCAGTTGGAGGGATCCGGCGGGATCCTGTTGTGAGCCAGAGATCAGACATTCATGGCATTCGGGTGTCCCCTGATAGAGCCTCGATTCCATGATTTCCTTGCGTGCAAATGTAAAAGCGAGTTGCAATGCTCCAATAAGGTTTGTGCGCGAATGGACACCGGCTCGTGGATGGAGTTTACGCCTCGTTTCGCCGGAACATGTCTACGGCAAGACCCCGCGCCAACGAGCGTCTTAAGGCGCAGAACACATCCATCCCGACTCGGTACAGTAAGTCCCGACCTAAAGTGTGCGAGTGTCAACGACGGTGGAGACACGGTGCCTTGCGAACAGAGGTCATCTTTGCCTGCGGCGGACACTCTGTCGCGATCTGGTCGACGCGCTCTCCCATCTTCGCTGCCTGGTCTCCAAGATGCTTCCTTGAATCCCATCACTGCTCGGGCTGTTCAAACTGCTCAGGAAGGGTGTTGGGAGGATTCTGGGCGTGGGTTTTGGGTTATCCTAAGGACCCTCCTGGTTCTGGGTGACCACCCAATTCACAGATTTGAACTGCGGCCAGTTACACCCCTTCACTGTCTGAATACAGAGTCCAACATCCCACCGCCTCAATCAACCGGTGAAACGATGGTGCTGGTCTACTCGTCTGCCATGGTTAGTTCGTATTGTGTATCGGTTGATTCTGTAAACTACTGTACGTAGGTATGTATGTCACTTCGAACCCGCCGTGTCTGACTCCAGGTGCCTATCTATTGCTCAAAGGTGAACTCTCCCCCGATTCTCTATGATTGTCCGTGACGGATCCGCACAACTACCAATTCACGCAAGCAGCGGGAACCCAACCCTTGGCCGTGCCCGAAGGAAACGTCATCTTGATAGCGACCCTGTGTAAACGGTGAATTGGATCAGCGTGCGCCTAAGGGGGGCGGGACACGAAGGCCAACATCGGGCGAGGCCTCGGCCTATACTTGCCATTCGTTCCCGCTCGTCCCACATTTATTGTAGTGTCCATCGTTGACCCATCGGCAAGCGTCCCCCCAACACGTCTTGCATTGGCCCTTCTGCAGCTGTCCGAGCCTGGTGCTGCCGGTGTTGGATTTGGCGTATACGAGAAGGTTGTCGTGTTGAGAGCAGGCTCTGGTGCTGAGGGCGGCGGGATTAACGGAGTGACACCCAGGATGGAAGCAAGCACAATCAACATCATCTCTCTTCGTTTTGTGAAATCATGAAGCGAGGGAGGATTACTTACGCAGCAGAGACGCCGGTGGCGAGGCACGCGGCGGCGATCAGAGCTGTGACCTTCATGGCGGTGATGCGATGTTGAGGTGGTGGACAAAGACCCGCGAAATGGCTATTTTGAAGTTGTTTCGAGAATAATGAAAAGACGGAGGGGGCAGCTCGAGGCGAAAGAAGCATTTATGCTTCGGAGACCGCACACTCGACCGGTCGAAAGAGAGGGTGTCGACGAAGCTGTCCCTTTGACTGCCCGTTATGGAGGCGCCTCTGGATGGGTGTGTCAGATGTTTTTTTTGTGATCCTCTTTGGAGCCTGCAATGATCTGATCCCATCATGAATGTTGTTCCGATGGGAGTCTAGTGATTGTAAGGTTCCATGGAATTCAGTACACGGAGGCCGTCGCCGGCATGGAGCGCATTTGGCGCCGCTGGCGTTGCTGGATGGGTACACTTGCTGCATTCATCATGCTCTAGGAACAAAAGACGAACAACTGTGGCGATGTAGATATGTACTGTACTGTACATCGCGTTTCGCGTACAACAGTTCAAAGGTCGAAGCTCATGAAGTCTGTTGTGTTCGCATGATGCTCCTGGGCCCTGGCCGCGGGTGGTCGCCCGTTTCCACGCGAACTCCCACTATTTGTATGGAATTCAAGCCTCAAGGTGTGTGCCGGCGGGCCACAGAAACAACATGTGCAGCGCGTAACCGCAAGGCTCGCCGGTATGGGCGAGAAAGACAGGAAGACGTTTTACTGGTAGGCGCCGCAGGCGGAATGGGGGCAAGTTGCAAAAGGCCATCTGGGCACCGTTTTTGCATGATCGCCCACGGTGTGCAGGTCTAAACCGAAAGCCCATTATAATAATATGCTCACCTACAGTAGCTTCAAGCTATCAAAATTCATGTTACGACGGAGTTCGCCGAGCCTCCGGTACAACACAAAAGTCACCGGCCGGTCACAGTCCATGACAACGCCCTGTCCATTACGAAGCATAGTTCCCACATACTGTACAGTACATAATTCCGAAAGCTCTAAAGGAACTCTATCTTCTAAAAATCTTGCATCCAACCCTCTCTTTACACTACCTCACCCGTATCCCTACGCCACACCCTCATCCATCATACGCCATTCAACCCCCTCCCCCGCCCAAAACCGGCTTCGAACATCGCCATCTTTCCCCGGGCTGCGGGATATCCGCACGCCAGGACACCCGACCTCCGTCTCGTAGCATCGGAAGCCTTGGGCTGTGAGGGATGTTTTTATGGTGTCGAGAGTCTCGCGGGTCGTGTCTACGAAGATACGCAGTGAGTTGATGAGTTGGGGAAGCAGCGTAGAGAGACCGCCGTACCATGCCGAATAAGCGTCAACGCACAGCCGCCCCCGCCGGCCCCGGTCAATTTAGAGCGCAGGCCGTGCAGTGCGGTGATCTGGCGGACGGATTCGAGGCTTGGATGGCTGACGCCGGATGCGGCCATGATGCTGTGGTTCATGTCGATGAGGGTCTGGTTTTGGGTGGGGTTAGACGGGTGTGCTTTTAGGAATGGTTGGGTGGGGTGGTCGTACCTCCATGACTTCGTAGACTTCGTCTTGTGAGACATGTTCAGAGTTTTGGTCTGCTGGGTGCCGGGTGAGTATGTTTTCATGTGGCGAATTGAGGAGAATGTTGAAGATGTACCTTTGGCTTCGAACAGTCGCCGACATTCTAGAGCGATGCCCTCCACGGCTTCGATGAGGTGGTTCATCACGGCGGGGTACTGTGTCAACAAACCAGCAATGAGTCTCAACCGCTCCTCAAAACTCCTCGGTGGGAAGTGGGGAGTCGAAGAAAGATACGCCAACTGATGCCGTCGGAACTAACCCGCTCCTTCCGCGTCCTAAACCCTTCCACCTGTTTCTTTGTGTTCTTCGGCACTTGCGTGTCGGTGAGGAGGAACCGAAATGCGCTGAATCCGTCTACAGTCTCCAGCTTCCCTTTCGTGTACAGTTTGGCACCGCCTGCGATCGAAAGGGGTCAGCCTGCCAGTCCCGTAGCTGTTATTTCCGTGTTGTTGCGACAGACCAGGGCCATACCATACGTCGCCAGCGCGTTATCAATCCCGGACGGATTCCCATGGATGACCTTCTCGGCCATGAACGCCCACCCGTTAATCAAGTCCATGTCGGTGGTAGTAAGGTTGCCGCCGTCCAGATGGCCTGAGTATGCGAGCAGCGCGGTCGCGATCGCCACGCTGTAGGATGCGGAGGAACCTAGACCGGCGCCGACGGGTAGCGCTGAGCGCACGCAGATCTCGATTGGGGGGAGGGGTTTGGGTGTTGCCTGATGTCTGGGATGAATGATTGTGATGAACGGTTGTGGACAGTTGGATGTGCCGCCCTGGTGAGATTGTTGCTTACCTCCAACATATGCATAGGTATAGGTGCAGGAAGGCGGCTGCCGCCTGGGTAGTGGGGGATGATTGTAGCTGGGCCAGGCTTTCCAGGATGACCACCTCTGCGAGCGACGACAGAGCTTCTGGCGTTGGAGTCTTCGCGTTGTCCCCTACAATCGTGCTCTCGTTCAGGAAAACCCTCGCCCTCCTCTTCGTGCCGTGCCCCATGACAAACAAAGCTACCTTTGCCATGCAACCGCGCTAACGTCTCCAGCCGGCCACTATCCCACTCAATCGGATCCGGGCAAATATCAGGCAGCCGCAACCTGACCAGCGGTGGATTCGCCCCTGCAGTCGTTGCATGGGTAGGTTCTAGCCATGCGTAGGTTCGTAATGCGAGGCTGGCTGCTATCGCTGGCTTCAGAAGACGTGACAAGAGACGAGGGAGAGTTAGCATACAGCTTTCCGGTTTGTAAAGGGTGTTCCTCGTCGTCGTCGTCGTTTATTTCACGCACCTTCTCGTAGACAACGGCGTGCTCGCCAAAAAGGATGACTTTTCCGGGGGCGGACGCCAGTATGGCGTTTTGGGAGGCGGTCATTGCCGGTTGCCCTGTGGTGTGCTGTGCTGTCCTGTACCGTACCGTGAACTGGTTATCGACTTGCGAGCGCACACAAAGTCCAATGCGGGCAATGTCACTACCTCCGTGAGTTTGCGACGCGCGACTGTCCAGACTTCAAGGCTTTCAGGGCGGGGTTCCAGAACGTCGCTCGCAAGTGGACTCCCAAAGCAAAGCTACGATGAACGCCGTACAAGAAGACGAACGCAGCACCGCCCACGCCTCCCAGAAGGACACGCCGCTTCCCCAGTCAGCAGAGGAACTGGGCGATTTCGTAAGTAGTGGCGGGGTGTGATCTCGCGCTTTTGTAGCGGTATCGTACGATGGCGATAGGGCAACGAAACAAAAGCAAACATACAGCTCAACAAAGTGGGTTTCGACATTTGCAGGTAGCTAAGAGCTTGGCATTGATGGTATGATGCTATTAGTTATCACTTTGAGACGCCGCGGTGCTATCGACAGCCAGGTTCTCTGATACGGATATTGATGGATGGGATTTTCAGCAAGAACGACTAGCACACGCTTCTAACGAGATGCTATCTAAAAGTGAGTGACGGGAAACAACCTGAATTTGGCGGTTGGACATGCAGATACCTCTGCTGACAAATGATCATTGCATGATACCGTTCTGGCAGTGGAGGACATGGGCAGCAGAATCGACACCCTCGAGCGGTCCATCGTAGAAGTGCTGAATCGGTCTGCAGGGGGGTCAAAGACGAAGGATGGGACGCCAGCAGCGGAAACGCAGGAAACGGAGACATCTGCAACGACGGAATGAATGGGCTGAGGCTCGGAGATGGGAGGGGTTCCGAACGAAGGGTTTCCAGATGATGAGGATGTAATTTAAGGGCCAGCAGTAGCGGGATGTATTGGCGGAACGCAAGGGAAAGCTGTGTGTCTTTCTGTCGGTACATTGTACTGTACATTGATCCCTGTTTTGAGAGTGATACTCTGAGTGATACTGCCGGGGATCGAGGCGTATCCTACCAGTACATGTATGTACATACAGGATGCTGGAAGTAGTCTCTCTGTTACACTGAGGGTATGACAATAACTAGCCGGGAGCGCTCGCTTCGCTCGCTGTGATTTGAATTGGAGCCTTTTCCCAAACTCTCGTATTATCAGAACAACCGTTGCGAAGTCTCTCGTTGTCCGACAGTTGCGTTGCTGGATTGACAGCCTGACATGCAACGTTGATGCCACGACATAACGACCGTTTCAGTATTGATACACTGCCGAATAGAAGAAGCTATTATAATAGTACGTCACATCTACTCTAGGGTTAGGGTGTTCAGGGTCCTTTTGTGTACATGTATGTGATCCCATCGGGTCTGGAGATATAATAGAGGTTCATACGCCGGACCGCCTTATCAAATGAAGAGATCCACAGATTAAAAGCACCTTCAAAACGGACGCCATCTGAAAAGTCTGAAATCAAACAGCGCTTCCCCAAATTGATAGCTCCTAGAAGAAAGGATGACAAGAATCTCAGAACATTGCGCCCCATTCATAAACAAGTTCAACACCACCTAGGCACTCACCTTCGACTGTGGACTTGGGTCCAGATGATTCCCGCCAAAATGAGCCCCAGGGACACTAAGAAGAGCACTTTCTCCCAAAGGTCTATCTGGCCTTTGCGACTGAGCTTCTGCTCTTCCAATTCTCTGATCCGCCCTTCCAGGTCGCGCTGTTCGCTGCCGAGCTTCGTGCATTCGCCCTGCAAGGATTTGATCCGCAACTTGAGGGCGTTGCCCTTTCGTATCGCGTCATCTGCCAATTGGAGGGCATCCCGATATCTCTCTTCCGATTCTCTGATCCGCCCTTCCAGGTCGCGCTGTTCGCTGCCGAGCTTCGTGCATTCGCCCTGCAAGGATTTGATCCGCAACTCGAGGGCGCTGCCCTTTTGTATCGCGTCATCTGCCAATTGGAGGGCATCCCGAGGATTCGATCCGCAACTCGAGGGCTTTGCCCGTTTGTATCGCGTCATTTGCCCATTGGAGGGCATCCCGATATCTCTCTTCCGATATCTGATCTCCCCTTCCAGTACGGCCCTGTCTCTCTCGTCTCGTGTGGCCTGTGCGGGTAATCTCGCATTCTCCTCCCCCCGTCTCGCCCAGTTCGCTCTGTGGAGTATGGCTTCGGACCGTAATAAAGCGATCGCTTCGTCCAGTGCTGCCTTATCCTCGTTGTGTTCCGTGATCCGCTTTCGGAGTCTGGTATTCTCTTCGTCCAGTATTGACCTTTCCGCTTCGTAACGGGCCACCTCGAGCTGGGATCTCCGGTTCGCGTCCTCCCATCTTGCACGATCCTGCTCGGATTTTCCCGCCCGACTCCGTAGTCTCGCGTTCTCTTGCTCTAGTCTTGTCAAATCCTCACTGCTTTGGTCCTCACCACCCAAGTCTTTAACCACTTCGTCATTGAGGGTCTGAATGCCCGCCACCAATTCCATCCGGACATTATAACATTCCGCAAGTCCGCAGGCCACACCGAGTCAATTTGCGCGGGGAATACTCCTTTCATTACAGGTTCTGTGCCGGGTCTCTGCGGAGCACAATGAGTCGTTTGCAAACCTGCATATCCGTGAATCTCATAGAGGGCAATGCCTTCTTAGACAACATCTCCCATACAACAGTTGCAAACGAAAAGACGTCAAGCTTGGCGGTCACCACCTTCTGCCCGTCGGGGCGCCCATACATTTCGGGGGCATAATACCCGGGCGCTCCTCTGCGGGAAGCCCTCATCAACCCACTCTCGGGAAGGAGCAGTGCTTTATGGCCACTGACGGTAGTAGCCCAAATGCCGTCAATTTCGACGCGCCCGGCGTGAGTTCTCGCAACGTCCGTTTTGGCATCCTACTGTCAAGTACGGAATAGCAGCGAACTACATACATACAGTACACCATCTGGTCCGTCTACACTACTTCAGACACTGCAGTATAGCCAGTCTACGTTACAAGTCGCAACCGGACTTTGCGATTTCAATCTTGCAGCAAAGGTGTTACGAGACTCTCCGCTTCCAATCATCTCCTCACACCGTACGCCACACACCAATCCGATTACTTTCACCACCGCCCTCTCACACTATAACCGCCCAGTTCGTCTAACAATCGGCAGCGCAAACAACACCGGTAACTTGGAAAAAACTGCGAGCACAAACGATGGCACCCAAAAAGAAACGCGGCAAATCAGCCTCCCGCAAAAGCAAGGCCGTCGCGGGAAAGAGACTGACGCCGGAACAGGCTGCTGCTGTGCTCACGTTTGTCATGTAAGATGGGTGGATGATTGGTTTTGACGGGGTTACGATTTGCGACTTATGTGAGACGCATCTAGGGTCGAGTCGAAGAAACAGTCGGTAATGCAGTATCGGATGCAGTACCTTGATCAGTAAGTTGTAACCTAAGTGACAGACTGGGGTTGGATTCAGACCAGATTCTCGTGTGCATGTCGCCCGTTCAGAACGGGAGAAACGAGCGACATTTGGTGCAGGCCTCTTGCCACTGGTTATGCTACGAGCCCAAACTACCTGCCCTTGCCGGTCATCCCTCCACCGTCAGATAATTTCCCACATCAAAAGCTCAAATCACTCATCTCCAAACAGACGCGATGAGCTCAAAAAAGCGAAAGAGCGTCTCAAACGAGTCCAGGAGGAGCGGGTATGGCCATCGTCACCCATAATTCGGCTAAGACAACCAGTTGATTTCAGTAGCTGATTTCTCCGTTTTTCTTCCACTCGCAGTACGGCTACATGCGCACAGTGATCGACACAACCGAACTTATCACCCACAAACTCGAAACCTTACACCTCCAACAATCCTCACCCCCGCATCCCCATTCCCCGACCACATCCCCCTCACGCCCCGTGTCCTCATCGACGCCTTCTAAACCGGGGAAGATGGGATTGGGAACACCTGGAGGCGGTGTGTGGGCGGGAGGTGCAGGCGCAGGGGGTGCGGGAGCGGCGGCGCGGGGGCTTGAGAGTGCGATGAATGAGAAGTTGGCGAGGCAGGGGGTAGAATTGGATGGTACGTAGCCTGGAAACGTCCTCTCAACCTACATATCCCCCCACTACTCACAGCCCCACCCACCATCCACACAGATCTAACAACCACCCTAACAACCCACAAACACACCCTAAACTCCCTCACCACTATCCACGCAACCCTCACCCGCACCGACGCCCTCACCGCCCTCCAAACCCTCTACACAACAACCCTCCACGAGCGCGACAACCAGACCGCGGCACATACAGCGGAAGTGGAGGCGTTGATGAGACGGCATGGGATGGCGCTGGAGGGCGGGAAGAGACGGACCGAGTGTATCGTTGCTAGTGTTGAGGGGTTGGCTACGCAGGTGGGTGTTGGATTCCCCATCGGTTGTTGTCAATTGTGTGACTCATGGTTGAATGTTATAACAGCATGAACTAGACACGATCCCACCCGCCTACCTAACCACCGTCCTGCGGCATAAAACACTGCAGCACAAGTTATCGCTTGCCATCAGTGAACGGGATAGATTGAAAGCGCATGTGGATGCGTTGCATGTGAAACAGCTGGAATTGGTGGTGGGGGAGGACGAGGAGTGTGTTGATTGGGATTTGGGGGTTGGGTTGGGTGGGTGTGATGGGAGTGGTGAGGATGACGAGGATGAGAACGATGGGGATTCGGAAAGTGCGGATGGGGAGGAGACGTTTCCGTCGATACAACCGCGGATACCGTCTGCCGGCAACAACATACGGCCAGCAACAGCCCCCGCACAACCACCATCAATCTCGGCTACACCACCTCCCCATCGACCCCAAAGCGCCACCCACCTCCCACCTCTCCCCACTGCCCATCTAACCCAAGCCACCCCACGCTCCACCCTCCCTCTCACAGCCTCCTCCATCATCGCGCGAGAACGTGCACGAGTGCGGCAACGGATCCTTCGATCGACCAAGACGTTATCTGTGCTCGGTCATCGCGCACCCCTCCGTGACCTTGATGTGCGCACGCATGGCGGGGTGTTGGTTATGATGGTTAGGGGCGGGCGTGGGGGGGATGTTTGGGTGAAGCCGGGGGTGCAGGGGGCGCAGAGTCAGGGACGTGTGAGACAGGGACGGGGCCATGAGGGGCAGGAGGGACAGGGGAGGTATTCGGGAGGTGTGCGCTCGCCGTATGTGCCGCAGCATTTTGTGAATGCGGTGGGGGTTCGGATGGGATGACTGGGGGGTGCGATGGGTGCGATACCGAGCAAGCCCTTCCCTTGCGCTTGACGGGGGGACCGCGAAATGGCACGCGTCGGCAGACACGCACATTTCGGCTCACGAAAGAGGCCAGGTTGATCTTGGATGGTGAGGTAGAAAGACGGTAGAATATGTAGATCGGAAAATAGTCAGCGACGATTACTGCCCTATAAGCACTCTACCATTCTATAATGCATGTACGCTTGTAGTGTTACACGCCCATCGTTATCCTTGAACTGGAATCGACGCTCTCAACGCGAAGCCAGATGCATCGAGGCCAGATTGCTCGCTCCAGAACAGCCAAGATCAGTACAGATGTTGCGCCGCGGTTTGCTGTTGATTGTCGTGAGACCTGTGTGGGGAACAAGGCACGTCAATGCTCTGTTGATGAGGTGACGAGGTTTGCGTCAGGATGTGGGAAGGACGTATGTACAGTAGCTGGCCGCCTTTGCGTAGCTGTGTGCATAGAGGCCTCTCGGTTGAGTGAGACCCCCGTCACCGGAATCTACGTATCAAACGAGGTTCACTATATGATATAGAGGCAGCACCGCCGCCGCGCTTACAATAAACTCTCTTCCTGTGAAAGCAGTCAACCGTCAAGAACGACGACCGAAGGCGCGGCATGTCGTCTCCGCCAAGTCTAACGCCATAACTGCCAGACTCAAGTCGCCCGCACAAGTCCACCAAGCACTCGTGTCAAGATGCCTTTCGAGACGGCAGTAGAGGGTGTTTCAAAGATGGTTACTAGTTAGTCCCTTTGCGAACTCCCCGTATTTGGCCCACAGAGTGCCCCAGTGAGAACGAGTTTCCAAGCGGTTGGGGAGGGTGGGGAGTCGGCAAGGGGGGAAATGTCCTAGGGGGCGCTGGGCAGGAGAGGCCGGCAACTCAAAACGGGCTGTCGGCGTTGTGGAGTGGACGAGGAGGGAGGGGATGGGTGGAGGGTGAGCCAAGCATTGCAGACTCCCCACCCTCCCCAACCTATTGCCCACTCCACGACCCCGACGGCCCGTTTTCAGTTGCCGGCCTCTCCTGCCCAGCGCCCCCTAGGACATTTCCCCCCTTGCCGACTCCCCACCCTGCCCGCTCGCCCCACTTGTGCCCCCCGCCGACGTGCCGACCCGCAGGATCCTAGACTTCAGCAACTACCGCTCTGTCCCTGGCATCCCTTCTACAGTCATGACGCGCGCCAACACTTCGTCCGAGGATTTTGTTGACGCAGGACTTGCCTCTGAGGGGAGAGATACCCAGAACAATTCTGGATGAGGGGGGATCGGTTATGGAGTTATCGCTCCGTGTGGTGGGAGGGAATGACACCACCCCTGATCAAACCGACTCCCCGCCCGCCCCCAAACCCATCGATCAAACCTGCCTGAACTCCGTGCTTTCCTCCGTTTACGGACGCTCACTTCAATTAGGACGGGAAGCCAACTTTTTGCGAGGGTACTGTACGTGTCCACTTCGTGAGAGAGATACAATACGAGTTAATGATGCGCCTGCAGACTTCATGATTCAGATTGGATCTAAGATGCGTGCAGGTGTCGATGGAGAAAGAAGAGAAGGGGTGAAAGACGCATTAAATAGTTGCGCAGAACCAAACACGACCGAAAGAAAAGAAGCAGTAACAAACGGTACGCACCCCGTACAGGCACGGTGGTGAGACGGGGGCGAATAGCATGGGTGTGACCAGAAGGACCTGGCCGCGCGAGCCAGGATGCGACAGGCGAGGCGGGCCCGCACAAAGGCGAAGTCTTGCCCAGGTCGGATGAGGGCCTGATATGTCGAGACGATCACAGCGTTCAGTTGTCGCATTGGCCCTTCCGGAACCGGTCGGGGTCGTAGAAACTTGCAAAACTACACGACGGCCAAAAAATCGTCCATTCAGTTCGTTGAGGGCTGAAACAAAGGGAAAGGAGTTCTCTAGTCTTCGGAGGCGAATGCTGCGATCCAGCTACTACTAAGCATACGTAGGCCACGAACTGCTCCCATATACCGACCGTTAGTGTTGTTCGCCCACAATCACAGCTTCGCTTCGATCGCAAGCAGACGGCTCAAGGCCACCGCTGTACTTTATATGAGGTCCAAGATGGCTCAAACACCATCATTGCATTATTGCAATTGGGGGAAGGGAACGTCAGCTGGCGCGCGCTGTTTCGACTATCGTTGCAACCCATGACAGCGGATGAATATGTCAGTGGTAGATCTAGTTATGGACAGGGGACGTTTGAGATCACTCCATAATGCCAATGACGAAAGACGCTGTCACGATATTGCTCGTTCATTACTCCCGGTCATGTTCCCCCGCAACTCGTGGCAGCATGTCAACAGGGAGTCACCGTGACGGCAACCCCGCATTATAGGCTTAATTCCCGCAACCACGCTTACTGCCTAGGAAAAAGCGATCAATTGCGCGGACCCACGGACGCTCGAGCTGGATGGAGTAAAAGTGAACAAGTGTGCGCATCGTCAGACGCGCTGTCGGAATCCGTCAGACTTGTCACTGATAAAGGTTGCAGGGACCGATCTCGCCGTAAACGAGCTAAGCAGAACGGCCACCTTTCGGAAAGGCACACACATGCGTCTCCTTCATTTGCCTAATTCGCAGGCCTTTCCTATATGTCATACAAGATCTCGATCGAAACAACGAGAGACGAAACTTGAAGCTGTGGTCTCGCCTTCCGCGCGAATGTAAACAAGATGCTTCACTCGAGTATGAGACGAAGGGTCTGCTGTTCTTCCTGCATCAGCGGCGAGAAAGCGTCGCATGAGCTATTCCCATCAGAAAGCGTTGTTGTATGCGGCGCCATCTTTGTGGAAAAAGACTTTCCACGTCGGCGCCTCGTCAACGGACCGCCGGTGGACCTGAACTCGATTCCCATACACCGACAACCACACCCTCACCCTCTCCCGGGTGACCCATGCCAAGAATTGCAGCCGCCCCTGTTCAACGCGATCGAATAAGATGTCGGATCTTTGTTGGGAAGGCTGATGATGGCCAGTTCCAGAACCCTGACGGGGCCTTCCTCAGAACTTGACCTCGCCTTTCTGGCAAATTCATGGTTCAACTGATCGTCTCCGTGTTGATACTAGGCATAAGGACGGCGGGAACGGGCAACGGTATAAATGGTAGGAACAAATTGACCTCAAGGAAGTCCAGAGAAGTTGGAAAGATGTTGTGATTGATTTGCTAACATTACCCTTCCGTCTCAATGCACTATGCATGCCGTGCAGTTTGCCGGGCCTTTATCTTGCTCCCTTTTCATATGAGCAGGCTGGAGGGGAGAATAGGTGTTGGACGACACTGCTCGCGTGCAGATACAGTAGGCCAGAGACGTAGAGGCGCAACCAGCTCTTTTCAGAACGCCCACAAAAACTTTTTCCTCGATAGATATTTAGAAACAGGATCGCATCGGTTAATAAAGACACTCAGAGTGGGTTGTAGCCATGTAAGGGACGTGCCACAAATGAGACCACTGGAGATGCAATTTGGTTCACTAACACTTCCGGGCGTACCCAAGCTTTGCAAATGTCGCTGGTACTGTTGCTCCCCCGAATGCTGAAATGTAGCTTTCTGGCCCGGTCACATAAGCTGTGTTCCCTAACAGGCCGACTCTTCAATACTTCCTCGATGCTATTCCTGATCATTCCATTCTCATTCTCCCACTTTTGTCGCTTGACTAGTTTGCTCTCTATACGTTCGAACGGCCGGATGCGGACGTATCTCAGGCGCTATTTCTTCCCTGCGCCTGCAAGCTGTACGGAGCCGGTCTCTGAGTTGTGGGGCCGTGGACCTCCCGAATTGCAGGAGGTGGAATGTACGGAACCGGGTATGCGTATGGATGGACCATTGGCGTGGGCATATATGGCTGGGACCCGTACGGGGTCTGGATGGGGTACTGTTGGGGCATGTGCGGGGTTGCAGATGGTCGACCCGAAGTTGGCTGAGTGTCACCTGGAAGAGTCGGTTCGGACAGAGCTAGCAGTCTGTCGAGTTTGCTTTCAATCCGATGAGCTATGCCTTCGATCCGGTGAGCTATGCCTTCGATCCGCATTGTCGTAGCCCAATGCATTGGAGATTCACGTGCGCTGCCCATATCTCCACTGTCGATTCGGCTGCTTTGCATACCCTGCGGTCCTGTTCGAACTCCGTCAATTTGTACTCTCTCGGAGCTTTTGCTGGTGATACTGTTTCCCCGTCCGCCTCCGCATCTGGTTGTCCTTCCCCATCCTCCGGCTCCGAGGGGGATGCTTTTGCATGCGTTGGAGTTTCCTCGGAAATCTTGTCGTCCTCTAAATCCAGCTCGATCACAGGGCGTTCTTTACGGGCAGAGGACGTCGCGGTGGCGGCCGCTTTGACGGCGTCGATCTCGGCCTTGTGCTTATACCAACACCTCATGCATGCAGCTCTGTAGACGACTTTACCGCGGACGAGGCCTGTTTTCCACAGGCACGATTCGGTCCCGCCGCACCAACAGCATTTGCCACCGAGGGCTTCGCATTTTTTCCCGCGCTTGTCCTTGCCTTGGTTCTGGAAATTGGGGTTGGTCTTGGGCATGTTTGAGTGCTGTGCTGTTTGTTGCTGTGCTGAATGTGCGCTGTATGTGGTGTTGTGTTGGAACTCTGTGCTTTGCGCAAGTTACGACACCAAAAACCTCTGGAACCTTGGCGCGGCGTTGAAAAGCTCAAAAAAGGTGCAAGAATATGACAGGAACGCGCTGTCGATATCGGAACAGGAGACAAAGTCGCAGGAAAGCTGTCGGAAACGGACAGCATGTCCTTAGTCTTGAGCCCGCTACACGTTCCGGTACAGACTCGAAATGTTCCAGAGATGAAGGTAGAACAATATTTTCTTTCGCGGGTGGTAAACGATGATGATTGTTTGGCGACATGCTATCCGCATAAGCAAAGCCAACCCTGAATACCTGGGAAAAAGGTGATCTGTCCGCAACATGGCTCCAAAATCATGTTGTGAACAAGGGAGTTGTCCCTCCACATCACCATATTGTCGTATTGTCCTCCAGAAAAAAGCATCCATTCCATACATCCATAAAAAACAAAGATGTTCCAAAAGTGATACGTCCCAAAATCCGTATACGTCTAAATATTAACGCCCATCATCGTCCAAACTGTCAGTATCTCCCCGCTCCCCCCGAGTCCCAGACTATCACGAGGCGTGCCTGAACCACATGGAGCAGCCACATACCCTCCCGAGGAAGTCACATAATCCGCAAGGAAAGCCACATAACCGCACATCGGAGGAATCCCATACAGCGTCAAGCTAGGTGGAAGGTGTCGCCACCCGAGTTACTCTTCGTTCGATGCGTTGAAGTCTAAAGACCCTCCGTCTTCATGTCGGAAGGAAGCACTTCAGGGAGGACCCGGTCCCGCAAGACAGCGTGAGGGGTGTGAGATGTGCGCGACCAAACTCGCAGCCTTGACGCCTTGTCGTGAAATGGCAGGATTGCCTAGCCAGACACTGCCCCCTCGCTTAAGCTGATGTCCAAAGAACAGACACCAACGGAGTATGGAGGAATGGGAGAGTCGAACTCCACCAGTCGCCAGGTGAGCGAGCCCTCCAGTAGAGCTCTTTCCCCGCAGGAAATGCCACACAAACCCCCAGAGGAAGCACCACAGGGCCCCGGACGAGTCCCAGTGGAACAGACAGAACCCAAACCCCTCTTCCCATAAGTCCTCAAGCTACTTGGTCGGCGTCATCATCAGTCATTCATGATCCTCCTTTGTGCCGAGCCTTCGTTTGATTCGCTGGAGCTTCATGGCGGCCCTGGGGTTCATGACGATTGCGTGGGTTTGGGAGTCCGAAAATGAAGGTGGCGCAGGAAGGTGTGGCGTGCGGGTGGCGCAATCCAGTCATTAATTAGCTTCCCGACAAAGGCCACAATTTCGGGCCACAATTTCGTCGTCCATCCCAGCACCCCGGCGCACATGGATCTGGACTGAAGAAGCTTCCGTTTTTCATGGGAGCCTTCGAGCCAAGAGACGGAGATCCCCATCATCACCCGGTCATTCGGGGAGGCAGCATTGGGGATGAGAGGGTACGGGAAGGTAGGATGGCCGTCAAAGAGGGCTAAATTGGCCCTCCCATGAGAGGCAAATGCATGCGATCTTCTGTCGAATTTTTCGAGAGGTTGGTTGGCGACCGGGGATGTCCGGGCACTAAAGAATCACCGGATGGCGGCCGTCGCACACAATCCACCCTCGCCACGCGTTCGTTCCGTCCTACCGTCTACGGCAACGTCCAATGTCACATCATCCATCATTCATGGTGAAGAACAACGGCAGAGGCGGGCATATGATATGGCTTGAGAGAAGGGACCAGGATCCAGGGTACAGTAGAAGAGGGACCACTGCAGTATCGAGTCTATCGACAGCTTTTATCCCGCTCCTGGGGTCTGCGTTTCTTCTGCAAAGAGAACACCGACTCGGACGGCCTTTCGCCAAATATCCTTCCAAACACCCACAGCCAAAAGTCTAGAAACTTAGAAACTCACATTCAGAACCATCCCTACGTAGTACTCTGCCAAAACGCTGAAGCGAAACCATAGTACGCTATGGAAAGCGTCGTCCCGCCGCCTGCGGAAAGCGCCGAGGAAATAGCATCACACCAGCCGCGTCTTCCAACGTCGGTGTCCAGAGACTCCCTGATCGACTCGTACACTACCGATGAAGGTAGCATAGGCGCAGCCTCAGATGCAGATGACGACGACGAGGATGGGGAGGTCGACCGGGAACTAGCCGAGGAATGGACAGAGATCGAAGACACTCTCCGGTCTCTCACTTCCATCACGGCCAACTGGAGAAGTACACCTTCTCTTGGCAAAACGCTCAAAGCCGCCGCCGCCACTTCCAACGCAGACCGCCCGAATTCGCCGGCAGTCCTCGGGCTATCAAAGAGCACAACGGCACTGCCAACTCCACCTCGCTCTCCTGGCTCTGGGTCCGTATCCTCAGTTTCCAAGGCAGCCCACAACACCGATCGCGATTCTATCACCTCTGGAAGCACGAGTACGACGAGACTGTCTGCCACCCTCGAGGAACTCAAAGCGATCAATGCACGAGTGCGTGGCATCAACGCTAGTCACAGACTTTCCGACGCATCGTCCATCGCCAGTTCCGCTCATACCGCCTTCAACGGTGACGATAATGATAATTCCCATGTCGGACATCCCCTCAGCCACCCCACGCCGCTTCACCACAGCCAAAATCATCAACACCATCAACATCCATACAACAACGCCTTCAAAAGCCCCGCATCGCCATCCATCCCCGAAGACCAACCTATGCAGGTCCTCCGCCAGATTCAGATACACCAGCGCAGCGGCAGTCACTCCAGCGAAGCCACCGCCACGAGCTTACTAGAGGACATTGCTAAGCGAGGCAGTGCAGGCACGTTTGGCTCGTTCACCAGAAAGTTCAAAGCGGGACCTGGAATGGCGCGAGAGTCGTCCGCCCGTGGAAGCGGCGGCGTTAGCATTGTCAGCAGTGGGCATAGCCATACGGGCGCGGCGAGGGTGTCGAGCACCTCCTCGGCCTCTACGGGGCACACTTGTCGGAACTCGAGGGAGATGAGTGGGGCTTTGGGAGATCAACCACGGCAATTGGCAGCGAACCACAGAAGAACGGGGTCATATTCGACAGCAAATGAACATGCAGTTCTGCACACTGCGGCACCACCCTCCGCATCGTCAGAAGGCAGATCGGGTCCTCCAAACATACCTCTCCCGTCGCCAGCGCCGGCGCCAGCGGCACCTTCGGAAATCAACAGCAGCACGCGGCTATCCTCAACAGATAAAGCCCCCTCACAGCGCGAGCTGCCACCACCCACACCCATGCCAACAACCCCAGCCGACCAACCCGCCTCCACCGGCATCACCCGCCGCAACACAACAACAACATCCACCCAGCCGCAACGTACCCACCACCGCACAGCCAGCACCTTCAGCGCGTCCTACACCCCCGTCATGGACCTCATCACCACCGCCCTCCCGGCCCTCGACACCCGCTACAGCGGCTACCTCCACGCCACCAAAACAAAACCCGGTGCATTCTTCCGATTCTGGAAACGGAGGTACTGCGTCCTTACACCCCAATCGGCGTATATCTACCGTGAGCAGCCTTCACCCTCTGCTATGATGGTTGTCACCACTGGCGCGAATCACACTGCGAGTGCGAGTGGGAAGGGGAAAGATAGTCAACCCCCCCGCTACGTCCTCTTAATAAACACCAAAGCCGAGCTCCGCATAACCACCCGCGACGGACCCGGCGGCGCGCGCAAAAAAACAGAGGTGGGCTTCAGTCTCCGCTCAATCATCCCCGGCCCGGCGAATAAAGAGAAGACGATGTATTTTTCGACGGATGATTTGGGCTGGATCCATGCGGTTGAGGGCATCCTTGCGGAGATGCGGGAGAGCGCGAAGGTGCCGCCTGTGCCGCGTGTGAGGGATTCGGTTAGGTCGACGGTGTCGAATGCGACCATCGTGCCGGCTAAGGTTGCGCCGCCTTTGCCTTCACCTACCACCACCAACAGCAATAATAATACAGCGGTAAATGCGCCGGCAACAACGCCATCACAGACCTCATACCCCCGCTCGATCCTCCGCACACAGAGCAGCAGCGCCGCCCGCAGGGCCGCACACGACAGCGCAACGTCGTTGAGCACGGTTGCGTCGACTGTGACGGATGCTTCGAGGCCGTTTTCGGCGTCTACGCAGAGTTTGCAATCACCTTTGCAGCCTCCCCAACACCATCAACAACAGCAACATTCGATTTACGCCCTCCCCAACAGATCAAACTACTCCGCCCCCGCCCTTCCCCTCCAAAACCAGCACCCGACACATCTGAACCGCATCCTCTCCCCGCAACCCATCGAGCCCGTCCCCGTCGCGCGTCGACGGGGCAACAGCATACATCATAGTGCACACCTCGACCCAAGCGCGTATGGCCGCCGCGCATCACAGACATCGACGGTATCGGACGCCTCGGCGATGCAGGAGGAGAGACGGGGTAGTACCGCCACAACCAACACCTACGTCAACCCTCCGCATGATATCAACACTGGGCTGAGGCCGATGGGGCAGTATGTCGGAACGGCGCATGCGCAGTCGACCCCGCATTTGCCGGGTGGCTATCACCGGGGGAGTTCAAATGTGAACGGGAGTGTGGGTCAGAGGGGACAGTTGCAGCTGACACGCGCACCCTCGGACGCCTCCGGCATGCGCAGCCGCCGGAGGGATACGCCGGTTGTGGGGTGGAGGGTTGCGGAGGGGTATGGGGCTATGCCCGGCATGCCCAATCCTTCCGATGTTCCTATATCCTCCGGGGTGAATGGGACGGGGGAGCAGGGAGAGCGGACGCTACGACAGGCCAAGTCGGCGACGGATTTGTATAGAGGACGGCCGAGTTGGGAGAGGGTCGGGGGGATGATGCCGCCGATGCCGGGGAGGGACGGGCAGCAGGGGGACCGGCAGGGGAGGAGGGGTGGTGTGGCGGTTTTCGATTAGGGGCTGGACTTACGGACCGCTGGTGGTCGTACGCACCGACGTAGTCACTGGGCATGACTGGACCGAACTGCAACGGCATCGCCGTACCGCGGATGGCCGCGACCGCCACGGTATAGCCATCATACCGCTGAACACGCACATCGACGATACGAATTTTGTGCCCCGCAAAAACAGCACGGACATGCACTCCGGACATTTCATCCCCCACCTCCCCCCGTTGCTTCACGGCGTACGATTTGAGCAAGGCAGGCCCTTGCTCGTTTTCAAAACTTTGTTTCGTGACATTTCCTTTTTTTTTCTTTAGAGACGATGACATTCTTTTACCCTTTACCCCTTTCTACGTAGTGTTCACGGTCCCCCTTTGTGTTTTCCTTTTGTTCTTTTTCCTGTTTTTCATTTCGCTGCCCGTTCATATAGATACCATTTCATTGCCCCAGCCCCCTTCTTAATTGTGTACATTTACATACATACAATACATGTGCGTCATAGAGTAACCACGGGGGGGGGGGGGATGTCACAAGCTATTTGGTTGTGTGAGAATGGTCTTTAGGGAAGGGGGATGGGATACGCCGATGAAAGATAGATTTCTGCCAACAGGAGCGCCGAGTCCGTACGTGCCGTCGAAAGTCAAGAGAGAGGGGCCGGAGAGGGGTCAATCGGAGACGGAGAGTAGCAGAGCTTTGGCAGCCAACGCGTCCTCGTTATCCGCCGCCCCATCGTCGGCTGCCACCTGCTGCCGCACGGTAGTGCCTTGCCCCACCCCTCGCTTCCCACTCACATCACCTAGCACTGCGAATAGCCGTTGCAAGCCCAAGTCGAGCAGCTCCGGCGACACTGTGAATATGATCCTGAACCAGCCGGGTTCGGCGCACTGAAAGGCTTCGCCAGGGAGGATGTAGAGGCCGTTCGCGAGGAGGAGTTCGGTTAACGGCCGCCAGAGCGGCATTGAGGCCGGCGCGTTTGTTTTGGTGTGGTAGGCCATTGCATAGGTTTTGAGATTCGCGCTGGAGGGGAGAAAGTCAGAAGGATGTATTACTCGTATGCGAGGCGGGGTGTATGTCTCAAAAACGGGTTCAACAAGCATGACGGAAGATCGCGAACTTACAAAACAAAGAACCCGGCCTGCGCAGGCACAAAGTCCACCCCATTCTCGGTCAGAACCTCCGCAACCCTCTCATAAGCCCTCCTCATCCTCCTCTGATTCTCAACCACGTACCCATCCACCCACTCCTCATCACCCAACAAATTCGCCAAGCTCGAGTCAACAAGGCTCGACACGTTCGTGAAAAAGGCGAAATCTGACATCCCTCTCAACACACGCTCGTTGCGGGAGGCGAAAACGCCGCAGCGGAGACCGTTGGCGCCAAAGTCTTTGGAAAAGGACCAGACTGTGTGGGTGTGCGTAGGGGAGGGGAGGTGCGGGAGGGCGTGCACGGATGTGAAAGGTTTTGCGGATGTGCCGTTGGTCGATTTGTCATCGGGATCTGTCCCGCCAAAGACGGACAGGGCGTAGATTTCGTCGACGATCACTTCGAGGTCCTTCGTCGCGGCCCAGGTTAGAAAGGACATCATTTCGTCCGCGCTGTATACTTTTGCTTGCGGGTTGCCTGGGTTTGTTAAAAGTAGGACTTTGACTTGAATGCCTTCTGCTACTGCTCTCGTGTACGCTTTTTCCAGATGGTCCACGCGGACGTCGAATCCCTCGGCGCTAGTTGTCGGCACAGGCACGATGCGGCCCTGTGCATAAGTCGTAACATCAAAATCGAACCCGCCGTAGTACGGTGACGGGATCATTATGCCGTCTCCCGGGTTGAGTAGCACCTGCGCGATGTTGCAGAGGACGGCGGTGCATCCCGCGTGCACGGTCAAGTGGTCGGCGTCGAGTGGGATGACCGGCCGCAGATGGCGGTTGAAGAAGGAGGCGATCTCGGTGCGGAGTCGGTGTGAGCCGGTTTTGGACCCGTATTTCAGGTCGTCGGCGGTCACTTTGCGAATCCCGGGTGAGTTGAGCTGTTCAACCAATAGAACCAGTGAGTGTACATCATCCAATCCAAAAAACGAACCCGATACACCACCCGTCAAGCGATACCCTGTTCGCTCCGCTCGCGACAAGGATGTTGGACGAGAGATGAACGATGCAAGAATGACCTCGGCTCGCTCACGCTCGCCATCCTCAAACATTCCTGAGCCTAAGGCCCAAATCTCAAGCGTCCTCGCACCTCCGGCGCAATTGAGCTCGCTATCGCTCGGAACCTCAAGCATCCTTCGCTGGCCGCATCCGCGTTCGCTCTGGTCGCCCTCGCCATCTCGCACCACAGACCTTCTCCAACATCTCAGGAAACATCAGATGATTCTCCGCGGTGCCCAAATTAACAATTCCTTGTGGGTTCTCAGTAGGGTGATAGGGGTTCTTGAGGAGCAAACGAAGGAGGTCCAAGACGATAGACTGAAGGCGTGCTGCCTCTTCTGCGAGGGCTGATGGCGGCATTTTGGGGTGGGATTGCGGACGGGTGGTTTGGACAAGGATAGAGGCGTGAGACTATGCTTTAGTATTCTTGTCCTATTGGCGTGGAATGGGATCGTCAGAAGAGCGAAGGGGAGCGAACACGGCGCTGTGTGGATTCAAATTCAGCACAGGATAAGATGAACACGAAACACACAGAGGCCCCTCAGGCAGCCCCTCAGGCGCGGTTTGGCGATCGGCGCGACTGTTCCCGACGAGCACCTTGTCCCAGCCTTGTCCCAGACCGTGTCCACAGCCAATGTGGCAACGACGTCAAGGCAGTCTCGCACACCGCTCACGCCGTTTGATGATGTATATCTAGCATCTGAGCTTGGCGAAAGGGATTGTCTGATACTCTTTTCCATCTACAAAATGCTCACCCCTGTCTGATACTCTTTTCCATCTACAAAATGCTCACCCCCAACTACGCCGACTATAAAAGCCACCTGCTAGATCATTGTGAACGTATTCCATCGACTTCTACCTCTAATCCGTTCATTCAGCACCTCAACAAGCCATTGAAGTTGCCAATAAATCCATTTGTGTTAACACGACTGGTCTTCCAGGTGCCGGCTCTGTTCTTGCATTGGCAGTAGAACACCCCTCCCGGTTGGTATGCGCAGTCTCTGCATGAGTTCTGGTATCCAGATCTGCCAGACCGATGGTATCAGAAAAGGAACTGTCTCTACAAGGAAAGAAACAATGAGTTTTCACTCACCCAGGGCTGACCAACACGCCGTTGGTGTTTCCCAAGCAGCTGGGAAGGTAGATGGATGCGGCACGGTAGCTGCCGCCGTTGTTCTTGCATTCCGCGTCGAGGGTTTCACGGTACTGCGAGTTGAGTCTCACATTCCTGCAGGAGCCCAAGTAGCCGGACGCTCCGTGGGCGAAGCTGGGGAAGGCAACCAAGAAGGTGGCGACGAGGACGATGAGGTACTTGTACAACATCTTGCGATAATGGTGGTTCGGGAGAATCGGAGTGAAGAAAGAGGTGGAGAGACGGTGGACAGAGGGACGACCCGCCCCACCTTTTTATATCCGTGAGCTCTAACCTCATCCCGGAACTTTTTTTTTGGTGCTGCACAATGCAGAGGAAGCCTCCCATGCCTCCGCATGTGCCCCGAATCCCTTTAGTTCCCGGTGATCACGGTATGCAAGAAACGTTGAATAAACTTTAAGGGAAACGCGTACGCGTACATACAGTACGCGTCGTCGCCAGGTGCGCACAACACACTTCGGTTCCACTTCAGCACTTCATCCCTACAAGTTACAACCGTGTATCAAGCCTCAGATCCGATCAAGCTAGGTGTCAGGGAAGTCGTTTGTGTCTGGTGGAAGCGCCTGTATCGCGGTCCCTCTCGCTCAGTGGTTGGCACTCGAAGGGTGGAAAGTTGAACCCCACCAGCATAGTGGAGAGGCATGGAGGCGATGCTTCCCTGAAAACGGCCGTCGTATCCCCAAACAGATGCAGGCAGCAAAAGCGACGCGGTAGCAAAGGTTAACAATACGCGTGCAAAACAGTCCCGCGTCACTTACATACGTGACAAAGCACATTACGTGAGCAGAATGACAGCTGCCGACGAGGTCGAGAACCAACAACCGTGCATCGCAGACTCAGAACAGAAGATGCCTCGGAGATCGACTGCTGCTGTCCATGCGGGTCAGGAAAACCATCCAAATTTCATGGATCTGTAGCCGTTTCGCCGGCTCAGAGACGGACCTCGGCAACGTACGGCTGCCGAGGTCAGTCTCTTATTGTTGTAGCTCGTTCCGCATTTGTGTGTTGCTTATTGCTGACTCTCTTGAAGTATCGATAGTCGCCTTCCGGCCCACTACCCAACGAAGGGAAGAAGGGAAGAGGCCTCCTTTTTAATGGACTCCAGTGTTATTCACGTGATGGCTTCCTCATTTGTTTTAGCTTGTTTTTCCCCGCCATCGGTCGCGTTCGACGAGCCGTAGATATATGTAGAACCCACCACCTGCTTTCTTGCCGGCAGATGTCATTGTAACCCGCAAACACAACTCCCACCTTCCATACTCCACCAGCCATGGTCAACGTCGACGAAGAGGTCGCTCAACTTCAAAAGGAAATCATCCGGCTCGGAACACCGCGCTCCGACGGAAAGGGCGTCGCGTCCGTCAAGTTCGGCACCCTCGTTAGGGACGACCAGTGTGCCAACATATGTATGTGAACAACGGCACGCTTGATCTTACCACCGTTGCTAGACTGTCGAAACTGACAATATATCTCTATGCATGTTGATTGTTCTCTTCTTGTCGTGGGAATCTAGTCGAAGCGATCGTGGGGACGTTGCGGGCAGCAAAAAAACGCGGGATTGTTACTTACGATGGGGAAATCTTATTGCAAGGTCCTCACGACAACGTCGATGTAGTGTTGCTGAAGGCACCTGGCGCTTGAGAAACCGAGACTGATTTCTGTAGGATGGCATAGAAAGCTTTCAATTGCGCGAGGCATCTTCTCCCTCAAGGACGCCATGGCGTGAGGCTGCGACCTGTGATAGACAGTACTTTGAGCGGAACCATACTCCAGGCGGCTGTTGAGCCTTGGTTCTTCATCACACACACACTCGTGCAGACAGTACGTCTCGCCCGTGCATATACAGTAGTAATATATACACCTGTGAGCTTCCTATTCCAACTCGCCACTGCGCCGAGAGAGACGGGTCCGACGAACGGATAAACCTGCTGCCGGATCAGAAGACTGAGCGCTCACATACGTCTTCGGCAAGCGTGTCGTCGGTCTTCCGCGCAGAATAAACAGACATCTCTTGTCGCAACCCCACGGCCTCTGCACACACGCAACGGCCACCCCAAGTATTGTAGTAGGATATGTGCGCCAGAGGCCGCTCTTCAAAACTGTTTCGTTACATTTTTTATATTTTCTCTTAAAAACAAACAATTGCCTACTTTAACTTGCTTCATCAACGTCAAAGACAGAGGGCTCCTCATCGCTTTCCTCTCCCGCAACGCCAGCCTGACTCCACTCTTGCACCTTGCTGTTACGATCTGCGACAACAGCCTGCATGATTTCCTTTGTGATAGCAAAGCAGTTTGGGCACTTGCTCTGCTTGAACATCACTCGAACACTGCTGCGGTGACGGCAACAACCGCAGGAAAGGGGCTGGCAGGGGGTGTTATGACCAGCGTTGTCGCATGGGAATGCATATCGAGTAATGTCAACATGCTTTCCAACCTTGACTACGGTGTGGCCTTGTGCATTTGGGCGTTGCTGGGTGAGTGGGATGACTGCCTCGCCTAGCAGCAGGCCGTCAGGCCCTGCGGTGAAACGATACAACCGCGTGGTCACCGGATTCTTGCCAGCTGTCCTTGATTCCCTCTTGTAGGCTGGGCCGCCATGGTCTCTGTTGTAGACGATTATCTGGTCAAGAATGCTGAGAAGCTTATCCGCCTCAGCCTGAAGGTTGCACTCCTGGTCTTTGCGGAATTGGAACAACGACGTCCCGGCGTTTGCTCCCCGTAGCTTGCCTTGGCGAAGATTCAGTACTGCCGCTTCCTGAGCATCGGCTTCTTGGAGGGCAGCTTTGAACATGACTTGCTGTTTGGCTTGATTCTGCTGCATCATCGGATGAATAAGGGGACGGATGACTGAATGCCAGAGTTCGATGGCCTCCTTGCTGAGATACCGGAAGTTGTTTTGGATCCATTTGTAAAGCGGGATGTTGTGCTCACGGTAGAAGCCCATGCGCCCAAGAATGCAAAGGATGATTGTCACGTAGTTCTTCTTCCCCGTTTGTATGAAGAACGGGAGGCTGCGAACAAGGAATTCCGCAAAGTGATCATAGCTGAGGGATGTGATAATCACTGGTGCGTCGAGCATGAGCGGTAGATGCTCCTCAAAGGAGGTACGGATAACATTCCCGCCCCACTTGTAGTCAAGCGCCATTGGGGCTGTCGACGTTGGCATGTGAGCAAGCTGCCATGCCTGAAGTGCGAGAGACAGCAGGAGAACACGTTGAATGGGACGCAGATTGACCTGTGGACAAATGAGACCCGGAAACGCCGCTTCGTAAAGGATCTTAAGAAGGGGGAACCAGTGCCTGTATGCTGCTTCCTGCATGTTCAAGGCAATGTGAAACGATCCAGGCCAATCCAAGAATTTTGCGGAGTGTCGCTGCCCCTCCGCAGAGCTCGTGAGGAACTTAAGGGTTCCCATCCAGACGTAGAAGTCGCCGGATACAACGATTGGCGATTCATCAATATATAGCCGAAGTTTCGGGATGATTGTCTCCTGATAAAGCTTCGCCATATCCTCATCAAACTTCATCGGGTTGTCTTTGCTTGTGTAATGAGGTGCTGCAGGTGTCACCTTAGTGCGGGGAAGCGCGTAGGGCATGAGATCACGTGTAGCATAGATTATATTGGAGTTCTACGCTCTGGGGCGTCTCTCAAAGGGAAGAAAAGCCTTCGGGCGGCGCCCCAAGAGGTAGAAACTCTAGAATTCTTTCAATACATCGAAGCGGAGACAGAGCTAGCCTCTGGCAACGGACCTAGCATTATTACATGGTAGCACCACCCTTCAAGATCTCTCCGGCAACCTACGATGAGCAACTCTCAGGCGGGTGCTAATACCGCCGTCAGCTATGCGATAGTTAACAATGACCGCTTAGAGCTTGATCCATTTGAACACCCGCATCGAAGGGCGCAACTGCTCGACGGCAACCAACGTCAAGGCAACGGTCCCGCAGGGTGTAACCGCCCCTTGCACAGGCGCAGGGGGTTACCCCGTGGTTGCCACCTGGAAGGAGGCACTCCAGCTCACGCTCACCTCGTCGACGTCGGAGCCCGGAACCCCGACGCCGGAATCGGAAGCCAGAGCGATACAGGCGCGGACGACGAGGTCGCAGGAGCATCTCCCCACCCCGTCGAAGGAGCCGCTCAGCAAGCCGCTACCGCAGCCGCTCCCCGGCGAGGACCCGAAGCCGCTCCCCCATGCGGCGCAGGAGCTGTACCCCAGTCCGACAAGAGAACGGGCAGGCAACAATCCTCCAAATCCTAGCCCAGCTGGCAAACATCAACGCCCAACTCCAGCAGCGATTCGAGTGCCTGGAGAGGGACCGCCCAGATGACAGCCCCTTCGCTGGAGTACGGGTTAGCCGCAAGGACCATTTGGCGGCTAGCGAAGAGCGTAAGCGCAAGGCGGCTGCCGAGAAGGAGTTCTGAACCACCTTGGCTAAGATGCTGACCAACTTCAACGGTAAGGCTAACGGTAAAGACATGGTCGCCAAACTGGACAAGTTTGTCGACGCCCACCTACGCTATCTGGAAGCCACCGAATTCAGAACAGAGGACGGGGACGTGAAACACTTTGTAGCCCACTTGTCCGGAGACGCCGCTGAGTGGTGGAAGCGCGAGGCTAGCTCCGGAGAGCCTCCCGCCACCCGGGAACGGTTCCTGAAGGCACTCAGGCGCAGGTTTTACACCGCCAACCTCCGTAATTCGCTCGAGGCGAAACTGGCCGCCCTGAAGTTCAAAGACAGCATGTCCGACTACGTTTTGGACTTCAACGCACTGACCACACAGATCGCTATCCTCCCCAAAAAGGAGCATCTCACGCCGCGACAGCAACGTGAGTACTCCCTGAACGGGCTGACCTTCCACCAGGTCGGACGTCGCATCCGTGAGCAGTGTTACCAGTTCATCCTACAACAGGGCAATGAGGACGAAGACATCCCCATCAAGACCCTTCAGAAAGCCGCCCAGAGGGCCTTCCGTATCAGGGATTATGCCGACCGGATCGCCCGCATTTCGGAAGACGGCAAATGGGTCCATCCCGCTACGGCCACTCAGGCCCAGGCTCGCGACAAGTGCGATACGCCCCGCACCTTCAACTCCAACCGAGTACCCCTTGGAAAGGAGAAAAAAACTCAGCGAGGCGAATGTCACACTTGCGGCAGCAAGGACCACTACGCCCGAGCGTGCCCTAAGAACCCGGACCGTCTCAAGATCTCAGCGGCGCCCGCCAATAGCCTTCGACGATGACAACGAGGAGTTCCATTCGGCCGCGGAAGAACCCCCGAGCCCCGCGTACTCCGTCGACAGTCAGGATTTTCTCCCCAGGGCCTGACCGCCTGCAGCGTCTCGGCGTCCAGACAACCCAAGGGACCTACCGGACCCCGACTGCAGGACACCATTCCGGAATACCGCCCTGGGCCCGTCATTGACAGCACACGTTCATGGTCCATGGACGTGTCGGCGGCATCTTCTGCCGCATCCTCATAGACACCGGTTGCAATACCATGCTCATCAGCGACTCATTCGCCCAACGCCATGATCTTAACACATACAACTGTCCGACGCCCTTTGAGGTGCGCTGGGGTGACAAAGCCGGATCGTACGGCGCCACGCGGATGATTTGTGCCGACCTCTCCGTCTTCACGGAGGTACAAATACCTCATAAGACCCCTCGGATCCCGTTCGTCGTGGCCCCGATCCGCGCGGATGTTATCCTAGGGCTACCCTACATCTTGGACCTTGACCTCATAGGCTTATGGCGCGACAATGGGTTCCCTGCGCCTCAATTTGAGGCTAACGCAACCGTACTAACTTTCCAAGCTAAACCTACCACCCGCCGATGGCAGCAACCCAGCGCTTGCGCGGCCCGGTTACTCGAACCTCATACGGGCCCTTGCCCCCGCCGTTTCTACCCCAAACGCACGGCCTTAAATGAGGAGGGCTTCCTCACGGCCAAACAATTCAAGCAAGCGATCAAGAGGGATAAGACCACCGAGGTCTATACCACATGGGTCTCACGCACGGACACGGAGGTGGACCTGGCCACAGACGACGCCCTCGCGGACGTCGCCGAAGCCGAGGCTAACTTTGTTCGCACGGTCGAGGCGAAGAAACGTGCGATCCTAGCGGACCAAAAGGCAACGGCCACCCCTCCGGATACCACCGCGGAGGATCCACTTGCGTTGTTTGCCGCCGACCACCCTCTTTGCTCCACGCTTGAACAGTTTACAGATACCCTCTTCACTGAACAGACCGGCCTCCCGCCGGACCGCGGCGACGACAACTTCAGCATCAATCTGAAGCCCGGCTCCAAGCCTGTCATGCTCCCACTCCGCCACTTGGCCCCCGACGAACTCGACGAGCTACGGCAGCAACTCGAGCGTCTATCATCCCGCGGTGGATCTCCCGCTCTAAGAGCCCCTGGGGGGCACCCGTACTGTTTGCCCCAAAGAAGGACGGTGGCCTCCGCTGCTGCATCGACTACCGGGCCCTCAACAAGATGACCCATAAGGACGCCACGCCCCTCCCGAACCTCAACGAGCTTCGGGACCGCCTCGTCGGCATGAAGGTCTTCACCGCTATCGACATCCGTGATGCCTACCACTGCAACCTCATTTGGGAGGAAGACCGTGAGAAGACTGCCTTCCGGATGCGCTTCGGCCAGTTCCAGTACAACGTATTACCCTTCGGGCTGACGAACGCGCCCGCGACGTTCCAACGCCTCACGAACAAACTCCTGGGTGACAAGTACGATTTATGCCTCATCTCCTACCTCGATGACACCCTTATTTTCAGCCCCGACATGGACTCACACATCGGGCATGTCACAGAAGTGCTCAAGACCCTTTCGGCTCACCCCCTTCACGTGAAACCGTCCAAATGTCAGTGGGCAGTGGACTAGGTCGAGTTCTGCGGGCACATGGTCGGTAAGGACGGCCTTTCCATCGCCCCGTCCAAGGTCGAGGCTGTCCGCGCTCGACCCGAACCCACCAGCGCCCTTGAGCTCCTCTCCTTCATGGGGCTAGTCAACTACGTCAAGGAATACATTGCGCAATATGCTGATACAGCCCTCCCACTGACCAACCTTCAATCCGGCACCCGCCCATGGCAGTGGGGCGCCGGGGAACAAGCAGCCTTCGACACCATCAAGGCGCGCGTCGCCGATGCCCCTTGCCTGGCGTTCTTCGACCCCGATAATGTCCCCTACGTCTTCTTCCACGCGTCGGGCTTCGACGTCGGGCTTCGCCGTCGGGGGCTGGATCGGTCAGGGCACGGACGGCAACTTTCCCATGCCGAACCCACTGCCCACCACAAAAAAGGGCCTCAATAACCTTCCGCGCCTCCGCGTCATCTCATATTACTCACGCAAAATGGCTCCGGCCGAAACCCGATACCCCGTGCACGAACAGGAGCTCCTTGCGTTGGTCAAAGTGATCCGCGCTAACCGTCATTACCTCATTGGTCGCCAATTCCGTGCATTCGTCAACCACGAATCCCTCATATACCTCCAGAATCAGCCTCATCTCTCCCGGCGCCAGGCCGGCTGGGTGGAGTTCCTTCAGGACTACGACTTCACTATCAAATACCTCCCCGGCGAGTTCAATCACATCGCCGACATACTCAGCCGCACACCGCTGTACGCCCTGAAGTGCGCCAGCTGTCAGATGAACGTCGAAGTGTTCTCCATTGTCACCGGGACACCTCTCCCGGACATCACCGGCCGTCTCCCTACTGACGCCGAGTGGCTCACTGCGCTCAACGATGCCAAGTTCTGCAAGGACACCCTCACCCACCTGCAGACCACCGCGACGAACCCCGATGGCCCCTCTACCCTCTCAGGTTTCGCCCGCCGCCTCACGTGCAACAACCGCGGCTTCCTTTTGTACCATGGCCGCCGCTACGTCCCGAGGGCCTTCGGGGCCCCCTCCTCAGGTTCTACCATGACTCCCTGGCCAACGGCGGCCACTCGGGTGTCCAGCGCACCGTCGCCAAGCTCCTCGCGCTCTACTACTGGCCCCGCCTCGAGCGCAAGGTCCACCAGTACGTCCGGACTTGTCCCGACTGCCAATGCAACAAGCAGGCTTCCAACTTTGGGCTCCTACGCAGCATCCCGGTCCCCGACGAGCGCTGGCGTTGCCGTGGATTGCACAT